ATAATGGCTTCTTGCTCAGACCTGGTGAGGTTGCGGAACTCAGGACCTTCCATGACGAGTCCGTTGGGTTGCAGGATACCACATTCCTTGGCGATAGCTTCAGCTGTAAGCTTATTATCTCCAGTGACCATGCGAACCATGACGCCCGCGGTCTGGCAAAGCTTGACGGCCTCAGGAACTCCTTCGCGCAAGGGGTCCTGGATACCAACCATGCCGATGAAGGCCATGGTCTGGAACATGAAATCAAAGTCAACTTCGCCTCCATCAATGCGGCGGGCATTGCGAGGGGGCCACTGCTCGAAGTCCCGGTAAGCAATGCCGATGGTTCGAAGTGATCGGGAGGCGTAGGTGTTGATGAGGGTGTTGATCGTCTGGAAATTGGCCTCGGTCATCTGGACGAGAGTGGCGTCCTGAGAAGGGTCGCGGAAAATCTGGTTACACTTTCCGAGAACGATTTCAGAAGCACCCTTGACGTATACTCGGGCACCACCTCCCGGGAGCTGCACAACGATTCCCATACACTTGCGAGCAGAATCGAAGGGAATAAGTTGAAGAATCTTCGCGTTCTCTCGTTCCTCAGCGACAGGACCCATGCCAAAGTAATCACGCACCAAGAGAAGCAGCGCAGTCTCCGTTTTCGATCCAACGTAGGTCTTCTCGCCGTCAACCTCGCCTTCGAAAGCCGTGGAGTTGAGCGAAACGGAGTTGACGAGGATTTCTTTAACCGGCGAACTGAGCATCTTGGCGAATTCCGCTATGGAAATGTCAGCAGACGCATCGAGCGCGGAATCATCGCCATCAATGGATCCCGAGGGGCGCAGTCCACCGAATCGATGAGTAGTGCCAATAGTGCCAGCAACCACTTGCATCTTGTTTTGTGTCAAGGTGCCGGTCTTGTCCGAGCAAATGGTGTTGGCATTTCCCATAACCTCACAAGCTTTAAGATGCCTAACGAGGTTCTGGTCCTTCAGCATGCGTCTCGTGGCAAAAGACAGGGCGAGTGTGACAGCCAGGGGAAGCCCTTCGGGTACTGCGACAACGATAATGGTAACAACAGTGATGACAATGTTGATAAAATCCTGTCCCTTTTGAGCTGGGGTAACGGAAGCCGGCTGCTTGGGAAGCCTGACGAGGAATTCGATAAACAAGACGATGAAGAGCAATAGGCCAGCAGCACCTCCGAGCTTGGCGATATATTCGGCAATGATGTTGAGCTTTGACTGTAAGGGTGTAACCTCGGGGTCTTCATCCAAAGCCATGAGAGTCTTGCCGAAAGATGAGTGGACACCGGTAGACGTGACCATAAAAGTGCCAACACCCTCCATGATTCTGGCGCCGGATTGAATAAAGGGATCCAATTTCTTAGGATCATCGCCGTTCTGGATAGCTGCGAACACTTCTTCGCCGTTTCGCTTCTTAATGATATCCGATTCTCCCGTAGCTTGAGACTCGTCGCATTTGACATTGAAGCCCTCAATCAATATTCCGTCGACAGGAATCAGATCACCAGGTTCAAGGTGGATGACGTCTCCGGCCAGAATATGGTGTACAGACAGTTCAATAGTCTTTCCCGAGCGGACGACTTTGACGTTGCGATCCTTCTTCCTCTTATTCAACTTTGCGAATTGCCTCTCTTTGCTGTAGTCGTTGAGAGATCCCACAATGACAACGATAGCGATGGCGACCACAATAGCAACACCTTCGACCCATTCGACCTTTGGCTCATCAGGAGCATGCGGCAACCCCACTGTCTGGTAGATGCCAATAGCCAGTGAAACCACCGCGGCGGCTGTCAGAAGCATAAGAACCTTGTCCTGGTATGTAATCCACATCAGCTCAAGAAGAGTCTTGCCCTTCTTCTCAGGGATCAAGTTGTCCTTGAAAACACGCTTGCGGTCGGAAAAGCCGCCATCATCATGCTTAGCGTGTTGGCCAGTGTTCTGTCTCGCGGGGGTTGCCGGTGTTTCACTCTCTTTGAAATTCCCAGATGAGTGAATGTGAGCGGTTGCTTCGTTGAAAGAAACTTGACCGTCAAGATGGACCTCATCCAAGCTCAATCCGGCCTTGCGATCACTGCGGAGACCCTTGGCAATGCCGGTCAAACCTCCAAGAGCGTAGTATGCACCCAGACTTTTCGGGTTGAACATCTTGTTCAACTGGCCAGGTGTGAAGGCGAAAGGGTTGTTCTCGGCTACGAAATCATCCTCGCTGCCCTTGTCTGGACGCAGGGCGCTGTCGTCGTTCATAATCTTCTCATTGGACATTGGGCTAGGCTTCATGGTCTTTTCGGTTGACTGACTCAGCACGGCAATAGTCTCACCCTGGGAAGACATGTCGTCGGAATCGATAGAATTCTGTCGAGAACGCAAATTGCTGGGCACAGCCAGAAAGGCGCGGTCGTTGCCTCGTATTGTCGCAACAGGGCTGGACACATTGTGTGGACTCTGGGGCCTGCTGCTGTCCTTGGCATCGAAGGAGGTGTCGGCGCGAAGCTTCGGTTTCGGTGGCTTCTCTTGGGATCCTGACCATGGAGCACCAGCGCCTTCTGGCACGGTTGTCGGGCTGACTGCTTCATCTTTGGGTAATCCAATTGAGTTGGACGCGTCTTGTTGGGCCTCCTGAGCCATGGCTGGTGCAGGATTTGCGGTGTCGACGCCGGTGGCAGATGGGTCTATGGTGATGGTCGGACTTTGGAGGAGAATGTCAGTTCTATACCTTACTTGTCACAGGAAGGCAAATAGATGCCGTGGACCGCAAACGTACGCTCGATTCCTCCGTTGCGGCGCAGGGCCGTCTTCTGGGGTGGAATTCGGATCCATGATTCCAGATCGAGCTCGACACTGCCGCTTTGGTGCGGCGCCGAGTGACGGTGAAGCGAGGCGAATGGAGGGCCGCCAGTGTGGACGACTGAAGTGGTAGCGTGAGGCTGTGCTGATAAAGGAAGGAGGCAGCCAGGCGGCAAAAGGAGCGACAATAGCCTGAGGAGGCAAACTATGTTCGTGAAGATATAATAACAAAAACCTGTCTTAGAAGTTGTTCGTTAGGTTGAAGTTGGGGTTCGTGTGGGGGTTGTATTATGAGGAGCGCAAAGGCGCGTCGTGGTGTGATATTGATGGAGTATCCGTAGTCGTCGGTCTCGGTAGTGAATATCGACAAGTATTTGGGATACAGGGGGATATACGACGTCTCGAGATGGGTAGAGGCGATGTGGGTAAGGAAAACGTTTGGTTGGCGCTGATGTCCCCTTCTCCCACTCTACATTGCGGCACGCGAAGGAGTGGGCAGCCAAGCAAGTAGAGAAAAGAGGAAAGGTGAGGGAATGATGCGATGGGAGGAAGATGGAGACGTTGAGGTTCGTTTCAATCAATCCAAATCCAAATCCGCAGCGCCTACCTACTCGGAGCCAAGACTGGAGTAAGAAAGTCTTGAGACAAGCCAGTGACTGGGTGGCTGTCCTAGTCCTGATGTACGGCCTGGGAAAGAGGGAGGGACCTTGGGGTCGAAAAGAGCGAATTCCAGGACAGGACGGGATAGAGAGGAGGTTTTGCCCCTTGTCACGTCTCCTCTGGAGAGCATTTCAAGTGGAAGGCGGCGGTTGTGCCATGGTCCAGAAGTGTGAGTGAGAGTTTGGATCTCCCACATGTGGTGCCAAGATTGAGGCAGTGCAAAGAAGTACACCTCATTGGTCGGAGGCGAGGTCCGTACAGGGGTAGGCCGGTGTACATGGTTGTAGAAGCTCCGCTACTCCGTTTGCGGCTTAGTCTGCCCGTCGTTACTGGAAGGGGTCCCAGTAAGGTAGGTACCGTAGCTTGTCAGGAGAAAGAAGCTCGTCGCAGTAGGTAGTAAGTCCATTGTACCTTTGCTGCTGCTGCCAGTCTTCTAGTACTTTTCTCTACATCCAAAGCCTGGCTTGCTCTCTCCTCACTACTGAGGTGGGAGATCCACCCGGCCCATGTGGGGCGACTTCCCATTTCACGGGCACAGCACATTGCCAAGGCCAAAGGTTCCTTTTTTTCCCCTTCCCTTCCTTCTCGTACGGATACACCCTTTCCAGTCCTTTAAATTCATTCCATCAGAACAGACCATCTTTGCTATTCCATGGGTTGGGGGGCCCTTAAGAAGAGCATGATGGGAAAATGACACCCTTTCCCAACCCCAGACATCCGTCTTGCTGATGACTTTGCAGGTTGTCAAACCACATTCCTCAACTTACTACAGACACTCCAAACATCCAGGCGATTACCAATGCTACCTTGGCTGGTGTACGGTGTATATGATGCGTAATTTGTAATCAGGTGGACTCATTGGCCAAAGGAGTTTTGCTTGAAAGTTGGAACAAGCCATGAATCATGGCGACGACACGACGACTGGATAGCATCTTACACCTCCCACAAGTATTCCCTCCCGGTCGGTCTTATCAAATCCAACGGATACCTCGCGCTCCACAAGTCCACCGTCAGCGCGACCTCGACTTTAACAGCAGTGTTTACACATTGCTACTTCTTTCTATCTCAGCTGCATACGGATCTCGATCACTTGTTTCGAGGTCGTGTTTCTTCGCCGCTACGGGACCGAGTCTTACGGCGCCCCGGAGGTACTTCTCGTACAAAGTCCCACCAATCATCCGGTAATGGGTCTTCTGTTCGTAAGCCTGGAGAACCATTCTCAATCCTCGAGGCTGAGCGCCAGGTTGACTCCGCTGCAGTGGTGAGGCGATAGCCAAGATCGACAGCCAGGCCAGCATGCTGCAGCACAAAGCTTTAACAATTCCGATATTCGACCCAATTATTACTCTGTAAGTCCCTGCTGTCCGTGCTGCACCTTCTTCCTTTCGGTCTGTTACACAGCGGCGGCTTTTCCGTCGTCTTGTTGCTTCCAAGGCACTTCCATGCCGTGCTGAAGCAAGCGTTCTCGGGAGGCGTACCGGCGATCCACGTCGAACATGGCGCTTTCGCTTTCTCTCAGACACTTTTGCCGTATCTCATCTACACAGGAGATGATTGTGCCCTGCCCTCTTGTCTGGTCTGGTCTGGGGTACCGGGGATCATGGGCATACCACAAAGCAAGGACGGGCCTTGTCGAGCGAGTTCGGACCATCACATTCCAGCAAGCCGTCTCGGAAGAGATTAGATGTTGTTGCATCACAAACCACATCTGACATATGGGCCAGCCTGCAGAATACCTCGCGGCGCGCTTCGGCGATGGGCTTTGCAACTCTTACAATCACATTATTCGCCACGGACAGAGAGGCGCCAATAAACGGGCGGAGATATGGCGACATTGACCATCCTGTCCTGTTTTACGGCTGGCTACTGACCCGTCGGGATGTGTGTGGTGGCTTGCCCAGTCTGGCAGGTCGGGAACGGTGGTTTAGCAGAAAGCGCACCAACGAATCGCCCATCGGCCGACTAGTGTCGCTTAGTGGTCTGTCTTTCAAAGCCGACGACGTCAGGTACAAAGTGCCGGCACGAGGCCGGAGGTTCAAAGTTCAACGGCGGGGCAACGCAGCGACAGATGCCATGACGCCAAGACAAATTTTCATGCCAACGCTCGATGGGGCTCTTTGGGATTGCACTCGAACCTGCATGGCTTGTCCCTTACCTTATCTCAAGATTGAACAAGGTCAGGGCCTGCACAAGATGTGTGCTGACGCTCGCCTCAGTTAAACTCCATGGTTTGAAATTCCACGAGTTTTTCGAAGGTTGGAAAGTCGCCTTGATTTTTACTTGGGCGACGGCTTTTTCTTTTGTGCCTCCTCTTATCGCTTCCCCTTGAACATCGGCCACACTACAATTACCGCACAAGACCGAAGGAGGCACAGCGGTCCACGTACTGGCGGTTTCCAGTCGATGATTATGCATAATGATGCGTGAGTCGATTACTATTCGAAGCTCTCGCGTTGGATGGAACCCCCCTTACCCCCCATACCCCTCTGATCCGAGAAGGGAAGAGTGGCCTACCTCCAATTGATCGCGCATGTCTGGCAGCTTACAGGAACTGTCTTGCTTGGAGCTTGTTCTTCAAGTGAACATCATGAAGCATGTGCCAATGCTGGTCACTGGAAGATATGCGTATCTGAGGCGGAGGCACAAGTCCAGCAAGTGGATGGGCATCGATCTCTAGGTGAGCGAAACAATATGCAACTACTCGAAGTTGCCTAATTGGGTTCAAATTAATTCTCGGCCATGATTCTACGGAGAAAAGAGCTTAGAAGGGGTCCACCAAAAAAGGAATAACAAGCACTGGGTTGACGACCACCCATAATTTTCATCGCATTCCGCTCGTGGCTCAGCGGCTGTGAGCAAGTGACAAAAGTCGAACTGCTTAGCGTCCATAACCAAAATGATGCCGAGGACTAACCCACGTCTGTTCGAAGATGAATAATAAGACGGCAGGTTATTTGATTCATGCCGCATGGGACGTTCTCCTATCTTACAGAGGTGCAAGCGTTCAGAGTTGCAGTTGGGTTCTCCAGCGTAATCTTGGCCTACTCCGCTGGTTTTCGTTGGCGCCCTGGACACGTTGGCCTGCTTCAAGTGCGAATACCTCCTGTGGGCTGTGGCCCCTCGCTCCGGAATGGCGGGTGTCCACTACTCAATTCCGTTACCGACATGAGAGGCATCGGGGCCCTGGCCGAATCGGACGGGGCTTGGGCCACCGGTGGGACGTGGGTGAAGGAGACGGCGCCACGAGTGTCCAGACTTTTGCGACTTTTGCAACTGGGTACTTTTCTAAATCTCCACATCCCAGCTTGCCAGAAACTTGCTGTTTCTCCATATTCGGCCTTGCCTTGTCGGCTCTATTCTCTTGGCCCTGAGCACAAGATGCTACGTATGCTATACTTTCAAATCCCAGCAGGGTTTCCTCCTCTGCATTGTCATCGTCATTCCGGTACTTGTCTCGCTGTGGAATGTTTGAACGCCTGGATGTACAATAGTGCCCACAAAATGCCTGCCGCCGCCTTTCTAGCGCACGTCTGTGGGTTTCCTGCCGCAGCAACCCAGTTGTGGTGAAGGCCTGACAAAGACAACCAACCTTACGGATACATTGTACAATTGGGAACGTCTGCCTCTGGGAGCCTAACCGCAGTCAAATTCCAAAGCAAACTAGCCGCCCTAGAATCAGTAGCCTCAACGCTTGAGAAGGCCAGAATTCCAATCAACCGACGAGTCCGTGGCCAGAGCCAGCATCAACCCGTGGTCAATCTTGCAACCCAGCAGCTTGCCCAGTTGCCTGTCCCCCAACCATCCGAGAGCCGACGAAACATCAACATCCAGCCATCAATCAATGCCGTCCGGCACCGTCCACTATTGGACCCGAGACCTCTTCACCTCCGCATCTTGGCTCCCCCGCTTCACGTAACGCTGCCGGTGGTACATTCACACATTGCATTGGGGCCAACCAGCCATCAACTCAAAAAAGAGTCAACTGCGGAAGGCACAAACCTTATCGTTTCTCATCCGAAGGCCCATGTGCTTCTTGACTCGCTCACTCAGCAGAAAGACCAATACCTCAACCTTCCCCAGCTAGACTCGTTGACTTCCAGCTGAGCCGGAGAGGGCTTTTCAAGCTGTCAAGTTTCGTCAACGACATCGGACCCCAGCTGACCTTCAACCCGCTCGGTTCCCCTCTCAGTTCCCCTCTCAGTTCCCCTCTCAGACTCGCAACTCGTGATGTTTAGCTTGACCCGGTCACCCCTTGCCAACCCTAGATTCAGATCTAGACTTTTTCCAAACTCAGCATAACCACAACCACTCATGAGCGAGCGGTTAGAACGAAGCATAGCAGCCCATCTCACCCCCTCATCCTGCCACTGCCGCCTGCCGGTCTAGACCAAAAGATGCCTCCGCTATATCTCGCGCGGCAAGGTATCGTAGTAGTTCATCTTCTTGCACGACCAATCGGCACGCACGCCGTCATCAGCGGACGTCGATCGAGTGAGGCTGAGCAGCTTCGGAGCGAAACTCTCTCGGCAACCACTGCAACCCAACATCCTATCATTTGAAGGAGGTGGCAATCTGACAGTCACCCTCACCGAAGTAGCTTGCTTCAAATGGCAATAGGCCCAGCTATTCCTCAGGTTTGCAATCTAAATGGCGGCCTCTGTCTTTGACAAGACATCGTTTCCATCGACTGGCCATATGGAATAGGCGCTATAACAGCGCTCGATTGGCCTTTGTGACACCAGTCGAAGAGGCAAACCAGTATATCCAAGGCCAGTCGTTGAGGCTGTGCTCGCTGGCCTAGATGTTTCACTGCACCAACCACGTGTGGTGTGTAGCACCATTCCGCCGACGATCTCCTGAATCAACCTGGTGTCACCGAAATACCGTCAATATAATCTCACAGACTGCTAGCAGCGCGCCCGCTGCGCGATATTACCCGGGATCCACGGATAGCCGTGTGTGTAAGTGTGTAACAGTGTGTGCGCACGCGTCAGTTTGCCTCCTCGACGGACTGCGGGGCCTGCGGGCTAAACATTTCGGGCCGCAAACAAAGGGCGACAAAGGGCGACAAAGGTCGGCCTGCAACAGTCCGAAATCTCCGGCTGCGAAACTACAATGTCCTTTTGAACGACAACAAAACATCTGAACAATCTACCTCATCCAAACATGGCTCGGGCAAATGACTTTGGAGGACAGAAAAAAAGGGCCATTCTTTTCAAAGGGGAAAGAAGAATATTCTTTGGCGAGAAAGTACTTTGTGCTACCCCTTCTTGGCAACGCTTGGCAAATATTGGATACTGTGCTGCTTGCAGCAATGCCTCCATTCCCGAGGAGATTTTTTCTAAAAACTTTAAATAAAAGCAAAGTCATTCTTAGTTCCCGCAGACTTGGCAGCCGGGCCCTGGGGCGCGTTAGAGGGAGATCCTTATGTCTTGGCAATTTGCAACATCACGAGGCGCAGATGATTATCTCAACGGCGGCTGGCGATTTGGAAAAGTGTGCGCTAAGGTTGCACAACTTCTGGGGGTCCAGAAAATATGCCTCACCTACCTGCCAAGAAAATACGTGATGCCCCGGAATGCTTCCACTGGTATCGCATGGTGACGTTCTTTTTTCCTCTGATATTTCTTTTCTTGTTATTCTTGTGTTTCTAGATTTGAAAACCCGCAGGGTTGTATCCCAAAAGTCTCTACAAAAGTCTCTACTTTTTGTCTGCCTTGCCTCTTGGTCTCAAACCAGATCCTTAACTACCGGCGTCCCGACCTCAACGCCAAGCCCAAGACCAAGAAAGGTGGGAAAAAACGCCTTACCGTCTGCCCAAGTCGACCCGTCTAACATGAACCATGTCAGCTTCTCCAACAACAGCAGCGGCAGGCTCGACCCCAAAGAACCCGCCGACGGCCTTCCTCAACGACTCCTCCCAGAACCCGGCTACCACGCCCTTCAGGTCTCCGCCCGTCTGCTTGAAATCCGGAAACGAGTTGACCTCGAGCAGCCAGGGCGCGGCGTTCTCGTCGACGAGGAAGTCCAGCCCAAACACCTCGAACGCGTTGTCCAGAGGCTGGAAATGGATCGTCATTTCCCGCGCCGCGGCCTCGAAGATCTCGCCCGTGACGTCGCAAATGCGCTCAAAGATGCGGTCCGCCGTCTCAGCAGAGAGACCCGCTTCCTCTCTAGCACCAGCTCCCGTTCCCGCTCCCTTGCCAGAAGGAACAAGATCCCAAAACAGCTTCACGGGCGGCAAGGCAGATTCCCCCCCTCCTCCCTGCAAGCAGGTATTCGTCAGGTGGCCGTCCAGGTCCACATCCTCCCATGGCGCGCGGTACGTCTTGCCCGCGAACAGCGCCAGCATCGGCTTGTAGACGTAGACGTCCAGGCTGCCGACGCAGAGGACGTACGTGCGGATGTGGAACTTGCGGGCGTCGGAGGGGAGGAGGAGGGGCGGGTGGATGTACGGCTGGGCGACAAAGTGGCGGAGGTGCGAGGTCGTGATGTAGTCCCCTCCTCCCTGGCGTCCATCAGCGGCGGTAGTAGTCTCTTCGTTCTCGTTCTCCTCGTCCTCGTCCTCGCTGTCGGGCCTCTCTTCTTCCCATCCGTCAAAGATGCCCTGCAACTCCTCCATCGAGCTAAATAGCCGGATGCCCTGACCGCGATCACTCATGCCCGGCTTCAGAATCCACCATTCCTTCTTATCCTCCTCCTCGACACCCTCGTTCCTGTCCATGCTCTCTCGTAGATCAAACGCCTCAACGAGCGCGTCGTCCAGGAACTCGGCATAGTCTACCTCAAAATGCTCTCCACGTTTGACATGCGTCTTGAGTGACGAGGAGGGATGCTTCGCGATCCAGTGATCCACCGTCGACGAGAGGTAGTGCTTCCGGATGAGAGCTTTCCGGATGACGTAGCTATTTACGAGAGCCGTGGCAGGGTGCGCGGCGACGTGGTCAAAGTCGAGAGATTCGTATGGAGCGATATGGAGGATCTTCGTATCTGCCGAGGGAAGGCTGGCCGCAAGGGCGCGTTCGGCGTCGGCGGATTCTTGCGGCACAGGGAGAAGAGAGTATGCTCCTGGGAATAGCCGTTCCATGGCCTCAAGGATGAGCGGTTGGACATACGGGTCCTCGTAGTTGATAATGGCGTGAAATTTCGGGCTCGCGGCTGTCATGGCGGTCGACTGCTGGGCGGCAAAGGTGGAACTTCGCATGGGAAGTCTAGTCGACGAGCGACTGGCTTCTTCTGCCTTTGCAGATGCCTCAGTTTGCGGGCTGTCACTACAGAGGAGGAGGCGTAAGAAAATGATTATCATGTAATCTATTGTCTTCCCAAACGGATCGAGAGCGTAAGAGTACATGCCGAGCTTGCCCAGGGGCCCTCTATATGTCTTGATCGTCTCTTTTATCCCCAGCCGTTTATGCTTCATGCTTCGTGTAACAACGTTCTGACATCCTGCCCGGCTACTTCGCCGTGTTGCGATCTTTGTCTCTCTCTTTCTCGCAGACATATAGCTGGTGGGAATCTACATATCTTTTAATTTCAAGGGCTCACTTACAGAATCAGCTCCTTCTGATGGAGTTGCTGGGAAGCATGCCAGAAATTGGCCTTCAGGGGTGTCACACTGTGGGTGGTCAGCATCAGCACTCTCGAATGGGCCTTCAAGCCCGTCGATATAAGGGCTCGGGATCACAAACCTCGTGTAGCCCTCCTTCACAGCCCATCCATCGTTTCCAGGGGCAGCTTCCTCGACGCTCTGATACACATCTGTGAATCTAGGCGCCCACTTGAAATGCTTGTGTCGATGACCCTTGGCAATTTCACCTTCAGTCTTTGTCTTCTCGTCCTGCTTCGGGTTCTCGGCAGACGTTTCCCCGAAGGCGCCCTCGCGAATCTTCTCCTCTTCTTCATCCTCATCGCCAGCGTCACCGTCAATTTCCTGGAAGCAGCTGCCGTCGCGCCAGTAATTCTGCAGCATGTTCGTAAAGTACGTCTTGTGCGTCTCAACACCCTCAACAAGCGGCACGTTGACGCTGTAAAGATCCACCTCGTCACCCGCAGGCCATTGCTCATACAATTTCTCAATGACCTTGACCGAGTGCCTGGCGGCGCCCTCGATGATCACGGGGTCATGGTTCCTCGAAAAGAAGGCGTAGCTGAGCGCGATTGACTTGCTCTTGCAAACCGCCGCTTCAAGGGCACCGCCCAAAGTACCCGAACTCAGCGCGAACACAGCGGTCGTGTTGCGTCCATAGTTCGGTCCACTGACGACCAGGTCAATCGGCCCGCGCTCCTGGAAAAAGTGGTGTAGGCCGATCTGCACGCACGACGCCGGAGTGCCGTCAACGAGGATCCATTCGTCGTCGGCACCGTTGGCTGAGGGCCGAGTCGTGGTCGTGCCTTCTGTACCGAAAAGGCCTTCGGTGGAGGGGCGGTAGTAGAGCGGCTTGACAGTCTGGCCAATCATGTGCGCCTTGCCGATCCAGGAGCGCTGGGTGTGCGGGAGGCAGACGGAGACGACATGGCCTGCTTGCTGGAGTTGATGGACGAGGGAGTGAACGTAGGGGGAGGAGTGAGGAGATGGCGGACCGTCGTCATTGGTGAGAAGGATGTGCATATTGACAGCTGGCTGGTGCTTTGTGCCGTTGAGAGTGAGCTGAGTTGAGTTGATTGCGGTAAGGTCTGAAAAGGGAGTTGAAAGTCAAAGATTTCGGGGTCGAGGAAATTGCCCCGCGGCAAGAGGTGAATGGCGGGTCTTGGCTTAACACTAAGGTGCTAGATGACCGCGTGACTTTTTCGTGACAATTTCGAGGCTTGGGATAAGAGGGAGTAGTTTTAACAACCGCCAGTGATAGTCTCACTTTCAAGGTGAAGGAGCTCGCTTGTGACGAGGTTGTGAGTTTACCTGAGTGAGTATCTGGACGAAGGAACTCGGGGCATACTTTCAGAGCGCAAAGTGGGATGGAGGGGGTTGCAATAGTGGGGCAAGTTGACGTTTGTTAGACACGGAAGGATATGCGGTGCCCGCTCTCGGCGCTCTCGGAGGGGAACAGCAGGCCAACGTCGGGCCTTCCCACAGAACCGACTTTCTTGGGTTATATGAGCATCCGAGCTCCCCACCTTGCCTTAGCTGATTCTCATTCGTTGCGTGAGCATTCTCATTCAGCCATCTGGACGGATCTGGGAGTCACTTTAATTTCACAGGATAATAAGAAACGCAATGGTGTTGTAAGAATCGTTCGTGTTGTTCGTATTGTCCCAGTCTGTAGACTTCGGAGAGCTAATCGCAGCCCTCTTACTACACGTAATATCAGCCCTTGATAGAGGGCTAAACAAACGCCGTAATCCTAATATCTCCCTGCAGGCTTTAGAAATCTTGTCCCATACCCAGAGAAACAAAATAAGTCTACCCTAGTCGAAGAAGGGGGTTGATTGGAAATACCGCTAGTGCCCAGCGTCCAGTTCATCCCTTGTCCAGAAAGTGAAGTAATCATTACATGAAAGCCTATCGAGAATTGTGCTTCCTCGTACCATAATCCTGATCGAAGCGAAGTGGTGACCCAGACTCTGAATTGCTGGGCTGTGCAAAGAACGATACTCAAAGATAACTTGATCGTACAAATTTCAAGTACGAGCTCGCTTAGGAGCAGAGGCTTCGAGCTCGTCGCCCGCGCGCTTCGTGACAGTGCTCCCCTGGCGGCTCTTGACACGCGGCCAGTCGTCGAATGGACTCTGGCGACTCTTGCGTTTAATCGGTGTCGCTTCTTCTTTCTTCAGCCCAGAGCGAGTGGTGCGCCTAGTGTCCGGCGGAGTGGCGACTGTCTGACCAAATTTGGGTGCCTTGGGGGTCGATGGGGCCTCTTCCTCGACCTCGACCGGGGTCCCTGGCGTCGCCTCAACCTCGGGATCCTCCTCGAGGTGATGGTCTTCGATGTCGGTAATGGCTTCCTCTTCCTCGAGAGTGGTGCCCGTAGCAGGCGCCTTGGGCGCGACAGGGAAAAGTAGGCGCGGCTTCATGGCAGAACGCGTTAGTGGCCTTCGAAGGCGAGATTCGCTTGAGCTGCCCTCTTCGTCGTCTTCATCTTCGGGCTCAGCGAACTTGCGGAATATCTTCTTTCCTCGGCTGTAATAACGGTCAGTGAAGTGCCTTTTCCTTTCTTTTTTGGGCGGGTGTAGAAGTCAACTTACAAAACATAAACCATGCCGTCCTCGCGCTGAAGTGCATCGTCGACGCCTTGCGCAGCTTCTCCCGGAATCGCGACCTTGCGCTTGCTGCGACGACGCGGGGGCTCTCGGTCGACGGCAACGCTATCGCCATAAAACGGGTTGTCCACGCTGGAGTCGGGCACAGGAACGCGGTCTTGCGAATCGGTGAAGATCTCGATCTTTTCTTCTACTTCGGTGGCGGTGAAGCTCTCCAACGAATTGCCGGAATACTTCTTCGGCGTTCGCTTTCTCTTGGGTACGGCCGCTGCCTCATCGTCGTTGGCGAATAGGTTGCGCGCGACCGATTTGATCTGCGCAGTCTGCTTCTCGGAAGGTACCTTCTTAGGCGTCTTGGCTGGCGTGGGTAGCATACCGGTGCGACGAGTCGAAGCGGTGTGGCTCGATTGACGGTCCATCTTATCGATTCCAAGCGACGACGCAGCGTGCGATGAGCTCTCGGAGGTCAAGAAACCAGAAGATCGTCGCACGGAATCTTGCGCAGGTTGGCGCTTCTTCTGAGGTGTAGCCGCAGGCGACACGATGGCTGCAGCGGCAGAAGGTGCGATGGGTTTGCGAGTTGATCGTGGAGGAGTGCGGTGGGTTGGTGGTTGCGGAGAAGGAGTTCGGTTTGCAGCTCGACGAGATGAAATACGTGCCGATTTGCGAGGAGAATAAGGCTCCCAGTTATCGCTCCAGCCGTGTTTGGGTGTTGGCGGTGTATGGATGGTAGGGGGAGGTGAAGGTGTTGATGCGGCAAAGACTGTAGCCATGGTGTCGAAAAGGGCAGGCAGGCAGCCGAGGTCGTCGAGAGTTGGTGCACCGTCACTTCCTAATTGGTATCCTTTGAAGTCCCCAATTGCGCATGCAACTTTTGGTGAAGATGAGAATGCGCGCGATTTTTTTTTTGCTTAGCGTCAAGTTGCAGTTGACAAGGTGAGGTGATGACAATGGAGAAGATAAGGTGAGGGAGGTCAGAAACTCGAGATGAACTCCGGCAGTCAGAGTATCAAGAGGTGAAGCGAACTTATGGTTTACAACAACACTATGCAAGTACAAAGAGGTTGAAATGGTCGAGTTTGCGATGTCTCTGGTTGCTCTGGCTACAAGTGATGTAAGTAAGGAGTGGATGTGTGGAATGGGATGATGTTGGCGATCATGGGGCGGCAGTTGGGATGCAAAAGGAAATGGTCTCAAAAACGTGGGAGGAGGCTGGAGGCTGAGAAATGTAGAGGCTGGGGACGGGGTGAGGTGAGGGTGAGCTGAGCGTTTTGCAGCGCACCAGCACCAGCCCCCCATTTTGCACCTGCACCTCACCAGTCAAGCCTCCTTCTCCCATTCAAATTAAGCGAACCCCACCAACAGCAGTGGGGACGCGTCGACTACTCAGGGGACGCGAATTTTCGCGTAGAAACAACAGCGCCCGAATGAGCACTGACACCTCCAGCATGAGTACCTCCACTACTACCACTCTTGAAGCTGCTGCGAAGCACAGGTCACCGTACACTGGCTTCGGACATAGGGTCTCCACTCCAGACTGCCCCTCACTCGCTGCATCCCACATTTCCCCCAAACGGTCGGGCACCTCCACTCCAAAAGTCTAAAACCATCATCAACAAATAACGTCACACTCGACCTTGCGCCGCACTTCTCAACCGTACAGACAAGTCAGCCCGTGGTACTTCGACCGAGCTACCCTTTCATCCAAGTCTGGAGTAACCATTACCGAATAAGGGAGACCTGAGCTACAGCGAATCTGTAGCTGCAGCTGGACGCTAAACGCCCTTACTGCAATGGCTGAATATGCCGACGATTCCCTCACGGAGGACATATGGGCATCGCCTGGCCCCGATGGCAAAGTAGCTCCTCCATCCGATCGGCCCGAGACCCCTAGAACACCCAAGACCCCCAAGACGCCAAAAACGCCCGCGAACCAGCATCAGAACGCCCCTTATGACAGAGAGGCGTCTTTGCGCAAAGAGTTGGAGGGTGTGCGAAACATCAATGCTGCCATTGAAGGCATAATCAGCACCCTTGACAAGGCCAAGGGCAACATGAATGTGCGCTGCCTCGTGAAAAGCCTCTTCCAAGTGAAACCAGCTGACATTGTCCTCTAGACTGTTGGCAGCACCGTATCAAACGCATCCACGCTCCTCAACACCTGGACCCGCATTCTCTCCCAAACCGAACACAACCAACGGCTTATTCTCAATCCCAATTGGCAAGGCGCAAGTAATGACTTGGTACAGATGGAGGCAGAGACGGTACAAAAGCAGCAGCTTGCCGAGAGACGGGCGGCTGATGAGGAGAGGCGGCGCGAGGCGGCTCGGAGGAGGAGAGAAGAGGAGGACGAAGAGCGACAGAGACAGGCGGCAGTCGGGAGCGCACCGCGTGGTCGAGGAGTTTCTCGTGGGCGGGTGCGAGGCACCTCATCGACAGCTCGTGGCCACAGCTACTCGAGTAGCACGTCGAGAATCGGCAGAGGCGCGGCAAGCGTTCGTGGTGGATATCGGGGGCGAGCTAGAGGTACAGAGTGAGGGGACGATACGTATTGTTTGTGAACGAGTACCAATACCCAGGAATGCATGCATTCGAATGGTCGGCCGCCGGCTAGCCTATTTCTTCTTGAAAAAGTCGCTCATCTTCTTCATGCCCGTTGTGTTGACCTTTCCCAACGCCTTAACGCCTCGCGTTTGGCTGGCCTTCTTTTTCCTTTCCTCCTCCATCTTGCGCTTCTTCTCGGCGCGGGCCTCCTCTTCTTCCTCGTCGAGCATTCGCTTCCTGGAGTAGTCGGCCATGGAGCGGGACGAGGCAGCTTCTGCGCGAAGCTTCGTGAGTTGGACCAGGTATTCGTCCAATGGCGAGAAGTCGACACCTGATACGTCCTTATCGGCCAGAAGCTTTTTCAGGCTCGATGCCATGCCTGGCGCAACGTAGCTCGAGCAGATGAAGCTAAAGGCAACTCTGAGTCGTTGCAAGCTGGTCACCTCGGCGGATGCTTGGATGGCACTGACGACGGTATCTTCGAATAGTTCTCCATCGACAGAGGTTGCTGCTGTCGAGATATTGGAAGCAACTGAGGCTTTGCTGTCGACTGTTGAGACGGATGACTGGGATTCACCAGCGTCGTGCTGCAGTGTTGGCGTGTTCGCTTCTTCCGCAGCCACTTCCACCTTGACAACTTGTGACTTCTGAACTTGGATAGGCGCTTCCAAGACTTTCTGGACAAATTTCTCGTCCATACTAGCGGGGAGCCCCTTGGAACCCATGGATCTTGCCTTTGAGAGGATCTGAAGAACAAGCTTTTTCTCGCTCAGCCGATACATCTTCTCATCGCCGGCATCAACAGTGTCACACACGGCTTCCATGCGTGATTCGAGGAGGACCCTGGTCTTGGGACTTCGTAGGGCTTCAGACATGTGAGGAGAAGATGTTGAAACTGCATCGAAGTGGTCGTCGCTGGAAAGGAAAAGTCGCTTCGTCTCTTGCGACTTGGCGTTGACGGGACCGAAGAGGCCCGGAACCAGTAGGAACAGAGGGTCCATGGCTGTCGCGATAAAGAGGTCGGCGCCGTTGGTGATTTGGGTTTCAACCTGTGATCCGTCTTTTGCATCCGATTCCTCCAATTTGCCAGCGGGCGTCTCAATCATCCAGCTTCTGGGCGTCGTCTTCGGCGCAGCAACCTTGGTGAACTCGTAGATACCTGTCTCCGGGCAAAGCAGGTAGCGGGTGGGTTTTGAGTAACGAGGGTTCGCCAAGGAGACTATGCGAGCCTCACTGGTAGCTTTTTTGGGAATGATGAACAATTGAAGAGCACTTGACGAGTCTTCGGGCAAGCTGTATTTGGCCGTCGAAGAGGCATTGCTCGACTCAGTCTTTGCCGCCGGTGCGGCTTTGGTCGATCTTGTCCTCGCCATGGTGGAAGATAATGTGTACAGGAGTCAGTTTGACGATGTTCAAAGGGTCATTTACATCAGAAAGACCAATTGACCAGAAAGAACGGCTGGCGATGGTGTAAGAGGTCTGAGGGAAGGTCTGGCGGTTGGTCGGATATTGAATGCGAACAAGCAAGCTTGCGGTGGTCAATACCTACCTACCTTACCAAAGGTCAAGGTACTGAGCGGGACGAAGATACCTGGTACCGTTTTTGGACCCTGTGTGCCTGTGCTCTAACGCGACGACGCGCCGGAGTTCAATTAAAAAGTGGATCGCGTTCCATGTGCATGACGCGACTACAGCCAATAGTTGCACCGAAAAGCCGTAGACTACTCCACGTCAAACTCCTCTTGTCAGGCTAGTCCCCCCAGGCTTATCGTGACGACGAGTTCAGATGCGACAATTCGATAACGATTTCGAGGTATTCTTACCGCACTATTCGTACTCGGTACTCGTGCTTTACCGTATTTCAGATGGTTATTTGGCTCGCAAAATCCGACGTCACTCCTTTAGCCGCATTTCACACGCTTCTCATCGGTCGCCGTATTTTCTTTGTCTGCTTGTTGTTTGTTTGCCAGCACAGACCCTCTTCTCTACCATCGTCCGAGTCTTGCGCCGGACGAAGCTGACAAGGCCGGCTGGCGGGTCATGGGCTTGTGGCGTTGAAGCTCCATCAACTGGTCTTCCCTGGAAGGTGGACTGGACATTCGACAGCTGCGTTCTCACCCACATCATTGCGATACCCTGGCAAGATGCCTCTTGGTTCGTAATATAGGGACACTCTTGTCGATCAACATCATAACATTGGCGTAGCCCCATCCGACGAGCCTCAATGGCCTCCCCGATCCCCTCACGAAGCCCTCATTAGCACCCCAAGCGGCCGCGAGCGCCTCAGACGTCTTCAGAATCGAGGATCACCCTCCCCTTCACCGTTGAAAAGAGGACGAGCAAATTCCACCTTATCTACGCGGTCGGCGAACTTGAACGACGGAATGGACGACGAGGAGGACGAGGATGAGGAGACACTTCAGTTGAAGTTGCAAGAGATTCAGGCCAGGTTAAAGTTGAAGAAATTGCAGAGCGCGAGGGAGCGGACGGAAGGAGCCCCACCGACTCAAACGAGACCGACTTCAAGAGGTTTAGGACTCGGCGCAAGTCGGGCAATATCCCGACCCGAACCCCAAACTGCCATCGAGGTGCCTGTGTCTCCAATTCGGAAGATGCAGCCCGCGCCATCAAAAGCATCACCGACCCGGGTTCCGCTTGGGACCGACAAAGGTATCAAGAGGGCACCAAGTGTACTGCGGAGGAATACAAATTCCCAAGATGGACAGCAACAAGTCGGCGGCTATCTTCAAAGGTCACGAACTCCTGCTCAGCAAGAGACGCAACGGCCACTGAGCTTCAACGAGAGGTTAGCTGCGGCGAGAACACAAGAGATTGACCGCCAGGGCTTGCGAGAAAGAGTCCAAAAGGTCAGATCTGAAGCTTTTGATATTGGGCAAAAAGAGATTGAGCAGTTCAAGGAAAAAGCGATAGACATTCCTGAGCAAGCGGACACTGCGCCACAATTTACCAGGGAGGAAATCCTTGGTAGACTGAGCAAGGCAGAACCCAGCCAGCGCAAGCTCGACACAATACCTGCGCTTCTAGCACCATCCCCTAAAGATGACGATGATCCCGAAGGCCTCTACGAAGCTCCACCTGACTGGATGATGGCCGGACAAAACTCTAAGAAGGTCGCGCCAGCAGACGTGCCAGAAGCTGAAGCGTCGGCATTTGAGCCGTACTCCAGCTTTCATCTCTCGCAACGCATTCTTCCTCATCAAGTCTTGACAAGGACTCTGTCTGGGAAGAAGATATTCAAGTTGCCAGACTTGCTGCGGAAGGTCAAGGCTCCTGAATTTCAACTTCCAGACATAGAGCAGGATATTGTCGTCTTCGCCGTTATCGCAAAGAAGTCAGAACCTCGCTCTCACAAGCCCCGGGCTGATCAAAACGGCAAGCAGTCAGACAGAGGGAAGTACATGGTCGTCACTTTGTGTGACCTGAAGTGGGAGCTAGAGTTGTTTCTGTTCAATTCGGGCTTTACCCGATTCTGGAAACTCACAGAAGGCACAGTGCTGGCCATTCTGAATCCGACCATCATGCCTCCTCCAGCTGGCCGAGAAGCTACCGGCAAGTTCAGTCTAGTGATAAACTCTGATGCCGACACAATCATGGAGATTGGAAAGGCCCGAGACTTGGGCTTTTGCAAATCCATCAAGAGAGATGGTGAATACTGCAACTCCTGGGTCAACAAGAAACGGACCGAGTTCTGTGAGTTTCACACCAACGAAGCGGTCTCCAAGCAGCGAGCAAACCGCATGGAGGTCAACACGATGGACTTTGGCGGTGTTGGAGAGAGGTATCAAAGGAAATCGCGACAGCCTCTTAAACCAGAGCCTGACAAGAAATTGGGGAAGTACGACCGAGAAACACATAGCCATTGGTTCGCTACAAAATCATTGAGCTCTGCGCAACTTATCGATGGAGGCCAGGCACTTATGGATAGGAGAGAGAAGGAGGAAAACCTGAAAAGAAGAATGATTGCCCAAGAACGCGAAAGGGGTATCATGTCGCGTCTGAGTAAAATCGGCGCCGGTGCCGGGAAGGAGTACATGCAGCAAACGGACCGCAGCCGTAATACCCCATCCACATCGGCCTCGTCGTCGTCCGCGCCATCTTCCAACGCACTTGGGGGGCGGCAGAAGCTCGATACGAAGAGTTTAGGCATCATTGCGCCCAGGAATAGGGAACTAGCTATCCACCTCAGCCCTATCAAGCGCAAGAGACCACAGAGTGCACAGTCCAGCTCCTCGGTCGGCGCGCCCTCGTCGGCGACGGCCGCGACAGGGCTCAAGACCGGTTTTGGATGGGGCAGTAATCTCAAGGACAAGCTCGCCAAGATGAAGGAAGGCGAGAAGCTGAACAGCGATAAGCCGCCAGTGAGAAAGAAAACAAGGTTTGTGACGGAGAAGGGGATCCGCGAGGCTGGAAGGGAGAGTCTGGGTATGGACCTGCCGCAGTCAGTTTCTTTTGAAGATGACGATGACGACGATTTGATTATTGTGTAAAAGCAGCATATATGGGAATGGGTCATGCGAGGCGACACTGGGCGGACGGAATGGAAAGGCATGGGACCGAGGTTACAAGGGATTTTCCACAACTCCTGGATGGAGTCCGCTTGAAGCGATTACGGTTACCAAACAAGGATTACAGAAAAGGGTTCGAAGACAGGATATTACGTCGAGATGACGCTATTGTGATCAGAGCTGGTCGGTTTTTCTGGTACCTCGTGTGATCACATAGCAACATACCTGCGTAAGGTAGGGCAGGCTATTTCCCACGGCGTTGCATCAATAATGAGATCGAGGTGCCCTCCATTCGTCCCTGTCTAGCTACGTCTCACTGGGCCGCACAAAAATCACTGATATCCTTAACTCAGGGGCTCGAAAGTGAGGTTTGTCTCTTCTGTCCTAGGTGGGAGACTAGGGCTCTTGGTCCTGGGCCCCCCATGTTCTGCACCATTTTCACGTAAGGTATGCTACGTAGCTAAGTCTTAGGTCGGGCCCTAGATCTTGTCTTGGGCATTCAAATACTTGTTATGTTAAACGTTTCTTTGAATTTGACTTCAACATATCTCTAAACCCAGACTACATCGCTTCGACCGACTCAAGCGGCCCCTTCAAGTTTGAAAACTTAAGTGTGACAACAACCTTTGAATTAGATCCGAATTACAGATCGTCTGATTCTTAACAACAATCTTGGCAACCATCATTGTAGCATATTTGCCCTCTATCGCAGCAGCAATGGCGCCGATGAAGAGAAGGATTAGCTTGAAGGGCTCAAAACATGTAAACTTCTTGAGGGTGGCTGGCTCATGTAGTTCCAGGTCGGCTTGTCTCTCTCCGGCCAGGTGAAGCATTCCATGATGTTGTCTCCCGAATGGCCCAAAGCGGATTAATTGCCAAGTCTATCAGAATGGCTGCGTTATATGGTGGTTAAGTGCAGGAATCCCGCCAATATGTTCAAAGAGGTGAGCTGAGTCAACTGACCAAAGTTGATCTACGTAATTCCAGGATTCGCTGGGGTTGGTAGAAGCACACCAAAGGCACCGGTGACTCTTGGGGAAATTAATTACTGTATTTGACGTGTAGTTGACACATAAAGCGCAAAATGGTCTTCATCAGGGAAACGTCGCAGTCTAACCCGAGCAGTGAATGTCACTTACTTGAAATGCCTCGCAAGCACCATCCAGCTTCTTGTCGATCATTCTTATGACCATAAAACATACAAGTCACTTTGGGCTGGAAGAACCCAGAAACACCAGTGTCGGTGCCGTCGATCAACGATTTTTGGTCTGACTTCCACTAATTCTGCCAGTCGATGCTTCTCTAATGTACCTGTCATGAAACGTATCCTTACCTAATCCCTGAGCCAGTGTTGCTAGGCAGTAGTCGTTATGAGAGTCCTCCTGGATCCTCGTCACGCTCCTTGAATTTGTGCCGGAGCCGATCGGGTCGAAATCGAGGTATGGGATGTAGTTGAGGCTTTTGCAGCTTGTGAGGCCGCCGCGCGGCCCTCATAAGACCAATCTGGAGGCTCGTCCTCGGCATCTTTGGTTATTGCGGTGAGTGCCAACTCCCAGAGTATCGAGGCCAAGTTTTTGACGTAGTAGTCAACGATAACGACGTCGGCGTTGGAGCCTCCTTTGCAGAGAGACATACGGCAGCCTGGTAGCCAACCTTCGCGCTTATAGATGTCGAGCATGGAATTCACCATTTGTGCCTGGGCCGTTGGGTCGATGACGGTTAGCTAAGGGTGCTAGGCACGAAAACGATCCATAATGCTGTGAACTTGTCAGGTACCTAAGTAGGGGTAGAGACAGACACGGGATCTTTTCTTACCAGTTAAATAAGTCAAAGTAAGGGATTTACCTGTCTCGCCAGACGAATTCTGAGAGAGAATCACGTTGCGGTGCAAGCCGCTCCAGAAACTCCTCTGAAGGTCGCCCGTTGTGCCAGCTGCCTTGGTTGATACGGGGCTCGGTCTGTCTCTCCAGGCGTCCTTTGCTCTCTTCACCAGCGCGTCAAAGTTGTACCTTGGATCCGGAATTCCTTCTCTGCGTTGCGGCATGCCTGATCACTACTCTTGAGCGAGATTCCCACCCCGGCAGTGACCATGTCATTGACCACCTCTTTGAAGCGCACGAACCCGGCCACCCTCGAGATAAAACAAGTTGAAGCCTCTAGTTATGAGCAGCTCCTTGGGCTCATTGCCAACTGTTGTTTACCCATTTACCCAGACCCAGGTATCAAAGATCTTGCCTCCGAAGAAGTCGACGCAGTAGCGAAGCCTGTAAGACCCAGCGACGAAGCTAGGCAGAAAGGTCCCGTTCCCAACATCCGCCCGATAGGCATGTCAATCTTGATAGATGCATTCTGACTACTCGCCCAAAGATCTCAACTGTCAAGTCCAACAGCACGAGCGGATGCTCATTTACGCTCGGAAAATTGAACCGCATGAGTGCAGCGTGCTCAGCCACCGTCATGCCCGTCTTCACGCCGGACGCCAGTTCGACGGAGAAGTAACCTCGCTCGGCGACGGTCTTGTTCAAGTCATGCTTCGTCGCCCGGTCCCGGATCCGGAACATACAGTTCTTGAGCTCATCGCCGGGACGGACCTGCGGGAAGAGCGGAAATTTACCCAAGCTGGGGATTCCCCCGGTGCCGCTATCATGGACAATGCTGAAGCCGGTGACGTTGCTTCCATCGGTCGAGAATTCGCCGGTTCTGTCTCCGTCGACGTCACACGCGGCCTTGGCGAGGCCGTACGGTGTTGTTGCGTCGGCGAAAACGTTTCGGCCGCATTGGGAGCCGACCAAGGGGTTTGCGAAGGCTAAGGGATCAAACGATTGACAGCATCCCGTCCTTGCGAAGGCAGTGAGCGGTGCGAAGAAGCGCACGTTGTGAGGAACCAGACGAACTACAACTCGAACGATGACTGATCGCTCAAGAGGTACTTGAGGAAACCAATCTGGTCATGGCAGGCTCTCCGTGTGAGTAGAGACTGACTCAAAACCGGAAGTCACCCAGTATTTGTCAAGGCCAAGAATGAGAACATCAGACTCGATGAGCTCTGCAGAGCTCATTTTCAAGTTCTTCCATGACCTTGTCTCATGCATAATGACTGCACGGCAATCCCGGCCGCAACGTTGTCCGACTTAGTAAAGCTAACTAGTTATTGAGCAAGCACGAAAGCTCCACGTGGTAGGTGGTACTTGATTCGACGATCCCATGGAAGGTCACGGGAGTAATAGACGTGACGTCGAATGGTTCAATGGTGTCGTTCAGTTCAAGTAAGAGTGGCGGCGGGTATTTGCAGAGTCAAAATAAATGACATATGGCCTAATGGATTGTGCAATTCTTGCCACTCTCATCGGAACGCAGACTTGGTCAAACGCTATACGGGCCAAACGCCAAATATGATGCCGTATGTGGAATTGAATGACCTCCGGGATTTTCATCAGTTCGCCAGGGATACCAACCAGCACTCCTGCGATGGGTTGGGCTCAGTCAAGCGCCAGCAAACGTCCGTTATGACTACCTACAGTAGGGCATCCACTTCTTCAAGTAATATGGCCAGTGAGGCCCTCGCTTCGTTTAGAGGTGAAAGTGAATTTGAATTACTCTATCCCATATTCATGTTCTCAAGTCGGAGAGCCGAGGGAATAAGGCGTGGTGTTGGATGATTCCGTGAAAACCGTACCATTTGAAACTACGGGGTGATCTTTCTGGGATCCGCACACTGTGAAGCCCCTAGCTCGTTTCTGTATTGGGGTAGCACGGCCCCAGACATCTCCACTTTCTCCCGCCCATGTCTTTCTTATCCGCGAACACCGCAGCTTCGGCAGCTTCTTCTCGTTCCCTCGACATTTGGGAGGTGGCTTATTATTACTCAGTTCACAATGAGTCAGACTTGCAAGATGACAATGGCTTTACATAATTTATAAGCCCACATGAGGGAGGCATCCGTCCGAACGCCAGTCTCACTTGATTCAGATGAACTCAATGAGCTAAAACGAGACGTTTGGAGGGGCCTCTTTGGAGGTTGTGCGCCCGAAACGCTCCGTGCTCCAGCTTGGCCCCCGGAACACCACCCCGTGCAAGATGGAGAAGGACACCTGGGCCTTTTGAAGTTTGTCGACTTCACTCCACCTTATAAGCTTTCATTTTTGACCTCGTCTCTTATAGTATTCTCAAAGAATTCAGCTTTCTCTCCTACTATACTCAGCATTCCTCAATCCTCTTGTTTGCCAGCGTGCAACGATTGACAGCCTAGGACCTAGGTAGCCGCCACGATGCTGGATATCTATCAAGTCAACCTCGGCGGCCTCCTGCTCGCCTGTGGCTTTCTCTTCGCCTCGGGCAGCCAAGACAAGTCTAATGCCTCTAAAGGAGACGAGAAGAAAAATTCTCAGCAAAAGCCAAAGCAGACAGGCTCCCAGTGGGCCTTCTACGTCGTCTACGCCCTTGTAATGGGTTCAGATTGGCTGCAGGTAGCTTGCTTCCCACATGCACTTTCTAAGTATGACGATGGAACTTCTAACATGCCAATACTAGGGACCGTTTCTTTATTCTCTTTACAAGAATGAGCATCAAATTTCTTCAGACTTCGTGCCAACGCTCTTCACAACTGGCTTCGTATCCGGCGCCGTAGCCGGCTACTTCATCGGCTCATTCGCTGACCGCCACGGCCGCAAGGCCAGCTGTCTCTTCTTCTGCGCCGCATATGCGCTCTCCTGCATTCTTACCACGATACCCAGCGTTCCGATATTATTCATTGGCCGTGTTCTCGGCGGTCTGGGAACGAGTCTGTTGTTCAGCGTCTTCGAGAGCTGGATGGTGACCGATTTTCATGCCCGCAGTCTGGGTGAGAAGGGCATGGACCTCTCGCGGACCTTCGGCCTAATGAGTACCGTCAACAGCGTCGTCGCAATTGTGAGCGGTGTGGTGAGCGAGTGGCTCGTCTCCGTCACTGGGACGCGCAAGTCGCCTTTCTTGGCCAGTGTCGGGCTGCTGATCGTTGCTGCTGGTGTCATTGCCAGCCAATGGGTATGTTGCGGTGTCTCATCGTATTTCATTACTAGATCCCCACTGACTGAATTTGAAGGATGAAAACTATGGCTCAACAGGTCAAAAATCCGAGTCGGAAAAGTCCACAGCCCAAAAGCCCAGCCTTTGGTCCACAATTACGGACAAGCGTGTTCTCACAATCGGCCTCGCCTCAACCATGTTCGAAGGCTCAATGTACCTCTTTGTAGTCTTGTGGTCCCCTGTCCTCGTCTCCGCGTCGTCTTCACCAGAGTCACTTCCTTACGGCATTATTTTTGCCTCCTTCATGGCCTCGACCCTCCTCGCCTCTCTCCTGTATCCCCGCCTCCTCGCCCTCGTCTCCACGCCATCCCGACTGCTACTATTGGTCTTGCTCGCCGCCAACGTCGTATTTTTTGCCCTTGGAACGGGGCCCCCTCGCGCGGAGCAAGTCACCTTTTGGCTCTTTTGCCTGTTCGAAGCCTGTGTTGGGTTGTATTTCCCTTCGATGGGGTATCTCAAGGGCAAGGTCGTCGATGACGGTGTCAGGGCGCAGGTGTACGGCGTGCTGAGAATTCCGCTGAATGTTTTTGTGGTTGTGAGCCTTATGTTCAGCAGCGATGGGCAGGCGGGTAAGGTGTTTCTCGTCTGTGGCATGTTGCTCCAGGCGAGTTGCGGCGCGTTGTGGCTCATGGGTGGACAAGATGCGTAGGCAGCTGTTCGCTGCATTGCCACCTTCATGTGATAATCTTCTCGTCTTCAAACAGAAATAAGTCGATCTTTAGCTCGACATCACCATCACATCATAGTCAAAATCGTCAGCCAGACGTGCAAAGGGACCCTCATCCTCACCGACTGACGTCAACTTAAGCGCCTGTAAGACACATCAACCCCACGAACCGGCCTTTCGGGCCGTTTAGGCACAACCTCGCTCGTTCGCCCTGGTTTCGGGTTTGGTTGTGCCAGGGCTTGGTGTTCTTGTGTCCTGGTGTTCGTAGTTGACATGTTCTCACGTCCGACGTTCCGCAGTGTGTGGATATCGTGCTTCGGAAACCGAGCAAAGGTGTGTAGCATAGACCACCAGGGCGGGCGGAAATTTGAACGTCATCTGATAGATTAGCCAGGCACAGGAATACAAGAACAGCAGAGTATGTCTTAAGCTCGAACCATTGACAGGACTGCTCCTGTATACCTTATCGTTACCACCTAAATACAAAGTTCGCCTCGCATTATTATTCAACGCCGGACCTAGAGCGACAAGAGGAAGTACCGGCATCCTATCCACCCACAAAGAGGCAATCGCAATCATTCCTAGACACACAATAAATTACCCTCGCTTAAAGACTACAACCAGCCATCTAGGACTCAACTGACAGAGGTCGTGGCATCGCGGGCCGACTCCGCGTAGCACCTAGCGTCGGTAGTTCATCCAAAGAATCCGGCGGCATGATCTCCTGGTCTTCGACCTCAATCTTCAAGCTGGGAACACGATCCAGCGGTATCGTTGTGCCATCCAGCTATACGAACGCTTGTCAGTCCATCATGACTCTAAGAATGCACACCGTTTGGGGGGGACAAAATGCGACGGCTGTACTCACCTTACTAATGACAACCTCCAGCCCGTCTTCTATCCCTCCAAGGATGCCGTTCGTCGAAAGGACTCCTAAGCCAGCAGTCTCAATACCTCGGTTTAAAGGTATCTCGTCATAACTCTTTCCATCCATAGGCATATCCAGTAACGTGAGTGATCCCAACAATGAGCCCTTCAAAAAAAGCTGCACTTGGCAAGGCAACTCTAGCTCGCTTCTCTCGACCTCGACTTTTGCAACGTACTCCCTCCTCGGAATCCTTGCGCGCCGCTTGATCCTAATGGAAGAGGACTGCTGATCCTGGGGGCCGTACAGGCTGTTCACCGTCCTACTGACCGCCATCTTGATATCTCCTGGCGTCTGGTCCCAGAACCTCATCGGCGCATACGTGTACCCCCAGTCACGGATATGTGTCACATGTTCGCTGGTAAGCGGACCGCCTCCCGTTCCAATGAAGGGCCACAAGGGGTACTTCGGGGTGACGGTAGTCCCGGATGGTGTGGCGAACATTTGGGATGAGGCGTACGAGAAATGCATGGTGGCATTTTCGAAATGAAGGGCTTGCCAGAAGGCGATGAGACGATCTACATTTGCATGATGAAGCCAGCTTAGAAATAAATTAGACTTGGCGTGACAAAACTCAGCAAAAACTTACAATAAAGGTTCGAAAGCCGAGGTTGATAGATGTAGGAGATCCTGTCCGCATGCAGCCCCGACATGAATTTCTCCGTGGGGGCCTTCGAAGTTGGCTCCTTGGTTCTGGGCAGTGACCATCTCATCGAAGGATGTGGCTTTCACGAAGACATTGTACTGTGGTCGATCAGTAAGATAGTTAACTCTGAAGCACTCTAGCGGATTCCATGTGGCCTTCGTTAGTCCTTGGGTGCGGGATCTTCACTCACCACTTTCTCCTTCAAGTTGTACCCTGCAAGCTTCGCGTTCGCCGTGTTGGGATAGCTCTCACCGTCCCCAACACAGCGTTTCGTAAAGTTCTGTCCATCAAAACTGCCAAAATCGCCATCGGGAGCCGACTTGGGATAAATAAAACGGTAGAACGGGTTCCGCACCGCGACTGGCTGCAGCGTGCCGCCCACAGCCTTCTGAATGACAACAGTCGGCAACGCCGTTATGGGCGGGACCTGTGAGTCGGCTCCCCAGTCCCAATAGGCAATGCGCAAACTCTCCGCGGCTTCAACATATGCTCGCTTATGAGGCTCCGGGTAAGAGGCTGCTGCACGCTTGGCATAGCGGACTAGCAATTGCTGCAACAAAGAGTCAGTCCCGCGCCAAACGGTTTTTATATCTGTAGAACGGTCGTACGAACCTCATAAAGCAAGAGATATCCGCGATGCCAGGTGCCAAACAATCCTTGCTAATTGGATATCAGTCAAAATCAGTATCTCGGGCGTCGAGATTCTCAGGACGTACGTTATGTGGGCAATATCCAGCTTCTGCACCGCTCTGCGGTCCGCCTCCAGACCATGCCATGTACGGCTGACCGTGAATGCCTGCAATTGTGAGTAAAAGCCAGAATGCTGGAGAAATTTATGATCAAATACCAGCGACTTGGAAATACGATGTTGGCTCGGTCTCATTCGCATCCTGCATGGCTGTGAGGGCTCCAACGTAGAGGTCCCTGTGAGTATGTGAGAAACTTGGCCTTTACCACAGAGTCCAGATCTTACCATTGCGGTCCTGCTTCTTCGTAGATATTGTTGATATTCCTTCTTATAGGTATTTCACCAGTCCGCATGTTGACACCGGACTTTACGCCGACAACAGGGTATTCTTGCGTCACGACTCTCCATGGTGCGGCCACCAGAATGCCTAAGACGACTTTGAACGTTGAGATCATTACGTATTGAGTCAGTATTTGCTAGAAAATTTAGACCACAAGAAGAATAAATTGAAGATGAACATTGCACTAGCAACTCGGGAGATCGCAAAGACTTTATTCTTTACCTACGTGGAGCGGTCAAGCGCCCACTTTCCCAGAATTTTAGCAATCGAAGCCGTCGGATCCGGTCCATGGCTCCGTGCTGTTACCGACCTTGTATCATATCATACCCGGAATGTGGGAAACTCATCAGGCTTGTGTATCTGCCGCCGCGTAGCGTTGCGCGACATGATGACGAGGTCGACGACGTTACTCTTCTTCTGCCCAGGTAGAGGAGTTGGACGTATGATCAGTTCATAATGACCTTGGAAGATTCGCATCCAGGAATAAAAGTAGGACTGCTTTTTCGATAATATACGAAAATAGATACAGCGCGTTTCTGTATCACGATATCGCAAAGGCCGCGCTGTGAGAGCCTTCTCCTTTTATGAGACTTAGCTCACTTGGGCAACTGCGATAGGCATCGTCCGGAAGTGTAAAACCCGGCCGCTCGGCGCCTTCGAATCTAAAACCACGACGGGTAACTGCTTACATACCATGAGGTGGGAAAATGCTAGGTAAGCGTTGAGAAAGCAGAGCGGTCAATATCGCCGTCGGTGTGGCCTTGTTATGATCCCTGATTCGAGAGCATCGAGCGTCTCCCTCTTGATGCTGATTAGTAGCTTTCGCGGACCTGTGTTGATCACAAACTCCGCCTGTCTCACGAACAGAACCACCAAGTTCTGTTTGCGACATGATGCCGTCCTTCCGAGATGCGGCCAGCCGACGGTATCACAAGGCCAAGCCACGCCATTGCTGGGCTTTCTCCTGTTTCCTCACCGCTCTCGGAGGGGCTCTACAGACGCGTCGATTTATGAAGAGAGAAATGCATTGGCTGGAGAATACGATGTTGATTCCCGGAAATGGTAGCTTTATGCTGCACGAGGTGTAGAAGCGCTCTGACGTGGCAGAGATCAAGATATCAAGCGGCTATGAGAATTGTCGTCTGTGCCGCCTGCCTTCAGATTTTCTTTCTTTTCTTTTCTGGGGCAGCGACAGAAGTACCGCGACAGGTGGTGATAATGATTCACGGATGTGGGAAGTTGGGTTACATCCATAACGTCAATAAGTCGACTTGCTGGTCAAATCTCATATTCCATAACTAAAAGCTCATGGATACAGTTGTCTTGTGATTTAAATCCGAAAAAAACGATGTTTTGCCTTCAGCGAAACAGCTTTTAGCTCAACCCGAACATAGAAAACTAAGTAGATCTGCCCTTAACAGGCTCGCCGAGGGAAACGCCAATGATGAGGATCAGAAGAGGCTATGGCTCCTTCTCGTCCCAAACATGCCAAAACCTAATATCAAAAGAAATAGCTACTTAGAAAAGCCCATGATCTCATCCGTATTAGACTTCAATCTGAACCAAGCCCAGGCTCATGACAGTGCATTCGTTGACTTCGAGAGGGAACCTGAGCTGTAATCTCACAGCGACTTCTCGAGAACGACAAGTTCACGGAATCCTTCTTTCCACTTCTTCATCTGCTCGGGCGTGGGCTTCGGCAAAGGGCTACGGGCCACACCGCCATAGCCCAGCCACGCCTGTAGGCCAGCCTTCACACCCACAACACCCCCTTGGATCGCTGTCCAGTCACCTTGTGAGACGATCTCTTGCATTTCCTGAGCCTCTCGATGTCTCCCCTCTCGGAAGAGCTCAATGGTCCTGATACAAGCCTTGGGGGCAATGTTGGCCAGACCTGCAAGGATGCCATGTCCCCCAGCAACCAAGGACTGAATCGAGAAGTCGGCTGAACCTGCCAAGACTACGAACTCTGGAGTCTTTGAGTCAGGCTTCTTTGCCAACTTTCTCGTCGCAGCGGCAACGCGGTTCAACTTGCCCGTATTTCCGCATGTAAGCTTAACACCCACGATATTGGGATGCTGAGACAACTGCACAATGACGTCGGAAGACAAGTCCATGCCTCCCACTGCGCCCGGGAAGTTGTAGATGATGAGAGGAATCGGCGATGCATCCGCCACTGAATGGAAGTACTCGAATATGGTCTCCGATGACGGAGCAAAGAGACCGGCGTAGTATGACGGAGGAAGAACCAGGGCATAGTCTCCACCAGCAGCCCAGGCCTCGGTGCAATATTGTATGGTCTCACGTGTGCTCTGGCTTCCGCAGCCGACGATGATGGGCATGTATGAAAAGCCAGCATCGTTAAGAGCCTGTCTGGTTGTTGCCGTGACAAGATGGCGCTCAGCGTGTGAAAGATGGACTGCTTCTCCGTTGGAACCCTGGGTGGCCAGGCCGGTCACACCCGCTTGAGCAAGTCGTACTGCATGGCGAGCGACAGTTTCGATGTCCACGTTTTCCGTACCCGGCTCGAAGAAGCACATGGTGGGTACGTAGACACCAGGAACAAGCGATCGGGTTCCGTGCAGGTCGGTGCCTAGTGATGCGCTCTCGTATGAACCGCTGAGAAGAGAATTTGGTTCAGCCGCAGCTAGGCTTCCGATTTGGAGATTGGAAGACGTAATAGGGTGGAAAGGGGTCCTGTTGAAGCCGGCGGTGAAACTACCCGCCGGCGAGGGCGCATCTTGGTGAGGAGCCATAGCGATTGTGGGATATGTGTAGCAGATGTTCTTACTTTCAAGTAAGACAGGAAGCACAACGTAGGATACACGAAGCGCGGTAAAGACGTAATGCAAGGGTAGATATCAAAACTAGAATATTGGAGCACGGATGATGAAACTTGAACTAAAACTAGTAGATGTTGTATCGATCCAAGTTCATGCAGATGTCAACGCCTCTGCGACAAGTCGAGGAAGATGGGGAAGTGGGAAGATGGCCTTTTATCACCGGGGCAAGGAAAACAAAGGAAGGCAGTGAGGCATGATGTGACCCCCATCGAAAGGTGGAATATCAATACCAGTCTTGCAGCAGACCAGTGGCGTCACAGGTCACTTCGTAACTGTGGCGGCTCGTCCGTCAAGTAAGTAAGTAAGCATCGCCCGAGATGAACAGGCTGAGACGGGCTTCCAACGGATGGGCCGGCTTCTGCATACGAGCAAGGTGCTTTCAGTCTCGGACTCAAGGAAGAGACGCGCCATGCGGATAGTCATGGGCAAGCAGGCCATTCCGACCAGCAAGGATCACTCCTGGCCGGCTGTAGTAGTACGAAGAAATGCAGCAACGAACCAGGATGTCGGGGAGACTGGAGTGCCTAGACCAGGGCTCTGCGACACAGTGCGTGGAGTTCAAGGCAGGATCGCTGCTTAGCCATGCAGGAGGCGAGGCCGGCGTCTGCTAGCGGGAGACATGGAGGTGGTGGGATACCGTGGAAATCAAAGCTGACCCCAACCCAGATATGTCTTCTGGGGTACGCCGCTTGACGTGGGGGTTAGCCTCAACAGGCCTCGATCTCCAAGTTGCCTCCTTGGGCGCCTGCAGAATCGAGCATTGCAAGCCAGCATTGTCATTCCGCTAAGCTTGAGGCTGGAGTGGGCTTTGGGGGGATGTAAATAACCCTCAGATCTAAAGGGACATGCTGCCGATGAGGTCTGTGAGAAGTGACCCGTGACAACTTCGCGACCAGTCGCACGCAGTTTGAATGTCATCTATGTGGACTAGGGCCGGATCTTACACCGGTGGGTGAAACGACATCTTTTCCTTCGGCGTTCTAGTTTGCACCTCGGGGCAGGTCTCGCCAATGAGTTGACGTTGAAGGATGACACGGCGTTTCGGCCGGCCGTCATGGCCTTAATCGACTTTGAGAGTGAAAAGATAGTCATTGGACTCAGGTGTCGGGAAGGGTTTGAGACATGGTGTCGGCCCATTTCGGTGAAACATGCTTGGTTTGCTGGACATCAGGTAGCCAAAGGATGATGATACAAAAGAGGGGAACAATTTCATTGAATAGACGAGCCGCAAGGCAAGAAGGTTTGCGCGGAGTGCCTCTATTATAAAGGTGTCTTGGGAAGCGATGCATGGTTGAGAAAGTCGCAGTGAAGTCCACAAATTGAAGAGGAAAAAGGTGCTGCATTGTGAAGAGGAAGTCCAAGAGCACAGACCACGGCGATTTGCGCCTGGGGGTCAGTCATTGGCTCACGTAAGCCTGAAGTCAGATGAAGGGATTCGTTCGAGCTGCTGTCTACTCACCTAAACCATCCACATCTAAAATGTATCGTCCTATCTCGGCTCTTCTCGGAATCAATCTGCACCACGAATTCTACCGCTTATCGAGAGGCACAGCTGTTGTCCTACAGTCATCATTTCCTATCAAATCAAGTTTCCATCTTCTACAAAAATGGCGTGTCGTTTGCCAGGAACAGACATTGGCGCTTGAATGAAGGGCCACAGTACACCGTCGTTTGTCTTTACCAAATTCCATCTGCCTTGTTGAGACCGTCGAGGACTTTCTATTCGCTGTTTCGAACGGAGGTATTTCAAGCCCTTGTCTTAACAACAAGCTTCAAGATCAGAAAACGGACAGTGTGAGAACAACCTAGTCAATACTTGGTAAGTCAACAAGTTGGACCGGTTTCATCAAGGCTTTTCATTTCGAGGCGGTGGTAGGGCAGGCCGATGTACGGGATGAGCGTCCAGCATCGGACACAATCCACCGCTGCAAGTCATGCACGCACACAAAGGCTAGCCCCTTCTGCAGTCGATTATTGTGAGATACTACGGCCTGACTATGGAAGTCTGCAAGAGTTCAGACGGCTCCACCACTCACTTTCCAGATCAGGAAACTGTCTTCGTCATGTGCTCTGAACAGTTTTCCAAGCCATCGTTCCCAAAGCGCCTTGCAGACGTCCAAATCAAATTCGAAGGGACCAAGCGTATCGACTCACGAGTTAGAACAACCTTGCTGTCATCGGATGTTGGGCGGATCGACAGACTTTAGACAGCACTAACCCCCACGCTAGCCAACGTGCCAACTCCCCCGGAAAGCCAGGTGCCAGCTTGCTTGAGGGGTCTCCCTTGTCATGGATTATTCCCAACTTCTCAAGGCGGTAAGGCAGCCCTCATGGGTTACGACGTGCCTTTCAAAGGACAAGTATCCGTGCTAGATTGACCTATCTGTCGGTGGCAGTGTTCCTCTGCCTTTCTTGGTCGCGTGCTGAGTCTTACATCTCTTGCAGTCTGACTCTGCGTCAACTTCATTTTCGTCCACCACTCATTCCCCCCATCTGAGGACAGGAGAACGTAACTCCCTGTCATCATCAGCGCATCGATGACGGCGAATCTAGTATTCTATCTTGCTTATGGATCCCTCTTCCTACGTCGGCCGTTATTCAGATGCAACTACGGACCCGTGACCATTTGGAAGGCCGTAGCTGTGCCCGATGTCTTGGCTTTTTCTCCTGCCACCATCGACAGTGCAAGCCTTACTCGTTTTCTACAGTGTTTGTCGGCTTGTCCATTTTCGCGGCCAAGCGTCTGGTATCTATCGTTAGCGTCCTCGGATATAGCTGCAAGTGTCTGCTGACCACAAATCCCCAGATTGTGCAGAACTCCGCCCACATGGTGTGGCAGACGTCGTTGCCAGCACTCTTGCTAATGTTGCAGCTGCGCCGCGCGACCATCCCCTTTTCACCCCGCGACGCACATCATTACGTCGGATAACGGCATATCGCCACAACCGGCGGCCCCCTCAGACGGACGACCGGCTTTCCCCGCACTTTGCTTGACAACGATCTGATGTTGTCTCCGCGGGCTACGGTCTACTCTTCAGCCGCACTACATCGTGCCTTCATTGACGTCGTGTTCCACACCTTTGGCCTGGAAATACGACAGCGTCTCCTGGCCATGATTGATGGAGAAATAAGTCCATGCTTCTGATTTCTATGACCCTCCTCGCGTTTACCTCGGCTTCGTCAGACAACTCATGGCGTCATGTACATCTGGGGCGCTTGAATTGGCAATCCATTCGTATTACACAGCACACTCTCCGGCAGTCGACTCTTCCAGATAGAGTCAGAGTTTTGGCACCACGTCGCCCCCTTCGATGATCAGCAGCGAGCCGCTTGTGCCACGTCTGCAGGCTTGGAAATCTGGGGGCGGGACGTCATGCGGTGCGGACCCCGACAGCCTGACCTTCCACGGAGCCCAACATTGCTGACACCACCCTCACTCACATGAATCAGTTTGTGCCTCTACTTTCTGGATTTATAAGAGGGTTGTAAAACAACTATTGGTCCCCTCGGTTCAATATGAATATCTGCGTCATGAGCAGGGTCGCTTCCCGTCATTTCAGCCCTCTTGGAAGTCTTGGATGACCACTCATCCTTAAGCCGCTACATGCCGCGCGAATGTTCATTCAGTGATGAGCATGCCTCCAAATATCTTGCAGCTATAGTGCGATCAATCGTCGCCCTAGCCCATGTTGATAATTAGTCGATGCAGTTGTGGTTGCCAAGGTTGCAGCGTCGAAGAGACAAGATCTTGTTTCCTCCTTGCCCCTCTAACTTCTCCTCGTAGTAGCACCTTTTCAGTTGCTGCTTACTCGTTCATCTTGTAAAGGTATATCGATGCCCAATATACTATGCGCTTGCTTTCGGCTGTGTTGCTTCGAGCGCCAATACACAGGGTTGGCTGCAGCCATTCCATAATCAACTGCCGTCAACTTCTCGGGGTTGTTACAGTTCTGGAGCTAACGGCAGTCTTCTTCTTCCCTTACTCTTCTTCGATCATTTGAGTTACCAGGCAAATTCATTTATCTAGATTGAATATCGAGTTCAAGACCTATCAACTCCGTTTATGAATACCGTCCGGGTTTTCTTTACTTTCTTGGTTGTATGCTATTTTTGACATTCTATGAGGCCCCTAGATGGCCTATCAATGACCTACTAACTACCAGTACTTTCGTACCGTGTGCTGTGAGACCTATGTATGTGCGGAGGACCCTGTCAGTATTCACTTATCCCATGGCTGACCGAGGGGTTGTCTCGCTGAGCCCCCACACCCCACGACATGTCTCTGCAGGCTTGACAAGGAACGTTAACTGACCTTCCCAAAGAAGTTCAGGTGAAGAAAGAGGCGCTCTATAGTAGTTAATCCGGGCTCTTGGGACTTGGAGAAGGTATAGTCTTCTCGTTCCTTACGGGGCTTAGTATGTCACTGTCGGGCAGCCGCCGGCGATGACAAGCTACTAGCCGGATCTTTGTGCCTGCTCCGGATACCCTATTTCAACTACATGTCTTCGGGATGACAGTTTCTATGTTCGGTGGGCACTGTGCCGCATTTCAGGATCTGGGTGGATGCACGATGTTGTTGGAGATTTATTCGTTACTTGCATTTCCCATCGTGGGAGAATCATCACAATGCCAGATTTACTGCCATGGAACGAAATCGACACACCAAAGCGATCGCTTCCTATCATGATAAGCCCCCTAACTAATGGAATCAAAGCAGCTAGCCATGATCCATACTATGTAATTGTCGGAATGGCCAAGACTCAGAGACCACCCGCAACTGCTAGCAAGATGCCCACCTCTTTCCATGGCAGCATAATCGAAGACTTGATATTAATAAGTCAGTCTTCTCCGAAAGGAGCTCACACGTGATAGGAGACACAATAAATCATGGGTCTCGGCTCGATGACTGGACGTACCGTAAGGCCTCCTTCCCAACTGCTCAGGATTCATGATGAAGGACGGTCTGGATCGGTGCAAAAGGGCCCGGGATACATTATGCTTTACGACTAAGGTCAAATTGTACACAACAAGTAGAAACGACGCCGTTTATGCGGAGAGGATAAACATAACTTGCATCTCATCGCAAAACCCAGACACTCCAAGCCAACCTTTGATGTCGCACCAAGGCCATGTGAGTGGTTCTAGCAACGACAATCTGTCCGAAATAAATCTCCACAGTGTCCTGAGAAGGTCTGAATATGTCTCTTGGGGAACACGTGGTTCGGTTTTGGAAATCATGCCAATGCTGAACTCAGGTCCCGAAGGATGATGTAGCTTTCAAAACCAAATGTGACAAGAAGGGCACAGAAGTCGTAGAGAACCACTTGTATCATTACCATCGAAAATGTCTTAGGGTAGACCGTCGTATGGCTGGGGTGGCTGAAGGGCCGTCTGACGCGTCAAGCGCGTACCTTGAAAGTCGTAGTAGTCCTATACTCACATCAAGGAGATTTTCTGCTGGTCACGAGACAAGAAACTGGCTTTTCCAAGCTCGTGTAGGCCATGTGGGATGGCCTGCCGCCGTTGTGAATCCCGTAGATCTCAACGCAACGCCGTCGACAGGATTTAGAATCAACTATATTGCCCATCTCGGCTACTACCGGACCACTCAATCAGCAACCAACTCACCGGCGAAAACTCCGGGGGGAAACTACATATAGATCCATGATTACTACATGTGTCCCCAAATCAAGGTAAACAATCCCAGTCTTTGTCCCTTTCTGGATGTGAAGATAGGCACTGTGATTGTACTAGTTCCGTCCGGGTCGGCATCCATGTAATCGGTGAAACTCAGTCCCATAGCTCCCCGGTCTTTAAGTCGTTATGAGCCTGGTGCTCTGTTTCTGAGGAATTCAATCATATCTTTCAGCATGTCCTTTGAATAGCAATGACCTAGACCATCATAGGTCTTAAAGTCGATATCAAAGCCCATGGTCTGTAAGACTCTTGATGCCTCTTGACCGTCCTGTAATGAAACATTGTCATCCGCAGTTCCATGACCAAGAAAAACGGGTGTCTCTTGGAGTGATAGACGCGTCGCCAGCTTTGGAACCGAGAGGCCAATTTCTTCTCCGAGGAGGCGCAATGCTTGCTCCACTGGATTGTGTTTGGCTTGAACCCCATCCCAGCTGGTGGTTGAGTGGTCATGAGGGTGCTCGAAGAGATCGTCATCGGAGTATTCTGGCGGGTTCTGGTGTCTTTCATCCACTTGACGGCTTCTTTCCATCATGACCTCGCTCATCACGCCAGCCATGGGTAACATTCCGCACATACCCAGTAAGCCGCCAATTGGCTTGCTTCGCCACAGCAAGAGGCAAAGAAGTGCAGCAGCGCAACCTTGACTGAAGCCGCCAAGCACTACTCTGTCCGTCCCACCCACCTGGACAGCTTCGTCTTCTATCAGAGAATGTATGAACAGAACCGTCTCTCTTGCGTTGCCCAACAGTGTCTCCTCCCAGTCGCCGCTCCCGTCGTACCATTGGTTAATAATGGACCGTCTGTATACGGTTGCCCGCGACCGCGGTGCAGTTGGAAATACGAAGCGCGCGTGCGGGAGAAGATCTTGGAAGGTTTTCCGGCCTGGCGGTGCGATTGGATTGTCCAGAAGGACGGACAGAAGCGCTGGTGCGAAGATTCGGGCACTGGAACCTCGGCCGTGCAAGAGGATGATGGTGTGGCGGTGCGGCTGTTTCTGCGGAGCTATGATCATGGGCGGAGGGAAAGCATGCAGTGGCAGTCGCGGTTCGGGTCTGATGCCCGGAGCTTCCTCCTTGTTTACAGCTTCAGTCATTGGTGATGCGTTGGCACGTCAAGTAGTTTGGCGTAGCTAAACGAGCTGTTCACAAGGGTTTAGATGTCGTTCGGCGATTGGGCCGGAAAATATCTACCACTCCCGAACTACATCCCGTGACCGGCCGACTGTAGTGGCCGGTTGGGATTTTGAGACGAAGGGACCTGTCAAAAAATTGTATGCTGAAGCATACGTCTTATTTTTATTTCTATTTTTCACTGACTGTAAACCCACTTACCATTCTTGACAAGGCAGGTGTGAAAATTATTCCAGATACTCATGTTCCTTTATTGAATCTAAATGCATCGCCTAACTTATGCATGCCTCCATGCTTTGGCAAACCCTTGCCGTTTTCAAATCTCACATAGTTGATCATCCGTTCCGCATGTCAGCCACGTAGAGAAGGAGGTCGTGAGCAGGCCTTATGAGGTCTCATTCTGCCCACCGACGGGGGATGAAGCCCTCCACAGCTCCATCGCGGACAAAAGATAGCTCACTCTTATAAGCTAATTGGGTTTTGGCGAATCCCCAGGAGGCAGGATAGAAGTCAGATCTTTACCAATCTCAATCGCAACAACCTTGGCAATCGTGCTGCCAACGAAGGTGTCATCCGCGAATAATTTACCATGTGGGAAGACGAGCCCGGGCGGTGATCGTTGCTCAAGTTCCTCCAAACATTGCGCCGCATGGGCGATGGAATCAGGATGATAAGGTACTTCTCTAAAGCTATTCTTCAGCATAATGATGAGTCCGGCGCTGTCGTAGCAAGTATGCACGCCTTTCAAAGCGGTAGACCCAGATCGCGTGATATGACGGCCAGCAACGACAGGTCGCTGAGAGATAGATGCCATCTTCACAGATCGAAACAAGCTGATGAAATATCTCATTTCATCCACGGCCTTCTTTAATCAAAGAGTTTGACAATTCCGAATCTAGCGGTGTGTCGGGGACATGGTCGATATCGTCGAGTTCTTTTGGCGCAGTGGGGCGAAGATGCTTCTCAAGGTTGTCTTGAGACGAGTGTAGTGACATTTCGACGAAAAACATCCTCGAGATGAAAGGGGCATATAGTAAAAAAACTAGAGGCCAAGTTCACAATAGCGACAATTGGTCTTTTGGTCAGACCTACTGCGTTGACGAGTGTGTTTTCTTAAAAAAACCAAGCCTATCGGAATTGGTCAACGTGCAGGGAGAAGAGGATTCATCTTTATATACGTGCCTGAGTTGTGTAGGGTTATGCCAAATCAAAACTTTCCAACAATCCACCAGTCCTATGGTGTTCCAGGATATATCCTAGGATAACTTGCTCATCTCGCTCCTGCTGAGAGCGTCTCGTCCCTCACGTGTTCCAGGTGGCCTCTCAGCTTAAGTGAGCCCCCCCCCCCTTTTGGCCCGAAACCTCTAACTTGACAAATAGGCTTCGGTCATCTCAAAAACTGGCGTCTGCTACAATATCTTACTAGAGATTTTCTCTAGGGGTTACTTATTGATGATCGAGCGACATAATTCTTGTAGGGATGCGTTTTTGGGCGGGGTAGCATCGCGCCCAGCAGCGAGTACCTGGACTTCACCTCCGTCTTCAAAATTCACTGCACGGTCAACGATGCGTGATCGCGGTAATGAATTACGAGGAACTAGGTCAATACCGCGCATGCGATCAGGATACCTGAAGTCAGGGACTTTCTGCTCGCGGTGTACAAGCTGGTGGCTGAAGCTCCACAAGGGACCGTCAACCTGTCGCAGGTTGTCTTCATCGGCGGGAAAATCTCCGAATGGAATGGTTTTCGCGTGGAAGGCGGGAAACAAACAGTGTGATAAACAGTCCAAGTCAAAACGACTTCTCATGGTTATAGCTGTTGTCGCCAGCTTTTCAATCTTGACCAGCCAAAAGAAAAATTTGTGTCAGTCTCATTGACACATTCACAGCTTCCTGCTACGAGGTTCGAGGCAATTGCCGTAGAAACAAGCGCTCAGTTGCCGATGAACAGAAGGCAATCCGCAACGCACATGTTGGCACTGCACCTGGCCATGGTAGCCCTGGGAAATCCCACAAGAACATGGTTACAGCAGCACCCAATCTGATCTATTAGGAAACAGTGCCATCGGAGGCCGAATTCTCTGATTTATACTTGTCAAGCACCAAGGGCATCGTTTCGACTGTAGGAGTGATCACAATAACATATCACCTACTTCAAGGTCGAAGACGTCAGCGATGCTCTTGCGGAGAATAAGACATAGGCAGAAAATAGACGCAATCTTTTTTATGCTTGAAGGTAACTTTGATTTCAGCAATGTCCGTTCTTGACTGTACTTCAGCGTGATGGTAGGAGCGTTCCTTGTTCAGCAGATGGTACTGTAGCCACTCTGCTAGGACAGGCACTGTGTGAAATCTGAAGCCTGACGGCAAGTATACTTCGATTTGAGAATGTCGATCTGGTAAACATCTTTGCCTTGGCACATAAATGGCCTCAAAATCTGCTTTCTGCGAGGTTGAGACGTATACCGTGTAAATAACCGCCGCTGGTCAACTACAAGAGAAGTGTGATGGAATATTGAAGGATCGGCCAGTTGCAGAAGACCTATGGACTTAGCTCCATCCGATCTTTCTCATGACACTCAGCAATAGTTATCCCTTCTTCAGCTCATCCTCATGGAAGCGGCACGGAAATCCTCTCCGATTGAAGGCCAGAATAAGCCGAGGAACGGACAGCCAATCCTCGCGCTGCCGAAGATGACTGCATCTCCGAATGCTGCGTCCTTACTGAGAAAGCACCGCCATTTCGTTTGTGGGATTGCACTGAAAGATGAAAAGACCATGTCAGCACCCAAATAGCAGCAGGTTTGAGTTGGAGAGGGAGGCCTTTGGTCTGTGTCGACGAATGCAAGACGATTGGCTGCCGTTCAAAATAAGAAGCACGCGACCCATGGTCCCAGGTCGGCGGGAACGGTCGGAGACGCCGAAGCAGTCGGGTCCGATGGAGAGACCTTGACCGCTGATCTGACAAGCCCTGTTGGGGCGCTTAAAAAGAGTGAAAGTCTGAGAGTCATAAGGCTGAACGATGCCGGGAATGCAGCCAGACGTCAGTGACGACGGGAGTCGCAGTATGCGAATATGCGGACAGCCGTTCCCGCAGACAGACAACGGTTACGAGGTTTTGCTCAAGATTAGCGACGGGGTGGCAGATGCTCCATCAGTACGCTCGATGAGCTTTTCCCTCTTCGGAGAGTGACGGCGATAAAGGGGGGCGTGGATGGGATGGGGCGGCGGGCTCGGGTTCTTCGTGGAGTTAAATTTAGAGATGCCACTGGCGCTAGTGGCGCGCCTTTGACTCTTTTCTTCAGGGGATCGCTTGGGTGTTCTTGAATGCTGGCCAGCGCTCGTACCGGGATAGTGGGCGCGATGGTTTAGGCCCGAAGGGTTCTTATTTTCGTTTCTTCTCGACGCTGGCAATCGTGGAAGTTGTTTCTAGAGGCTTGCCGAGTTGGATCTTGCAGGATCGGCTTGGGTATGTCATGAGACAAAGTACAAGCGTGGCGAGCGGCTACTGGTCACACAACCAGGATATGCGTGTTTGCGGCTCGATCCCAGTAACCTCCAAGCCTACTGATGCCTTCTTATGTTGTGATACCTGCCAACCTCCCTGACGACATGGTCTCTGAAGCAAGCCTTTGCTGCAAGCCCTGCGCCTCCTCCTCACGCAATATGGGAGGTAACAAGTCGCGAACGGCGCATCCTGTTGATAACCCCAATTCCTACAGGTAGCACTACGTACGAAGAATCTCCACGGAGATGGACAGCGCAAAAGTTTGGCAAGAGAGTGGCCCAGTATTAAACAGCGTTGCGCGATGGAGAACCCAAACCGAGAGAGGTGGACTCAGTGACGTTTCGGGGCCGGGTTTGGGCTTCCTCGCCGCGTTTTGAGCAAAAAAGAGCCCGAGCTCTTTTCGATTTTGTCAGCAGGTTGAAAAGATGTACAACCACTGGTCAAAAGTCTGGCTACAGCAATAAGAATTCCCTCACCAAAATCACCAAAGCCGAGATACCCTCGAAAATGGGCGAGCAGCGACTGAGTGTGGTCTGCCGAAATGGTTGAAATTTGGTTCCACGCTGGGCTGACGAGCAGAGACCACAGCCTATTTTTGCTGTTGGCTTGCACAGCCACCGCCTGATAGCCTGGGAGGGTGGTTTGAGGCAACCCGGCCAGCTGGATACGAGTGCCCACGATGGGCCGCCGTTGAGTTGACGGCTGCATGCTGCTAGAACAAGTCCATGAGACGACTCGGTGCTATGCAACGTTGCGGTTGTGGCACGGAGCGGCCGTACCTTGCTCCTGTTTCTATGCGGCAGCGCGCTTGCCTCGACTCATCGTTGCTTTCCTTAGGTCCAGTACCGAGGCCAAAGACAAAGCTTCTTCGTGACTGGGGCCGGCCTCTTCGCCATTCTTTTTTGCTGTAAATGGCGCGTGATGAGCGGCAGCCCCGTGTTGGTCCTGGCCGTATGGGTACAGCGGAGAATTATGAAGATCTCTGGAGTGTTTTCGGGGCATCGGCACGCAGTCTGAAGTGGCTCAGGAGAAAAAAAAAATAGAATCTTGCGCTTACCTTACGTCGAAAGCATTCGCGCTGGTGGTGGAGAGACAAGGGGAAGCTGTTAATGGGCGAATACCGAGACAATGAGATCTCTAGAAGAGATGAAATGAGAGCATCCGTCCGAATAGGTATTATAAACGACGGTGGGAAAAGAGGCGGCCTGCACTGTGACAGGCAAAGAAACTATTGTCAGCCGCTCCGGCCCGTCCTTTGTTTCGAACCGTCGGGCTGAAGTCAGTTTCGAGCTCCGCGAAAAACAAGAAGAAGAAACTAAGGGAGTCCTGGAAGAATGGGCTCCTGTTTCAACCTCTGGACATCAGGGTCCCGTTCACGATAGGTCAGAGCTGGAGAGGTGGCTTGGTTTTTGAAGCGCTAGGTTGATGGATTTTGTGGGATAAACGGGGCACTGCAACAGTTGATTCTTGAGGATCGAGTGGCCGCGGTTGGCTGACGGTGGCCGCGGCACTCGTTGTATCTCAGGAGGCGGGACGAGGTGGGACTATGGGAGATCGATCACTGGAATACCCGAAACAAGGGCAAGAGTCATCTGGAGAGTCCGGAGATGCTGTCTCTCCTTAAGCCGCCGAGAGCCTCCTTCTCCTGCATTGCTGGCGCAGAGTTGCTTACTCCTGCGCTATGTGCGCTAACACACTGTGGCCTAGGTTGTGCAAAGTATTGCCGCATGGCGAGTATACCATAGTGGGTAGATGCAGGGTCATGGTGTGTCATCCAATGATGGCAGGGTTGCTCGTAAACCACGCTTCTGAGTATATTCTGTACCTGGAGTGCCAAGGTCTGAAAATATTCTGCGGTGCCAAGTTAAGGTGCGCTAGGTTTTGGGGGAGTGGGGGGATCTCCCAGCGAAAGTTTGGCCTCGCAGCGGGAAGCACACGGCCAAACACGGCGCCAGCGTCGGGCAACGGGGCCCCGAGATTATTCTAGTCTTTCTGACGTGCTGTGGTGTCGTTGTTGACCAGGGCGAGTCGACTCGTCGAAAGAGTGAGAGAGAGAGAACGGACTGGCACACGGATGTGCCGCAGGGATCACCGCTGCTTCATCTACTGAGTTGTTGCAGGCACCGGCCATCAGGTGGACGTAGTGTACGACGGCAGGCTGCAGTCCATCTGTTCCCTGGTGTCTGGGTCTTGGAGCCCCCTGCAGTGAACACAGACTGCGGTGCCCCTTCTTTTGCCAGGCGAAGGAAGCATGAAATTGGTTGCCCTCCTGCCGAGCACTCGACAAGACACATGTCGATCAATGAGGAAAACTTGTCTGGCTGCCCTTGGTGGCCGAGGAAGCGATTCGTCTCGATCGTGGATGTACAGCTTGTCGAGCAGCAGCGGGCCGCAGCACAACCTCATCCCTCTAGCGGGTTCGGTGCCATGTGCCCTCTTGGAATGCTCGCGAGGAAGCAAAAAAGGCGGGCGGCTGGTTGACAGCAGGAAGCTAGCCGGGCTGGCTGACACTCCGCTGGACGTTACGGTTGCCTCCATCCCGAGGAATGGACCGCCTCGTGGCAGCAGTTCTTTGGAATGCGCTGGAAACGGCCCGGCCAAGTTGACGAAGCCGGCGGCAACACGACGTGCAACGCAACGTCACTCGTGGACGTGGTGGCAGTCGACGGTGATGGAATCTGATCTGGTGGAATTCCACGCGGTTCATCACGAAGCCTAGCGAGGTGCCTCCTCGTGTTCCATGTCAATCTTTGCTGATCGTCCGGCACCCCAAGTGGCCGTTGCCAGAAGATTATGCTTGATTAAGTTGATTGACCGAGGGCCTTGATCCGCAATGATGTATCCGTACGAGATATCCCTCGGTGCTCCGTACAGGTGGGGGTGCCTCATCCGTATCCGTATGTTACTTAGTCAGATTTGAGGTAAGGTACGTACCGAGAGATGTCGTTTCCATTGACCTGAGTGCCGTCCGAGGTGGTGTGTCTGCAGCCTTTGCTCATCCCTCAGGAACGAATGGCAGGAACGGTTGGCAGCTGCTCTCCGAATCCTCGGACGCATCTCATTCCTCTCGTTCCGGCTCCACGATTTCCACCAACTTCATCACACCCCCAAAATCCAGCTTTCTGGCTATCTATGTGGCTATACCTTCCTCTACCGATGGACTCTGGTGGTCAATCTCTCCCAGTCTCTCCTCCTCTGCCTTACGGAAAGGAGATCCCGGACGGAAAAAGAAAGCAGCGCCACTTAACCCGCTACCTTTCTTCTTTGGGCAAAGCCACCGAATCCTTCTTCTTTCATTGGATCATCTTTGCAAGTGCAAATTGACCCTTTGCTCTTGGGAGGGACTTTGGGAACAAGCACCAGAAGCAGCCCACTGGCCTCCCCAGTCCAAATCCACCTGGACTCCATGAGCACTCAATCCATGTCCTTCTTGCTCGTCATGCCGCCACTCACCAGTCACAACTCCCCAGACCACGCCTCTCACCAGTTTAGTTGTGCGCACACACATATACGTCTGGCCTGGGGACAACAACAGTGAACGGTCCTGTCACCCCCAGTCACTCTGACCTTTCTTCCAAGAGCAAAGGGACCAGGGGTGTGTCAATGGTTCAGGCCCAAGCCTTGGCCGATGACCACCCCCCCTTTCTCCCCCCCCCCTCCCAGGACACTAAGCAAGTGCAGGGTCCTGAATACATGTAAGGTACGAGGTCGTATTGATTCGCCCAGCTCGTGCAGCGTGGGCCATGGAGACACATCCCACCCCGTCCTATCCAGCCCAGGGACCAAGAGAAGACGAGCCACGGCCCATGGCGCGCCTTTGCCCCGGTCTGTCCATGGTCATCGGTTCTTAGTGCTTGGTGCTCCTTGGTCTTGGCACCTGTTGTTGGTGTGGTTGCTCCTGTTCTGCCTAGCTGGCCCTGCTGGGCGTTGCTGTGCCTCATCTCGTCGATACAAGTAATAAAACCATCCTCCCCGTTCGTGTACTTCTGCTATTCTGCTTCGTCCTCACCTCCTCTTGTTTTGCTTCCCCACGAGCTTCTGTCTCCTACCTTCTCTTAGCTTACTTGCCCGTCTCTCGTTAATCGGCATAGCTTTTCATTATTTCCACACTCTCACTCCTCCTCAAACCACTTCCCAGCTTCCAGCTCCTTTAATAACCGTCAGCCTCTGATTAATATCTCGTCATTATCGACCCTGTTCTCATCAATCTCGCTTCTCTCGATCGACGCATACAAATCACTGGCAAAATGTTCTCCAAGATCTTCTCCGCTGCCACCGTGGCTCTCGCCGCTTCTTCCATGGTCTCTGCCCAGACCTTCACCACCTGCGATCCTACCAAGAAGGGTACGTTTTTCACGTCCGCGGTCATTTATGCTACCGTTTTCCCCTCTCTCTGTCTCCCATAAACCAGCGTCGCTGACTGATCTGCAGACTGCCCTGCCGACCCTGCCCTGGGCAAGTCGGTCAGCGTTGACTTCACCAAGGGCAACGATGACTCCGTCTTCCGCAAGCTCGACGGCACCGCCGTGAAGTTCGAGGATGGCGGTGCTCTCTTCGCCATCAACAAAGACACCGACGCTCCCACCATGGCTTCCAAGAAGTTCATCTTCTTCGGCAAGATTGACGTCGTCCTCAAGGCCTCCCCCGGCCAGGGTATCGTCACCTCTGTCGTCCTCCAGTCCGACGACCTCGACGAGATCGATTGGGAGTGGGTTGGCGGCGACAACACGCAGGTCCAGACCAACTACTTCGGCAAGGGTGATACCAGCACCTACGACCGTGGTGCCTACCACACCGTTTCCAACCCTCTCAACGAATACCACACCTACACCATTGACTGGACCCAGGACTCCGTCCAGTGGCTCATCGATGGTGCTCTAGTCCGTGAGCTGAAGTATGCCGACGCCAAGGGTGGCGCCATGTTCCCCCAGACTCCCATGGAGGTCAAGATCGGAACCTGGGTTGCCGGTCGCAAGGACGGCGCCAAGGGCACCGTCGAGTGGGCTGGTGGTTACACCGACTTCTCCAAGGCTCCTTTCAACGCCTACTACAAGAGCATCACCATCACTGACTACCAGGGCAACAAGGGTGCCAAGGGCGCCAAGGAGTACGTCTACGGTGACCGCTCCGGCAGCTGGGAGTCTATCGTCGTCAAGACTGAGGGTGGAAGCGACGACACCTCTTCCTCCGCCTCCAAGACTGCCTCCAAGACCGAGGCCAAGACCACCTTGAGCACCGTCACCGCCTCCGGCTCTGCTTCTGCCACCGCTTCCAGCGAGGCCTCCGCCACCGAGGACGCTGCCTCCACCGCCACCGGCACCGGCTCCAGCTCCAACTCCAACTCCGGCTCCGGCTCCGGCTCCAGCTCTTCCAGCGCTTCCTCTACCGGCACTAACGCCCCCTCGACTGTTGCCGCCAGCTCCGGCTTCTTGAACAAGGCTAACCTTGCTCTCGGTGCCGCCGGCCTCTTCTTCACCTTCCTGCTATAAGCGGATTCTCCGGAACTCTTGAACGACCGTACATGCACATAAAGACAACACAAAAAACACAGAATCATGCCGTCAGGAGAGCGGATTGTATAGCCCTTTCACTTTCGACCACGATCCTTATCATGACTGAATCACGCAGGCTCCTTGATGGATCGGGCGAGCAGTTGGAGCCAAACCTTCCGACATAATCTGGTACTTTTAATGATCACGCTCTCCCGTGGACTCTTTCTCGAACGCTTGGGAGATGCTTTTCCGCGACGGCCTTGCCAATATCAAGGTAGTCTTGTTCTTTCACACGAGAGAAGGCAAGTTAAATAACGGGAAATATTGCATTTCAGACGGGGGGGATGCCCTTTTTTCTTGAAGCAGCTGGTGGTGTTTTTGGAAGATGGACTATGATACCTTTAGAGAAGAGTTGAAGAGGACACCTTGCGCCATTTCGCCGAGGTAGTCGAGACAACGTTGAAAATCAATCATTCACACTTGGGAAAAAAAAAAAAAACTGCTTCATTGTTTGTTTCTTGTTTTCGTTTTTCGTGATCTCAAATGATCAAGAATGTAGCTCGCATGAAAACCACGAGTGCCTTGGCACTAGCGCAAATTAGGAGAGAAGAGAGCGCGATGCAATCTCGCCATGTTTGACGTTAAGGAGCGCTGGCAGGGTCCCCCACCTGAATAAGAATTTTGGCTCAAAGAGGAGAGGGGGGCCGGGGGGGATCCAGATCCATTGCCGCGCTGTACCTTACCTATTCTGTACCTAATTTCCACCCGTGCACCACGGAGGTTTCTCGCACTACCATAGTACACACACTACACTAGTACACTACACAAAGGTAGGGTCAGCTCGAGACTTTGAGTGGTGGGTGGTGGGTGCATTGGCGCCGCGATGCCGCACGGGTAGCCCAAAATGCCCCCGCGCGTCTGACGTGGTTCTAGCATGACGGACCGTTGGAGCCAAGGATTGTTTCTCTTGGAGGGAGGGAGGGAGGGAAATGGAATAAGTACCGCGCAGTTCGAAAGGAGCGCGAGCCTCGAGGAAGAGTATGAAAAAGCTTGGAGGTTTAATCAAACTTGCTTGGGCACCATGGATCTTAGGGGGAACAGACGCGATCGCCCTTTAGTGTTATTACGCCCCTGCAGCACAATGTCTCAAGTCTCAATAACACACGCAATTGAGCAGATTTGCTTGCCTTGGTTCCATCTCGCCCGATTCGGCTGGCCGTGGAGTGAGCCTTGCGGAGATTGTGAGGTCCGTATCTGTACGAGCTCCAGAATCAAGCCTTGATATATTCTCTCCCTAAGGTATCTATCCACCTCTATTGTTCTAGTAGGTGTCTACGATGTGATGGATTGCAATAATGTATCGTCGCCTGTGAAGTCGAGTTCTCAGGGCACCATGCTAGTTGTTATTAACGAAGTCGATATCTGTACCGTGATCAATAACATGGCGCGTTTGGTGACCTTGCAGTATCCGTATCCGTCCTGCCTACCACTTCCAGAGAGAGGACCGTGCCGCTCGAGCCGTCCAATCAGAGCAAAAGTACCCGATTCGTCCGGCTGGCGAGTCGCCAAAGGGGAAAGGGGGGTGGGGTGGTGCCACCGGTTCAGGCGTCAAAAGGGCTCGTGTGGTGACAGGCAGTGATTTGCTCCGGGGCCCATGTTCCTCTGTACGCGCATTGGATACCTGTCTATTGACTTGACGGGGCAGAGAGACAGAGAAGCCCGGGGTTTCTCAGAACCCAAGCCGGGGAGATACGGTGAGCGGCGGTGGAGCGGACGATGGGTTATAGGGGATTGTGAACAGGGCCCAAGGAAGCGAAGCATTTCTCATTTCGTCGTCTCGGCGCCGCATGGATTTGGCACAGCGAAGGGGCGGAAGGAAGGACCGTGGATGCCTCCTTTAGATGAGGTGCCTTCCGGTCGGAGGCTCGAGTGGCTCATTTTCTTCGGCATCCGAAAAGTGGCAGGTACCCCCACTTCATTCCGCCTCCTTCTCCTTTCCTCCTCCCGGAATCCAGAGAGCCTGCCGGCGTTGTGGGGCACTTCGCTGTCCGAGAGTCCGGGAACCGGGACGGTGCATCACCTTCTTGGGAACGCAGATCTTTTGAACACATGCAGGTACGGCGCATGATGATGTCGAGGACGGGCTTGGCTAGCGGCCGGCTCATCGGAGCTCGGTGGCAAAAACTTACTCGTGAGGGAAACGGACTCTTGGGTTGGGGCGTGACATTTCAGAACTACAGGCTACCATACCGATCAGCCTCTCAAAGAAGACCTTGCAAAGCTACTTGGAAATCAAGTTATGGCCGGCCAGGATGTCACCACTGACGATCGCGGCGCCGGTCCTGTTGTGACATGTTGCGATGACAGCATGTTGCAAGATGGAGGTAGTCCCATGTGGCTTTCGTCCTGCGTTGTTTTCTGCGCCCACCACGTGTTTGTGATGTACCATGGTTAATTGGGCGTTTGTGTCTTTTTAGGAGAGAAGCATCGCAAAAGAATCGTAAAAGAAAGTACATTGGATTTCAGCAGGCGAGGATGGCCGTAGGGTGTTTCCGAGGCGTTCCGAAGTTCCGCGCCGTGTGGATATGCGGTGATTTGAATACATGTCGCTAGCACCCGGGGAGCAACACAACTCCGCGGTTCCCGCACCTGGGCTCGGGATTATGGTTCGTATGGTACCCTGCTCGCTTGAGCATCTCTCCGACGAAGACGCGGGATCTGACAGCGGCTCAGAAATGGGGGGGTTCCCTCTGCATCGTCGTTTGCGCAAGCACCTAGGATCTTGAACTATGATCGGGGCCGGTGACTAAGGACTCTAGGATGGAGGCAGGGAAGGGTAGTGGGATCCCGGCGGTCGGCCTGGTGGATGGTCAAGCGGCAAGGGCGGAAGAGGATAATCAGGAGTGGTTGCGGCATGGGCGGCATGGCAGGCATGGCAGACATGGCAAAGGTACGGTATGTTGCAGTCTTGCAGTTTTGAAGGAGGTGCATGAAATCGGAGTCAGATTGTTTCCACATCTGTGTTTTGAGGTCTTTTTGGGGAGCCGACAAGATAAGTCCCCGGCTGCGTAAGCAAAGCTCCATCTGCCTGTTGTGCTGTAGTTCCCTGCCCTGCTCCGGGTGGGACCCTTGCCGGACCGCGTTCACGGCATGTTCTGTCGGTAAGGTATCTATCTCCCCATCCCCGTCCTAGGCCAATGGTTATCAGGCTTTCATCTCCCATCTCATCAATGACGGCCGACTAGAGTGGTAATAGAAAAAGTTACATTGAAACTTTGAGCTACCTCATCGCTGGAATATCCAAGTCCTGGGCCTGGGCGAGATAACTTTCAAGATGCAACAAAGTTGGACTGAACCAGGTCAACGGTGACGTGCCGATGGACCCTGCGCGGCAGACTTTTAGCCATGTGGGTCTCCATAAAAAAATGCACCTTTTCTAGAAGCTTTGACAGAATAAACCGAGGCGGCGAAGGCCGGCTAACGCCACGGGAAGATTCCGCAGTTGTATTAGGCTTTGGAGAGCCAAAAGTGAATGAAGTCGGAAAAGCTTTTTGTGCAAATCTTCTGCCAAAGTTGTCTCAAACTTGTCAAAAACCAGGACCTCGGTGGACTCCAATTTTTTTCTTGCCGTTTTCTTTCCGCCCCTCAGTTGCGGTGTGAAGCCACCCAAGTGCCGGAGACTACTGGAGTCAATGACATCAAACACCACCTTAACTCGGGAAAGGCGGCCAAGAGAATCCCTGTGTTTATTATCTACTCTTCTTCGGTATCTATGGCCAGCCCACCTCCTATCCGCCGCACCTGCGTGTACGTGTAGAATTGTCAATAACAAAGAGAGAGCCCGAACCCCCACTCTTCTCCTCCACCATCCTCAAGCTGGAAGACAGTTCAGATGAAACCCAATCGCCGTCTGAAGAGCGAGAAAGACAGAGTCTAGACGGGTTTCAGAGAACGAGAGAAGCAGTTCGCTCTGTTCCCAGTACCTTGTTATTGAAGAAACCCAAATTGGAAATCAAGTCGCAAGTATGAAGAGACGGTTTGAGCAAAGCCGTCCGCCCTGTTGCCGTCATCCAATACCGGTCCTATCCAAGCACGGCCAGGGTTCCCCATAATACTTGATAATGTCCTGTGTATCCGTAGATAGAAGGGAAAAACACAAGCTCCAAGATTCCTAAGCCAGATCTTAGAGTTACCCACCTCGACGGCCTAGGCCCCATATTGGGCCGGCGAATCATGATGACGCATGCCGACCTTCTTTGACTTTCCATGCTGGAAACGGTTCCGCACCACCTCTTCCGAATTGTTCAAACGGCGTCAGAGTTTCTGTCAACGGGGTTCTCTCCCTGCGCCTCTCCCTTCCCCTTGGCCCTTGCTCCATCGATCTCGAACCGCGGCATCGAGCCGCACTTAGGCCCATCTACCGTAGTCTCCAATCTATTCCCAGTTCGTTCCCGCTGTTTGGCTCCACCCACGTTGCAGTTTTTTTCTCTTCCCTCCTAGCCTTACTTTTGCGCAAAATTCCTCATCCAGCTTCATGGTTCCTTGAACGGCGGCGGCGTTAATCCCCTCTTTCGCCGACGAGCTTAGGACTTAAGTCATTTTGCAAGATGGGGAGCTAAAGGTTTAAAAGAGGCGCGTCGTTCCCACCTCCAGCGACATGCTCCGCTTGATACTCACAAGCTTCCTGCTCTTTTATATCAGATCATCTCTTCCATAATACCAAGAATTCACACGCTTTCTTCAGATACCCTTTGTGTCCCTTTTTATCTCCATTTCTCAAACCACACATCGTCATAATGGCCGCTACCGATTACAAGTTCGAGGGCTGGGTTGGCCTCGACGAGAAGTCCTCCGAGGGCAACATGGTCTGGCAGGAGTACGAGCCCAAGCCTTGGGAAGAGAATGACGTCGACATCCAGATCACCCACTCCGGTGTCTGCGGCTCTGATATCCACGTTCTGCGCTCCGGCTGGGGCCCCTCCCCCTACCCGGTCTGCGTCGGCCACGAGATCGTTGGTGTCGCCGTCCGCGTTGGCTCCAAGGCCGTCGGCGGTATCAAGGTCGGTGACCGCGTCGGTGTCGGCGCCCAGTCCGACTCCTGCCTGGGCCGCCAGGGCCCCTGCGAGCCCTGCGAGACCAAGAACGAGCAGTACTGCCCCAAGTCCGTCCACACCTACGGCCACTTCCACTTCAACGGCGGCAAGGCCATGGGCGGCCACTCCAAGTACCACCGCTGCCCCTCCCACTTCGTCGTCAAGATCCCCGACGGCCTCGAGTCGGCATACGCCGCCCCCATGCTGTGCGGCGGTGTCACCGTCTTCTCCCCTCTCAAGAACCACGGAGCCGGCCCCGGTAAGACCGTCGCCATCAACGGCGTCGGCGGTCTCGGCCACATGGCCATCATGCTCGCCAAGGCCATGGGTGCCGACAGGGTCGTCGGTATCTCCCGCAAGGGCGACAAGCGCGACGAGGTCCTGAAGATGGGTGCCGACGGCTACATCGCCACCAGCGAGGAGCCCGACTGGGCCAAGAAGTACGCCAACACCTTTGACATTGTCATCTCCACCGTCTCCTCCGCCAAGGTCCCCATGCAGGACTTCCTCAACCTCGTCAAGCTCGACGGCTCTCTCGTCCAGGTCGGCCTTCCCGACGACGGCGCCTACACCATCTCCCCCGTTCCCATGGTCATGCGCCGTGTCAAGTTCACCGGCTCTCTGATCGGATCCCCCCACGAGATCCGCGAGATGTGGGAGCTCGCTGCCGAGAAGGGCGTCAAGCCTTGGATCCAGGTCCGCCCCATGAGCGAGGCCAACCAGGCTATCGTCGACCTGGAGGAGGGCAAGGCCCGCTACCGCTACGTCCTCCAGAACTAAGCGGAGGGTTGAGTTCCAACATGGTTGAATGGTTTGGAAATACTGTACATAAAGATGAGGTTGATGACATGACTTGGGTATATAGAAAAGGCATAGCGATTGGTTACATTACAGATATAGAGATATGGATAAAATCTCAACCCAGAAGCTGACAGCTTCCAATTTCTCACGATCTGGTCGACTCCTACTCAAATCTTCCTTCTATTTGTTGACTTAATGCTCGTAAAGATATCCGCAGGCAACCTCACAGAATGAAGTAGGCGTCAATAACTGGTCCATGAGCATCAGCCCTAGCTAGGTATGCGTGAGTGAAGTTGGACGGGTCGCTGTGTGGAAGCATCGGTTTGGAAGCATCGGTGTGGTTGCGGATGATGTCACGCTGCCTCGGTGAAAGAGTCACATTGCATGCACCCTGGCATGTGGGGAAGTAGCCTGACGTCCGAGGTCCCACTGCAACGAACGTCTCACTTCAATTCGAAGCACTTAGACCTCTCAAATGAGATTGAATGGTTTCCTTCAAAGAATAGGCCATTCACCACATGAATTTCAAGAATCATTGAATCGCAAGACTTGATGGTCAGAGACGCCTACATCTCATTCCCACCCTCTCATTTTGCCTCGGAGCCTAATGGCGAATGCCGCTAGGTCGCCTACACAGTTTGAGACATAAGCTGCTGAGGAATCGTATCATGAGAAAACATCTCACAGGACTCACATTGATCAATTCCTATTTAATGAGGCCTTTCCTGTCTCCGCTCTTGAAGTCAACTAGTTCGTCATCCGCCCAACATTCAAATACATCTACTGACATCCAAACAGCTCCTCGCCTCGTATTCTCCTTCAAAACGATCAAATGGCTCCCCACAATGATGTCGCCGTATTTCACGAGGCCCTGGCCTCAAGCAAGCGGATACTCGCACTCTGCGGCGCGGGACTTTCTGCCTCCTCCGGCCTGCCGACCTTCCGCGGCGCCGGCGGTCTTTGGCGGAACCTCGACGCCACGGCCCTGGCGACCATGAAGGCCTTCCGAAGGGACCCGGGGCTCGTGTGGTTGTTCTACGCGTACCGCAGACACATGGCTCTCTCTGCGAAGCCAAACAAAGCTCACTATGCTCTTGCCGCTTTGGCGGAGAAGAACCCGGACTTCCTGTGCCTGACGCAAAATGTTGACGGTGAGTATTACCTGAGAACGTTTCCAGCATCATCAAGGTAATTAAACACCAGTTCCAGGTCTCTCGCCGCGGGCTGGTCACAAGACGGAACAGCTCCGCCTCCTTCACGGCAGTCTCTTCGACATCAAGTGCGTCAACCCCAAATGCCACTACATTGAACGGAACAACACACAAGACCCCCTCTGCCCGGCCCTCGCCCCGGCTGCAGAAGACCTCAAGGACCCAACCCAGATCCTCCCGCTCCTCGACCCCTCCAAGAAGCTCCCGCACATCGAGGAAGCGGACCTGCCTCACTGCCCGTCTTGTAATCAGGGCCTCTTGCGCCCGGGTGTTGTCTGGTTCGGCGAGGCCCTCGACGAGGACATGCTCGACGGCGTGGACGCCTGGATCGCGCGGGGCAAAGTCGACCTAATGATCGTTGTGGGCACATCAGCGCAGGTGTGGCCAGCCGCCGGCTATATTCTCAAGGCGCACGCGGCCGGCGCGCGGGTGTGCACGGTGAACCCCGAGGCCGAGGACGATGATCAGATGGCCAAGGGGAAGCCGGGGGATTTCGCGTTTGGGAGGGACGCTGCCGAGGTGTTGCCATTGCTGATGGAGCCCGTCATTGGGAAGCTTAGGGCGGATGGGCGAACTTACACAGATGACTGGAAGTCTGAGTAGCAGCACAGACACGACTTGGCTTCAATTGTACTGTTCGGCGAAGGAGACTCAATGGCAGAGAGTTGGCACGGACAATGTTTTGGTTGGGTGCTCGTCGGCCTTGGAATGCCATCTCATCAACTCTTTGAGCCATGTGCCAACGACACGATATACTCTAGTCAAGCTTGCACGGTTGCGGCAACAATGTTGGCTCAAGAGAGCTTCAGCCTGCTATGGGTGTTATCATCCAACACCATAGGGGCACTTTCCCAATACCTCGTCAGATAAGACTGGGGTTCCGGAATCGATTGACTGGGCCTCGCTGCTGAAGCTGAAGTGGCAGGTTGTCAAGGCCGATGAGATGACGACCATTCGTGCTCCCAAAACTTGAGGTAGGACACTTTGGTAAAGACAAGCCTCCTGAGCTCTGAGTTGAATGATGTTGACTTAGATCCCGATACTTCATTAATGTAGAATGAAACGATAATGAGTTCTCCTAATACTTAGAAACACTCATGTTCTCTCTCTCTCTCTCTCTCTCTCTCTCTCTCTCTCTCTCTCTCTCTCTCTCTCTCTCTCTCTCTCTTTCTCTCTCTTTCTCTCTTTCCTTCTCTCGGTCTCCTTCCAGTTTCGTTTCAGTCTCAGGAAATCCGAAACTTCAGGAAGGCAAGCCTCCTCGCCACCAACTACACACAGGGGTGTTTCTATCCAACATATTACTAGAAATTGATATCTTAGGTGTCCCATTGACTTACATGTACTGAGCCAGATGTAAGGATACTTACCTAAGCAAGCCTGCTTGTGAATAGAAGATGCAACAACCAGATAACAAACTTTCGTCTATCAGCATTGCCAGATAAAGAGGCATACGAAGTGTCTCTCATGCCTCTCATGCCTCTCAACTCCTCGTTCGCCTACAGCATCTTGAAAGATGATCACATGCCTTGAAGAGCCGTTGAGGGATGAAGGCACAGGACATCGAGAACGACGAGCACACAAGCCAGTAGCTTCAAACAAATATTTCAAAATCGATGCTGCCAAACACATACTCGCTCCGAACATTTCATAATTCCCACCTCGCCTCGTTTTCCATAGTCATCATCTGCTTCACAGGACATGGTCACAAGAACAATAGACCTTCTTCTCAAAAAAAAATACACCCCCTTATCCATAGCAAATTGGTAGTATAACACATCACATGCACGCGCGAACCCCATCACCACTCGTTCGCGAACCCCATCACCACTCGTTCGCGAACCCCATCACCACTCGTTCGCGAATCTCATATGCCCAAATTCTTACCAAACTTCATCAGCTCAGACAAGACTCAACTTACACGCCCACCAACACCTCTTGAAAGTAAACCGCACCACACCACACAAACATGTACTTCACAATATCACCCCCAACACCCCGAGAAGCCTCGCAAATCGTCTCGATACACATATCCTCAATGTCCTCAAACCCGCTCCTCCTCCTCATCCTCCAATTCCCCACTGAGGCCTCCCTTGCCGACCTCCACGACTACCTCATAGCCGATGTCCTGCAGCACCTCGCTCACAACCCGTCGCGAATCCTCGTAGCTCGAGTCAAATCCGACTCCAACTCCGACGCCGGGGACGAGGTTAGCGGCGGCGGCGGCGGCGGACATGTCGTCTCCTTTGTAAAATTCGACATCGTCCGACGTCGACGTCGTAGTCGTACGGGCGATTCCATGCCTAACCGAGAGCGAGACGAATCCACCGCCACCGGCTCCCAAAAGCTTAGGCCGGGCAAACTGGCGGCGGCCGATTTGGACTATGCGAAAGAGAAGCCTCTTCAGGACGGACAACACCTCCAACAGTCAAAAGCGGAGTGGGGCGGAGATGAGGCAAGTGCGGAGGAAGACGAGAGTGAGGAAGCAGAGAAGTGGCCCGCTTCGGCGAGCCAAGAATACCTCACCGCCTACGCGACCACCGCATCTAAAGCACGTCGGGAAGCCATGGGCTCACGGCCGTTGCTTCGTGAGTAAAGCCTCAACTATTCTTCCTTGTCCACTCTGTTTTCGGTCCTTTTTTTCTTCTGACAGTAATTTTTTTTGTCCTGTTACTTTCCCCCAATCTCCATCTCCTACATGTCCGCCCGCTACTCAATTCAACGCCGTTTTTGCCCAACATCATCGTACTCCACCATCCCGGTATTTCCCATTACGTGAAATTTTCGGGAAATGTCGCGTGAGGTCCATCCTCATTCACCATTTCTCTCTCTCTCTCTCTCTTTACCCACCTACCTGTATCGGCATTTCATCATCCTAGTTGCCTGTCCGCCGCTAGCACCGGTGCCGTATTTCCCTATCCGCATCGCCCAAGAATCCGCAACCTTGCTTCTAGTGTATGGTGTGTCGGCTCCGAGGTCGGTGTTTACCCTGTGGGGACGTATCAGACAGCGAAGCTAAGACTCGGAGTCCTCAACATCCCCAAGAAAGCTGGTACCAGAATTCTCGGCGAGTTTCCTCCTTCGGCTTCACCGTTTCTAGAATTCCAGAATGTCATTTCGGTGACATCTCTCCACGGAACCGGGGGGGGGGACAGTTTTCTCTTGATGCCACTGTGCTTCCCACGCTACGCCTGTCACCCGTATCCACTTTGCCAATGACGCTGGCGCTGAAAGTCAAAGTCCCAAATATTTGCTGACATCTCGTCGGCCCCTTCCCCCCGCCGGGCCGGGGACGCCCGGCTTTTAGATTTGACGTTCTTGTGCACTGGCTCCCGGTTCCGTGGCCGCGGTGCGGGGAAAGCCCTCGTACATGCTGCTACGGAGGCGGCGAGGACTGAAGGGCTCCCGGTATTCCTAGAAAGCACAATGGACGCCATGCCGTTTTATGTCTATGAAAGGTTGGACTTTGAGAGTCTCGGAGGATTCCGCATGAGTGTCCCAGTCGGAACCCCGTTGGCGCAGGGAATGACGGCCTTTGAGGAGACCTGTATGGTTCTTGAGATGATCTAAGAATCGTGTAGGATGAGTGAGTGATATGGACTTGGTGTGCCTGAACCACAATGATCTGACTAGTGCACCTTGTACAAAGACCCGATAGAGTCAACGAGAAAAGTAAAATGTCGGAACAACAGGCTGATGGTTGCAGGAAAGACGCCAGAGCATAGGTTTGCTATTTTTCCGGTTCAAGATCGTCGGGCCGCGACCCCATGCCTGTAATGATCAGCAAGTATGCCATCACAACAACGTGACTGTCGGGAAGTGATGGTGTTGGACGGGAAAACCTGAATAAACGCTCAACATCACACTGTCTGTCCTATGCAATGGCCGACTGGCACAGCCCTAGACCGTTCGAGGCTGAGCAGAGTCGGTCAGCTACGCCCAGCCTGCCTCTGTAGCATCGCAGGAATCAATGACCAATCGAATTCCCGAGTTGAACTAGACGCATGCTGTTTGGAACGTTGCAGTTCACCGGTTCGACTCGGCCTTAGTGCTTTGGAGAGCGGTGAAACTCGGCCAGCGTGCCGCCGTTGCCTCGAACGGCGCTTAGAACCGCCCCGACGTGACAGAGTATTTTAATCGAACGATGCGGCATTCTCTGCAATGAAAAGGCTGTGTCGACAGAAGCTTGCGAAACCTCTGTTTGCAGAACTACTGCAACTTTACATTTTCAATTCCGCAGGAGATCCAAATTTTTGGCCTGTGGCATATGAAGAATGTGGAATTCGCGGAGGCAGAGAGGGTCGCGGACAAATCACGATGATAAGGTAGAGATATATATCTAAATGCCGTTTCACATGCACTCGAGCCGCCCGCGCGGACGTCAGTCTTACTCGTCCATCGTGGTCTCGGACCGAAGTAAAGAGTTCGGGTATATCTTCACCGGGTGGCATCTGCGGCTTGATTCAAATAGGCAGTTGTCGATAAAAGTTAAACCTGGTCGGAGCCGACGACCACCGGAAACGCTAACGATAGAGCCGCCGGGCTGGCATCGTGAGACTAGCGGAATTAGAAGCTCAATGACGTAATTACCAGCTGGGCAAGTGTATGGACCCCTGTTTGATCCTTGCCTCTGTTAGGTTAATGGTGTGATGCCCGTGTGCGTTCACGATGCGGCACAACACCCAAGTAATATTACCCCCCAAAAGAGGGATATGTCTGTCGGGAAGGGTTATGGTTTGTGGACTGTTGAGGCGAGGCGAGGCGGTCGGAAGACGTGACACACAGGGATTCGTAAGGGTCTCCCGCAGGAGATGGCTGGAAAGAAAAGTCAATGAAGCTGTTGAATATGAGGTCATTTGTCAGAAGATGGCAGAGCATGAGGCCTTGTTTGACGACCAGAGTGCTGCGTCTCAAGCTGCCCTCAAGCCAGGAAGTAGTCCTCAGAGAGGTATCGCTTTGGTCAATTGCTGGCGGTGGCAGGATGAGCGTGGTGCTGTGAATTGGGCCAAGATGATATTCGGTCTTGGTGGTGTGTGGGTTTTCCTGGCCCTGATTCCTTATGTTATCGTTTGTGTGGTGCCGAGGGTGGGATATATCGAAGTCCATTCGAAATTGGCATGGGTGGTATGATGAGCAGCGAAACAGGGCCGATGATTCGCAGTAGACCAATTGCCCCGCAACCCCGCGTTACCAGAAACTGAGGGTTGGTCCACTATCCACCAGATCTGGCTTTTGGCTTCTTTGAAAGGTGGTGAGTTGCGAGGTCTTTGGTTGGAGTCCCCTAGTGCCTCGACGCCGATTTGAGGCTGGGACACAGACGCAGTCCAGGGACTGGCAAGGTCCCTTGCTCATCGGGCGCGACCGGAACAGGCGCGACCGGAACAGGCGCGGATGCTCCTTCGCATCGACTCATCCTGCCTAGCATGTCAGAGGAAGAAGATATTTAGACCGACAGCATGGAGATGGAATCGATGGAGACGTCAACAAAGAGTCTCAATGGGGAGAAGGGTGGCCGGGCAAGGGCGGGATTGTTGGAAGGACCCTGCGGCGGGTGTAACGGCGGAACGGCGGTGATTTGACGTGGCACACGACAGCCCGCCAGTTTGTGTCATTGTTGGGCGATCGCTTGGCCGTGGTTTAACTCGTAGGCAATTGGAATCCGTAGTCTGGCATGGCCAGGTCCGCTTGGCGGTTGGCGTGGTGGCCCGAGTGATGGTTCCGAACAACGGCGGCCTACTGTATAGCTACTGTGTAGGGGAGCAAGGTAGGAGGTGCATCCGCTTCTTTGCCCGCTCAAACTGGATGGGCTGCATACCTATCTGAGCAGCTTCTGGACTCTGGGATGAGGGATGAAGCTATTGATGGTGGTCCCCTGTTGGATGTTGCGTCGCAGGCTTATCCATCTTCCAGAAAGAGCAGCGGGTCTCTTGAGGTGTTGCTGGTTGCTGGGTACTGGTTGTGTGCATTCTGGCTGCGTGCGACTCGATACTGACTGCGGTCAGCGCCGTGCAGGTATAGTGCACTGCCGCATAGGTAGTTAGCAGAATGCTGTTGCAACTTGCGCGCAAATTGCTGAGACTTGAGACTGAGAGGGTAGAGACCTTCCTTGGTCGTCGAGTCTGACTCGGCAATATTCGAGAATTACGTTATGGGTATTGCCGCGCTAGTCCCGAAGCAGGCACTACCGGACTTTCTATAAGGTAATGGGAGCCACTTGGATTAAGGGGTGGGTCCACGCCTGGTAGGCACGCCGCACGCCGCACTCCGCACTCGCGCAACTCTACGGGATGTACGAGTGCGGTACAAGCGCCAGTCGTTGCAAGAAACGGCAAGGGGGCTGCAGAATGGCTGTGGGAAATGGTGGGGCCCCATGTTCCGCCCGAGTATCGCCCGAGTACCGCCGACTCGGATCGTGCAGAACGGCGCAGCTTGGAGTACGGAGCTGAAGCCTGGGAACCCCAAAGACGAGGTGAAATATATGAGCCGTGATTTGCTCGTTTGCCATTATGTATTCCTGTCTCGTAGCATCTTTCTAGAACGCCCGCCCCGGAATGGACAGAGATAAGGCGGCGCCCATCTCCTCTCCAAAACGTCTCGTGCTTTATCTTTCCGTCCCTCTATCCCCCCATGCCATTCCCAGTCTACGACCCAGTCATCGTGCCAGACCGGCCGCAGGGTCGACAAGTCGCACCTTTGCCATGTGCTTTTGTGGAGATTTCCCTTCCGTCCGACCACCAAAATCTGTGAGTCTCTCTGTGTCTCTCCAAACACGCTCCATTTTCTCCATTTTCTCCATTGTCAACCTTTCTTCTTTGGCTCGGAATACTACAGAGACGGCCCTGGCGGCCTTTTAGCCTCGCGCCTGCAAGCACACCTTCCTGTTCCCACTCCTGTTGCCATCCAGGGTGCCAGGGATGCCCAAATTCCCGATCGTCCTGACTCCTGGTACGGATACGACGCGAGATAATCGCTATCAAACGTCCAGTATACCGGTTGGCTCTGGACCTGGTCGGCTAACAATGTGCCTCGACCTTCCCGAGACGCTGACCAACCCCTGCCTCCCATTTCAGCGATAGGTCTCTTGGCCACTTTCCTATTGTTCATGTCTATTTCTCTTACCACACTTTGTTACATTTTGCGCCCTTCTTTCTATCGACCGCCGCACCAGCGCGCATCCGTCGACTTTCGATACCCGCGAGCCGCAAGGTCACTCTTTCCTCCGTAATTGGGCAGTCTCGGCTTGGCTTCGTTCAAGAACCGACACTTACACCCCCGTGTAGGCGTGTATGCGTGCATGTCGAGTGGACAGCCCCGAGCCTACCCTGTTCTCGTTATGTTATGTTTGCCCTGTTTCTTGCTTTTGGTTTGTTAGCCGGTAGTTCCTGTGCCACTTAATGCTGACACCGACAAATCTCTGCTGCTTGTCGTTTTGAGACCTTTGATGCCAAGCCACGCCTATGCCTGTCTCCTATTGCAGCTGCCGCTTTGCATATCCTTCCATGTCGGTGAGGGTGAAGCAGAAGATGACTGCGGTACTCTGTAAGAGAGAAAGAGAAAAAGGATGTCAGGATGGTGAGGCCATGTCCGTCCCATTCCATCTCATGCCATCCCGTCCCGTCCCATCTCAGTCGACATGTCCTTGCCCATGCTCCTGTCTCCATCTTGATCCCCATACTCCATCAAACCAAGGTTTGGACCATTCTTTCTTGATGTCTTTTCCGCCGCTTGGTCCGTCAGTCGGACCATGGGACCAACGCCCGCCGGCCAGTCAGATACTGCCGCGCCTCCTCTTCCAATGCACCCTCCTGCTTCTTCCTCCACTGACGCGAGACGTGTCATTCATAATGAAGGAGTAGAGGAGTAGAGATGAGGGAGAGAGAGAGAGAGAGAGAGAGACAGAGGGAAAAGTGTGTCAACTGCCCCGAACTGCCTGACATGTTTGCAGTAGGCCGCCGGCAATCAGGAACTTGGACTCTCCTGGTCGAGGCTCCATCCAATCTCGACTGTGCTCCTCTCAAGGCAGATCCTGTGTCAAGCGTTTCTCTAGTCTCTCTTGGGGTTTGGAGAAACCGCGACGCACCGCAACTGTCGATCACAGATTGATCGAAAGGAGTAAATCAATGTAGGAGGGCAGCTGCAAAGTACAACTAGAAAAGGGACTGAAGGAAAAAAAACTCTAAAAAAAACTCCAACGGACGTTTAAATTCCCTCGAGTGTGTCTGGGTATCTTGCCTGTATTCTGTTACTTTTTTTTTACGTGGTTGGGCCGGTAATAGAGTAAGGTGGGAGGGATGAGAGGAGTTCGCACATCCATCTTGTCAGGTCCTCCTTCTTACTCTACTTTTTCCCTTGCGCATCCATCCGTACCTGAGTGCTCTTTAACCACCTTGGCTTGTCTTTCTTTCTCTGTCTCTCTCTTCCCTCTCCCCTTCTTCTTTTCCTTCCTCCTCCCTATCCCTCTCCTCTTCCATCCTCCTTGCCCTCCCATCCTCCTCGCCACCCATCCCCATAAATTTTAATTATCTCTCCGTCCAACAGAACGGCCAACCCCCAAGGACAAGAACGAACATCCAAGGACGTCCTGGTTCACGATACGTCCGGGACTAGGTGCCTGAAGCGCCAGACGAGACATTGCCTCTTAGATATACTCTTCCCCCGGCCCAGTGACTCCGATAAGTAAGGCTTATCTCATCCTTGCCGCCATCGTCACTTGAGTCGACCGATATCGATGCATCACACCCCATCCGTCCAATCCCAAGTTTGGATTACTTCCCAGTCCCGGGCCCCAATTCCGGCCCTGCATCCGCACCACACCCCCCTCCCCAAAAAAGTACAACCACCACTACATTTCCATCACCAAAACGGGCGCAAATCATTCCGCCTTGGCCACTCCTGACCTGCGGCGCACTACCTTATCTTTCACTTTCCCCAAAGACTCGAACCCGCGACCGCCCCCCCTTCGGACTTCTACATCCCACCCCAGATCTTGACGAGGAACCACACAAACTCGAGACAGAGACAGGGGGAAATCGAATCCAACTTACCGTATCCCGCTCGTACTTCCCGACGCCAGCTTATCTGGTGCCCCTCGCACGCGACACAACGCGCCTCATCACTCGGACGGATACCTACCAGCCTTGCCTTAAGGATACAATATTCTTGTGTCTTTGTTCCACCTCGTTCTAGTCTCGAATCCTCCAACCCCTCCGGTCACGTCAAATCTCGCAATCGCTGCCGACCGTCGTCCGTGTGGCGTACGTGATCTTGCCTACAGCCTCCAGTCTCCAACAAGACCTTCTTATCTCAGCCGGCCTCGGCGCACCGTAGCGTTATCAGTTCTTGCGGTGGCCCGTCTGCTGTTTCGTGTTACAATCCAGGCTCACCCATAGGAACTCACCGAGATCGAATTACCGCTCGCCAGCCAATCTGATTTGGCGGATCCTGCATTGGTGCTACGCACACAATTTTGAATCTCACGCCAATTCGACCATCGATATTCTTGTCCCTCTGCCGTCGATCTTGGGTGGCGGCCCAGAACCAAGCAAGCGAGGGACATTGCATCACTTGCTTCGCATCTCATCTGCTGCACGCCGTGGGGCTCGTCGTCCAGTCTCCATTCCGGGGAGTGTGCCAGCCTCTCTCTGCTTCCTTGGCCTTTGGCGAAGCCTATCGTCCTATCACCGTTGTCATATCTCCGGTCAACCCTAGGAGTAAATTCACGCCCGCTTCATTCCCCAATCTCCAGACAAGGGCCCCGGGACCCCGACTTGACGAGCCGGGTCCGTCCGCCCGTCAGTCTTCCCTGCCTGTATATACATAGCTTTGTCTCTACTGCCACGCTCTACCGATCATGTCCAATCCAAGTCCCGTCGTCAGGACGGCTCCTATCGCCATCGCACCAAAGCCTCCCCGCCGCCAGAACTCTTATCTCCAGGAGGCATTTACGAACCTTGAACTTTTCCGCGGCGGCAGCATGCCTGGACGGGAAATCGCTGAGTCTATTGGCTCATACACTACGCGTTCACTCAACCCATGTGAATCTTGCCAACGGTCCAGGCTCAAGTGTATCGTGAGCGAAGACGACGATAGCTGCATACCTTGCCTGGCTAGCGGATCCGATTGTTCTTTGCTCAACAGCCCCCAGCCAAGGAAACGCAAACTGAACGGTGATTTTGACGATAGTGGTAAAAGAAGGTCAGTCTGCTCAATTTCCTCTTCTCCCACGCTTTCATTCCCACTCCCTCTCTTGCTCTCATACTACTACTACTACCCGCCTCTTTTCCCCCTCCCCAACTACACTGGCGATGCATCTCCCTACTGCTCCTTCCCTGCCAGACTGGCTCTGTATTTTGGGCAGCCATGGGGGCACGCCGCGGTCGGGGGCTACCTCTGATAACGAACCTTAATCTCTGATACGTGATTGGTCCATTAGTTCACCAGCTAGAGTCGATATCAGAAGGCGAAGGCAACATCAGCCCAGCCTCTCCAGCACCACCGGAAGCAGCTCTTTTCTTGAAGATATGGCGAATGTCGGGGGCCCGACTCTGCTCAAGCGGACGCTGGGTCTCCAGAGTGATCGCTACAGTCAGTATATAGGCCCGACGACAGACTTCGAGCCTTCTCTCATCAACCTCTCACCATTCAACCCCCAGGATGAGAGCCTCCTGGCACGCGGCACTTTGCGCAAGGTCAGTGACGATGAAACGTTCCTGCTGCTACCAGATTCCAACACGCCCGGCCACGAGCATATTCTCGAGGATATCGAGGAGATCGAGGGTCTCGTGCGGCCACATGGTCGCAAATTGGTAGATTTGTATTTCCGCATCGTTCACCCTGCCTTCCCGATTATTCAGAAGACGGTCTTTTTGGAAAAGTACGAGCGCAGTTACCGCGAATTTTCGCCTTGTTTACTTGCCGCTGTTTACTTATTCGCCATCAACTGGTGGGAACACGATGAAGAGCTCGCGCAACTGCCTCGACCAAACATCCCCAACCTCGAACGGATGATTCGGACAACTCTCGCCGATGCAATGTACCGCCCGAAACTGTCTACGATCCAGGCTGGTCTTCTTCTCTCCCAGCGACCCGAGGGCGATCAGTGGGCTCCGACTGCCCAGCTCGTCGCCACCGCCCAGGAGCTTGGCCTTCATCTCGACTGTACGCATTGGAAGATACCCCCTTGGGAGAAGGGTTTGCGGAAACGCCTCGCCTGGGCCTTATATATGCAGGACAAATGGGGTTCCCTTGTTCATGGGCGTCCCTCGCACATTTTCTCCACCAACTGGGGGGTTCAGCCGCTCACAGATCACGACTTTCCCGACGTCGAGTGGGACGAGAATGACGTTGAGGAGAAGTTAGATATCGAGCGCGGTCGCACACTCTTTGGTCAGATGGTGCAACTTTCGCAAATTCTGGCCGAGATTCTCGATACGTTTTACTCACTGCAAGCCATGCAAAACGTCACCAACGCGGGGGGCCAAGGTACGCATCTGGTTCTGGGCATGGCGAAGCCCATACAACTGAAGCTTAAGGAGTGGTACGCCAATTTGCCAGCGGCTATTCGTATGGACAGCACATATTCGTCGAGCTCTGCCCCATCGAGTCGTCTGTCAAGCATTGGATATCTCCATCTTGCCTACTTCGCCGCTGAAATAACACTTCATCGTCGTATTATTCGATCGCTCGAAGCCACCGGGTCGGCTGTCGATTCCTACGTTCAGCATATTTGCCGAAGCGCGGCAAAAGCCCGCCTCATTTCCGCCATGGACTTTGTCAACCGCCTAAACACTTCCCACCTTCGCTCGTTCTGGTACTTTGCGTCGAAGACAAACTTTGCCCTGATCGGAACATTTGGTTCCCTTCTCTGGGCGACATCTCCTGGAAGGGAGGAAGCCGATTGGTATCGCAGGCGTTTGGCTGAATATCGCTGGACATTGTCGGTGAGCTCGAAGCCTGGAGAAGGTAAAGGCCTTACTATGTTTGCTATGACGATGCTCGATATTTCGACCGGCCTCCTCAAGAAACTTCCCGAGAAACCTTCAATGAGCCGTAGTGGAAGCGTGGTAGATGTTGGGCTGGGCAGCATCAGCAGCAGTTTTGCTAACAATGGCTTGCTTTCGCTTGGGCAAAGCGCGCCGGCCACTATCAGCCTAGGAGGTTTCAGCGGGCTGCCCAGCGCCGATGTGAGCAATGTTCAGAGCCCACTAAGTGTGGACAGCAGCGATGACGAGATGTACGAGACATTCGCCCCGACGTCAGGCATGGCAGGCTTGGCCGAATAAAGACGGCAGAAAGCCGTTGCACTGGAAGGTTGAATGATCGACGAAGTTGTGAGTAGGGTAATAATGACAACATGAAGAGACGAAGACCCGCTTAAGCGGCGCTTAAGCGGGAGATGCCACCCGGGGAAATGGAGTTCCCTCTCCAACTAGGAATTTTGGGAGCGCATCATGATCTGCAGGATACCACTGGGTACTGGGCGGCGGGCCATGCGAAGATTCTGGCGGGAAAAAGAAGAGCAGAGAGAATGAGACAGCAATGCCCGCCGCCCACGACTTCATGCTGATGAGGTTTGGACTTTTTTTTTTGGCCGGGATCGATGATGTGAGAAGGGGAACCCAACACAGTTCATTCGGTGTCGGCGCAAACTCTCGGGGATTTTATACCGTCCAACATTGAGCGGGAAGCAAAGTCGTCGCATCATTCTCTTTGGAAGTTGAGCGATCCATGCTTTACCTTACATATTAGCATACATTGCAGAGCTTTTGGATGAATTTTTATTATACCTTGATGTCTTGCGATGACTTCAGCTTACGTACCCTGATGACCTTGATGTCTTCCCTAGCTGGTCAGGCAAACCAGGGTTGTCCTGCTTCATCGACTGCCTTGCGAGTGACATGTGGAAACGCATCTGATGCTGAGTAGCGGCGAGATGGTGCTCATCGTGTGTAAGTCAAAGCGATGGGAGAAAACACATGAGCTGTGCTGAGCCGCTCAAATGGCGGAAACCAGCGTCTCAAGTATCCAGACACTCGACCGAATCACGCAATCGATGGTGACATTTGACCATCAGCCTCGCCTTAACGACTGGCAATAAGTACGCCGTCAACATTCTTGAAAAGGACCCGGAAAGCATCGGCATTGGACAAAGTTTCGAAACACAGATGTAGAAAAGAGGCCAATATCACGGCTGGCACATTATCCCCTCTTTGAGGTGCAGTTGCAACGATCACTTTGAGTGTGTGGTGCATATGGCAGCGCGTGATGACGCGGCCGATCCCACTCCAGATGGCTAAAATGGCACAATCGAGTCATCGTTGACGAATTTGAATAGACATAGACAAGAATTCGGATTACAGAAAAATTGAATAACATGTAAGGAAAGAAGAGGCAGAAGACGGTGTTGTGAATATTACATCGAAATTCTGGTAGTCCTCACCTCATTACATAATCCCGCTGCCTCCGGCGCCCAAAGTCCAGGATAGCGGCGAAATACCCCACTACCCCCGGAAATCCCACCTCCTGCAACAATCCCGTCCTGCCGAAACCCATCTCCGCCGCGACCAAACCGCCAAAAGCTACCGCCGTCGCGGGGCTGTCCAAGAGCACGACCTACTCTCCCTCCCTCGCCGTCCCAATCTGAGCAAGTGTACCCCAACCGGCCCCTCCAAAACATTTTGCCCAAGATGCAGGGCTTCAACATGGGACGCTACGTCCCGCCAGACCTCGAAGGCACCACGTCAGGCAACAAGCTCAACAAGAAACACCCCCTCGGCGCCCGCGCCTCCAAGCTCGCCTCCGCCGGGATCCTCACCGTCCGCTTCGAGATGCCATTCGCCATCTGGTGCGCCACCTGCCCGAAACCCACGATTATCGGCCAGGGCGTACGCTTCAACGCCGAGAAGAAGCGCGTGGGGTCGTACTTTTCGACGCCCATATGGCAGTTCCGCATGAAGCACGCCGACTGCGGCGGCTGGATCGAGATCCACACGGACCCCAAGAATACGGCCTACGTCGTCGTCTCGGGCGCCACGAAGCGCGACACGGGCGAGGGGGACGGCCGCCAGCCGAGGGAGGGTGAGATGGTCATCATGACGAAGGAGGAGCGCGCTCAGCTCCGCAGCAGCGCCTTTGCGTCGCTCGAGAAGACGATTGAGGACCGGCAGCAGCTGGCGGAGGCGACGGAGCGCATCGACGAGCTGGAGGACGTGGCGAAGCGGCAGTGGGACGACCCGTACTCGCGCAACAAGGCCCTCCGGAAGACGTTCCGCTTGGGACGGCACCAGCGAGAAAAGGACGCTGCAGTCGGTGAGGCGCTCAAGGACAAGATGAGCTTGGGCATCGAGTTGGTGCCCGCGACGGAGGAGGATGCGCGCAGGGCAAAGTTGGTGGACTTTGGTCCCGACGAGGGGGTCGATGAGGCGGGACAGAAAGCTTTGGCAAAGCCCCTTTTCTCGTCTTTATCTACTTCTTCAGCCAAGGATGGCAAGTCCAAAAAATCGACTGTGAAGGCGGCGTCCAGGGGGACGCCCAAGGCTGAGGTGCTCGCTTCTAAGAAGAGGGACAATATCGTCTCCGAGATTGTTGGAAACACGCGCATGGCGAGAGATCCGTTTCTGGTCGAGACAAAGGCAGATAGGATAGCGCCGAGGATTCCTGGGTTGAAAAGGAAGCGCGACGAGGAAAGTGCGCAGGAACAGGAGGCGATGAAGACCGTTGAGCACAGGCAGACTTTGCCTCCCTCGAAATCTCTCGTGACCTATGATTCTGACTCGGATTAAGGGCTCGAACCCCTTCTCGAGGAGCTCTACCTTTTACTTCTTGGCGTTTTGGGGGGACACGGATTAGATCAAAGATACCCAGAAATCCTATTGGCGTTAATATACTTGAGGGAAGCTTTTCTCGGTTCACAAAGCTCAGTCTAATGGTGCGCTCTCGACTGGTGAGTGTCAGAATGTGAGGACTCAAAACGCCCTTCACCGCCATCAATCGTCGTATCCCCACAGTTTGGCATCGCCTCGTTATGCTGTGCTACAGCATGGTAGTCAGGACAAATCCAAAACACGCCTCATCTGTCACCAGAGAGCAGTTGGTACTGTATGCGTGACTGTTATCAACTGTCTGATGGCTCCTTAAGCCACTGGTCCGAATTGATCGAACAAATTGGAATCCAATCTGGGGTGGTATGTATGCTTCGCATGCCCACGTCGTTTCCATCGGCCATTAACGTCCCTCCTCAGCAATGGTCATCATTATAATCAAATCCCCATTCCACCCGCGATTGTCTCATGTGAAAACTCCAAAGCTAATTCCCGTATAATGCCCTTGCTTAGTCCCTTAAACATAAGATAGCAGAATCCCGACCTGACTTTTAACCGCTGTTGAGGATGGATGTCCTCGCCAGGATCGCGTTGAGTAGGGTTTCGGATTGCCAAGTCCAATCATAACCTGGGGAATATAAGTTTCCTTCGACGCCATTTCCATGAATGCTCTCTCTAGCCGTGTTTCCCTTCAAGTTCCTGAGTGCACTTCATACATCATCAAGTCGGCCGGCGGGTTCCTCGTCATCGTCACCGAAACTGCCAACAGACGACATGTCGTCATCGTCTTCGCTCTCGGCACCGGCTTCGTCGGCAGCGTCTTTGCTTGCATATTTTTGCACGTACTCTGAGGCTCGTTGTCAGTGACATCTATCCACTCCCTCCCGTCTACGATTGCGTCTGCGCACCCTTGACTTTAACGTCGTAGCTCTTAGGCTCTCTTATCATCAAGGCAGCCGCTTCGCCGTTCAGGGGGTCCGTCGGGTTCGGGTATCGAAGAAGCTGGGGCAAGAAGACCTCGAAGATGTTGATCATGTCGAACATGGGCGACCAGGTCTGGTTGATGACATCCAGGCAGACGGAGCCCGATCTACGCAGTTTTCCCCAATCAGCTCCTTGCTCTGGTTTGTTCCCTGCCAGCCCGCTCGCTCGTCCACAAGTATCTTGTTCGAATTTTCTCTACTTACAGCTCGTCGATGTTGGGGTGGAAAATGCGGTTCACAAATCCGATACTCGGTGACTTATAGGGGTACTGGTCAGGAAGCTCCACGTGGACCTTCCAGACACCGCCTTCAAATGGAGCTGCACGAGGTCAATATGGTAAACCAATGCTCAAATTTATGTTGTACTGACTCTCGGTAGGGCCTTTAAATCGAACGTAGAACTCTTGCCTGTGTTGTGCGGTTAGGACCCGAGGATGTCGGCGAACATGTCTAAGTCTTACACTTAATGTGGTGTTAGTCGCAATGGCTCTGAGGATAGGGTCGTGAAGGTAGCATACTATTATCGTTCACCAGAGTTACTTCGTAGTCACTCATCAACCTACACAGGTCAGTATGTCAAGCGAAAGGTGGTCAGTCGGCGAATCGCACATCCTGGGTCAGGTTAGCTGGCTGTCAGAGGTATGGCGTGACTTGGAGCGCTGTTACTTCATGACCTAGACAAAAGAGAGGGGCGTAAGTCTGCTGCACCATTCCCATACTCAGGTTCTGATAGTGTTGTAGACTTACATCTGTCTCGATTCTTCTACGCGGGCTGCTCATCTTCTCGGTTGTGCGCGGGGCGTTCGGACGATGGCTATAGATGGGCTGTAGATGTTTTGCGGAGAAAGCTGGTTGGCTGTTCCAGTGAAAGTCCCCGTATACGAGAGATGTCACCGCCGAGTACAAACTCTTCGGTTCCTATTCGTGATGTAACTCGGTGTTGGTCTTGGAATCCGGAGGAGAGTTGCAGGTGGTTACAGAGAGGAGGAGAAGGTCGGGTTGGGTTCCTGACGCCAAGTCACGCGCAATGATGATGTGGGCGATCCCGGACCATGAGGGATAAGTGCAACGATAAGGGGAGAGTGGGCCCGAGGATTAGGCGGGCTACCTTACCACCTTACCTAGGCGCGGATGTTGCCAGCCAGCCAGGTTCCCTCATTGCTTGCTAGGGTGCCTTAGGTAAGTACCTAATCCGTTCCTACCTGCCTTGTACCTTGCCTGATTAAGACAATGCGAAACCATGCGAGCCTGATTCATCGCAGGACAATGTCCAAATTGCAGGCCGACGTTGGAGAAGCTGCATGTTCCACAGCTGTCGATGGACTGACTACCTGGAATTACCGCAGCTACCTTCAGTACACAACGTACTTATACCTTGGTGGTCCCAGGTTGTGCAAAGGCATTTAGGGCTATGTGCATGTAGTTCTGACTGAACTCAACTCACATTTAGAGCCAGTTCAGCCAACAGAAACCGACAGTTCCGACACACAGAGGTCGCAAGAATGATGTAAATTCTTGGGGCAGTACACAAAGGCAGTAGCAAAAGGGCCGTTCCGTACAACGACGCCGCCTGCATCCGAGAGCACTTGATACATTTCTACAAGGAACAACCTATCGTCCCACGCAAGCACGAACCGGATAGACTGTCGGGGTGGGCAAGGTTGTGCTGTCACGAGCCAGGAAGGAGACGCCGTCTTCGCATGGGGGGGAATTATCCGTAGTGCCGGCCGTCCGTCAACTTCACTCAACTTGAGGATCTATCTTACACGTAGTAATTACAAGCTGTGCCGGTTGGCCAGATTAGAGGCTAAACCAACAACGATAGACTCCAAAAATCAAGTCACGCGAGCGCGATCATACCAGGCCCCAAGTTCGCTAATCAGCTTGCAAGCCGATCTAGGCCAACGGAAACCTAGGACTTCCCAATGCTCGACCTTGTGGAGGGCCGAAATCAGAAACCGCCGGGCCCGAGGCAACTCTGCCTCGGTCTTAGCTCACCTTAGCACTGACGGAAAGGCAGAGCCTAGCACGGCTCACTAATCCCTTCCCAAAAAAAAGAACGTAGCGTTGAGCGGCGGCGGTGGAGGGGCAGCGAACGTGCCTCGGCGCTTCGTCCAATCACGGAGGTTTTTCACGGTGGACCGGACCCCGTTACTTGGGAGACTTTCCCTGCGAAGCGCCCAGCACGGCACCTGTGTGGTCAGCTTGTGAGATAGACCCGCTTTTTCATCTCTCTCAGCGAAGCGGCGGGAACGAAACACCACCGGTAATTTTTGGAGATACTCAATTCTACGCAGCAAAAACCATCATGACTTGGATAATAAAAGATTGCGCTTCGCCCTCAATACAAAGTCTTTCAAACTCTTCTCTCCACACTAACAACCTCACCGTCAACACGACCAAATTTTCATCTTTGCATTCTCCCTTTTCCTGCTTTCACATATCCCATCCAGACGTTTACTTGGTATTATAGACAAAAGGTACTTGTTTGCCCATATGTCTCTCCCTGCAATCCGAAGTACCTGTCTAAGGTCGTGTGCCTCCGTACTGAGAAGCACGCGACCCTCGACAGCAGCATCTCTGATGCGACCCATGTGTCCCGCTGTAATGCGACCAGCGCAAATGCGTCACAGCTCACATTCTCCTATGGGTACAACTTCTGCGAACCAAAGAAAGAAAATCACAATTGGTTCTTTGCGCAGTCTGTACAAGAAGCGCGAGCCAATCACAGTCATGACAGCGCATGACTTCCCGAGTGCCCACGTTGCCGACCATGCTGGTATGGACATCATCCTTGTAGGCGACAGCTTGGCCATGGTTGCGCTTGGCATGGAAGATACGAGTGAGGTTGTGGTAGACGAAATGCTGCTTCATTGCCGTTCTGTCGCAAGAGCCACCAAGTCCGCATTTACAGTAAGTGTACTCCGGATCCAACTCGTAAACGTCCTACTGAACCAAATTCAGGTTGGCGATTTGCCTATGGGTAGCTATGAAATAGGCCCGGAACAGGCTCTGGAAACCGCCATCCGCTTCGTCAAAGAGGGCCGGGTGCAAGGTGTCAAGCTCGAGGGCGGCAAAGAGATGGCGCCCACAATCCAGAAGATCACGTCTGCAGGTATCCCCGTTCTGGCTCACGTGGGACTGACACCGCAACGACAGAACGCCCTTGGCGGCTTCAGAGTCCAGGGGAAAACTTCAGACGGGGCACTCAGGCTACTCGAGGATGCACTAGCCGTGCAAGAGGCCGGCGCTTTCGCCATGGTGATCGAGGCTGTTCCCGCTGAAGTCGCAGCACTTGTTACAGAAAAGCTGGCGGTCCCAACCATTGGCATCGGCGCCGGTAATGGCTGCTCCGGCCAGGTTCTGGTGCAGGTTGATATGACCGGAAACTTCCCTCCCGGCCGATTCTTGCCAAAGTTCGTCAAGAAGTACGGCGACGTCTGGAGCGAGAGTCTTCGGGCCATCGAGACCTATCGGGACGAGGTGAAAAGCCGACAGTATCCTGCACCAGAGCACACATACCCCATTTCCAAGGAGGCGCTTGACGAGTTTACCATTGCTTTGGAAAAGTTGTGAGGTGTCGTTCGCGTTCAGCGATTGTTAGATCATTGCTTTGCGTCACTTTCGTGCTGCATCACCGGTGTTTGGGAGTCTAGAGGCCGGAAGCATTCTCATCGTTTTTAAGCCGCAGGATATCATGCAATAGCGTACTTGATCTCAGCCAAATGCTGGATTCATAGCATAAGAAATCACAAGCTGGCCGCTTGAATCTTTGAAACACTGTTGCGAGCATATTAGCTGTTGAATTTGCCGTGGGTTGTGTCTGCTCCTGCGACGTACACTGTGCAAGTTACCGACGATCTCATCGAGAGATGGGGCAAAAGAGTCATTGACGTAACAAAAGACACTGTCTGTTTCTTGAAGCTTGAGCCTTTTTCGGAGATACCAGATAACGGTGTGGAAAGTTTGGGTGGAGGAGATCTTGGCTACCCCTCGAGCGAGCGAGGGCGCACTTCCGACGGCCTTGAACTTGACCACAACCTTTTCCGAAGGATATTCGCCAGCGCTGGCCAGGGCAGAAGCCACATCGCGAGGTTGAGCTATTAGGATGGCTGAGGCGGACATGGTGAGTGGCACCTCCGGTGAGGCAGGACGATCCGGGATGGTTGCGGGAGGAGGTGACGCCGAGTCGGACCTCGGGATGCCAGGCGATGAGGGAGTTGCCATTTTCAGATGCTGTGTGAATGTCTGTAGTTTATGCGTAATCGGATTATTGTTTGAATTAATAGGCTAACATTCGTGAGGAGCATCGTCCAGCTGGCCGACTCATGGGATATTCATAGGTTGTTCAAAGTACTGGCAGAGCAAAAGAAGTGAGGTTGGAGAAGAAAGAGTGAGGCGGGTCATTGTCTGCTTCGGCAGTGGAGGTGGTTGACCGGAGCCCCGTGAGTGGTGCAGGGTCGCTGCCTCAGTGCGCCTTGGGTAGGCTCCCCAAGTATCCATACCTAATGGAAACCACCACCAGTTTGCTCCGCCGCTGAGCAGCTAATTTCTTGGCTGACAGTATCCAAAACACCCAGCATCATTCACAGATCCGACATCAACCGTCCCGCGTCTCACGCCAATATTTCATCATAAACTCGTGACACTATAGGCAAGTGCAGTTGAGAAATAGGAGACCTACAGGTCCGAAGACCGGAAAAAGTCGGGCGGTAGGCTATCTGGATGCCAACCTGCACGATGGTCGCAAGGTTAGAAGGAGAGAAGGATGCATGGAATCAATGCGACCACCCTCGGCCTCAGGCGCGTAGCACTGAATCGGCGTCTGGTACTCTCACCACATGTTCCGCGCTCACTAAGTACAGACAGCACTTTTCGCCGTGGGCAACACTCAAGCCAGTGAATGATTCACGACCACGCTTTCTGCCTCGGTGAGCCAATACGCAGGCGGGATACTCGAGGTTATTCACTTCTTCTGTAGGCCTACCTGGCTGGTACTGTAAAGGAGACATGCAGATGTGACAAAAACGCAAGTAACAGGATCCGATTCAATCCAACTGTCTTATTCCTGCGCCACACAATCACAAACGAGTTGTTGGTCACCACTATGTTCATGAGGCTATTTATAAGGCACATTTTGTGCTTTTTGGATTGTTTCTTTTCCTGACATATTTTCAAATCAAGCAAAGCTCAATTTCTAACCTTATCTGCAGAATATCCAAGCCCTCGACTTTTTTGTGTTGATTTGGACCGCTGAACGCATCCTACCCTGGTCCCTCGCAGATTCAATAAAATGACATCACCATCGCCAGGAACGCATGCTATGCTTGTACATAAAGAGGCGAGCCATGTTCAAAACTTGCAGGGCTTCCCTTGGGTCGTCAATTTAGACGGTGACAGCCTCGATGTGTCCATCGTCGTTGCCGTAGCACGTCATGAACTCGTTCCTCGCGTCAAGGATAGCCCGGTGATTCGAGAGCGAGTAAGCCAGAGCATCAACGTCCTTGACCACCATATCGAGAACGGCTGGGTCGTGTACGGCGTCAACACGGGATTCGGCGGCAGCGCCGACTCACGGACAGAGCAGCTCAAGAAACTACAAATTTCCCTGCTCCAACATACCCAAAGCGCTATCATCGCATCCTCAGACCTGACCCAAGGCCAGGTTGATCAGGATGGACAGTCGCACGTCATTCCCTCGGCTTGGGTGAAAGCCGCCATGGTCATCAGAGCGAACCAAAACCTCCGCGGTCACAGTGCCGTCAGGATCGAGGTCATCGAGACCCTCCTCAGCCTCCTCCGTGATGACATCACGCCGTTGATTCCTTTGCGAGGAACCATCTCGGCATCTGGGGACTTGATGCCTCTATCTTACATCGCGGGGACTCTGATCGGGGACCCCAATATGTTCGTCACCGTCGGATCAGGCACCGGCAGAAAGGTCATGTCTGCCCGCGATGCACTGAAACAATACGACATCCAGCCTGTTGAGCTGCAACCAAAAGAGGGCCTAGGCCTCATCAATGGGACTGCACCCTCTGCCGCCCTGGCTAGTTTGGTCATACACGAAGCGAACCAGCTCGCAGTTCTCGCCCAAGCCCTGACTGCTTTCACTTCCGAGTGCTTGCTCGGAAACGTCGAGTGGGCCAACGAGTTCATCCACAGAATCCGACCTCACAACGGACAGGTCGAGGTGGCCAACAACATTCGAAACTTTCTCAGGTCCTCCAAGCTTGTGGCTGGTCTGGAGAGCAAGAAACGAACGGGTCAGGGCTTATGGCAGGACAGATACTCGACAAGGACCGCGCCCCAGTGGATGGGCCCGTATCTCGAAGACCTCCTTCTGGCCCAGAGGCAAATCCAGACCGAGCTCAACTCAACGTCCGACAACCCAGTCATCGACATAGGCGCCGGCGGTGACGTGCTCGCAGGGGACGTGTATTCAGGAGGCAATTTCCAAGCGACGGCTATAACCTCCGCCATGGACAAGACCAGAACGGCGCTGCAGATGATCGGGCGCATGCTCTTTTCGCAGTGCTCCGAGCTGATCAACCCGGCCACGAACAACGGTCTCGATCCAAACCTGGTCTTTGGAGACCCTAGCCAGTCCTACACCATGAAGGGCATCGACGTAAATATGAGCGCTTACATGTCGGAGCTGGCTGCTCTCGCGCATCCCGTCTCCTCTCACGTCCAGTCGGCCGAGATGCACAACCAGGGCATCAACTCTCTCGCGTTCCTCTCGGGCCGTCGCACCATGGAAGCAGTAGATATCCTGTCGCACATGTGTGCTGCCCACATCCTTGTGTGTTGTCAGGCGGCTGACTTGAGAGCCTACCACGAGAAATTCCTCTCCTCCGTATCCTTGTCGTCCCTATCTTCCATGTCAGCCATAATTCCCCTGTTAGCAGAGAAATGCGCCTCGAGCGATGGCCAGACAATGGAGATGACAACGAACGATTTGGACGAGTTGGTCAGGGTGTGGTGGTACGACGCAAACAAGCTCAGCCACATGCAGCGCTGTTCGATCGTGGCCTCGAAAGCTGCCGCTCACATCACGGATCTGATAGCCCAGGAAGAGCCTGGCTCCGTATCGCTGAAAGACATCCTGGGCGTCCGAGACGAGCTCCGACAAAGCATGGAAGCGTGGTTCGCCGAGCCATCGAACACCCCCACCTCGACGGGCGCACACGTCACAGGCCTTGAAGGGCTAGGTCGGGGCTCTGCGGCACTATTCAACCTTGTGCGCGGCAAGTTGGAGATTCAATTCCACCAAGGCCTCAGGGAAGAGCAGCCCAGCACGATCGGTAACAGCGTTTCGAGAATCTACGAGGCAATCCGCCATGGCACCGTCGTCCCGGCACTGTTACCCTGCCTTCTTCACGATGTCGAGGGTATAAATGCATAGATTTTCAGAAAACCGAGTGAGGACAAGTCGTGGGCTGTTCCCGATGATCTGGGCACGCCCTCGCCGGATGCGCGGTCCGTGATGATGATGGCATCACGGGAATGAGAAGAAGAACAACTGAAGAATAGGAAGCGGGTGGAGTATTAAGTTTCATGGAGACAGTGGCTGGGATCGCTTGTAAATAAGCCAAACACAGATAGACTCAGCTCCACGAAAATAATAAAGTAGTTAAAAAATAACTGATCATGTAAGGGGAATGCTGAATGCTCTCTTAGTCTGCGTGCAGTAAACGAGGGCCAACTAAGCGTTGCTTGGCGTAGTTGAATTAACTAACATGTGTAAAACTATCACAGTCCTCACAGCTTCTTCATTACCCACTCAATTATAAGAAGAATATGCTTCTGATGGACTTGTAGAATACAAGAACTGTTGTAGACCGCTTGTGAATAAATGAGTGAAGTGGTAAGGTAGCGGAACACTTTGCGACACAATTCTAGGACTTTGATATCAGTGTGTTGACAGGAAGACAAAGGCGGGCTGCTTTGCATGTGATGAGAAAATCAACTGCCGATTAGATTACATCGAAGGATAAATGAATAAATAATAAGTAATATGTCAGTCGGAAAAGCCGTGCAGGTAAAATGCCAAAAAGGCAAAAGAAACTGTCCCTAGCAAGGCTCGAACTTGCGACCTTTGGATGTCCCTAGATGATCTAGAGTCATATGTATGAATATGAGACCAACGCTCTACCGACTGAGCCATAGAGACGAGGCGTGGAAAATAGTTGCCAGTAAAGTGGATAAGTAAGCTCAGGAGGCTCAAGCCCAACTCCATTGCAGTAGGCCCGCGCTGCGTCAAGTAAGGGGATGGGACGGTGGCGCAGATGCAAGCCTGACGTGTAAAAACCGAACGAACGCGTGGGAAACTATACTTTTCCCCTTCCAAGCTTTGTCAGTTCCGCATCGTCGAAACCTAATTCGATTCGTCCCTTCCTGTGGAATTTTTTATTGTTCCTAACTCATTTAGAATACGATTGTTCAGGACATATGTCATGGTCGAGGCAATTCATCGTAGCTAGCTCAAGGCCGCTCGCGAGAGACTGGTCTGCAGACGGTGTCTTCTCGTGACGGGACTGGAATCAAAGCATAATAGCTCTTATGGTCAAGATGGTGGGTGTCAATACACCTCCGGACTCCGGAGATTCCATTCGCTTAGTTAGTTGCGTGCTCGAAGGAATAATTACTCATGTTGATCTGTTGCCCAAGAAGGCCTGATGACATAACCGAGGCATGTTGTGAGCGAATGTGTTCTTTTAGATGAAGGATCTGGGAGGATATATATTGCTTGAATTCTCCTTAACGCCTTTTTCTGAATGACACGACGCCTCGGGCTGCTTTACGACACTGGAGCATCGTGCTTTCCCAAACCATGCAGGTTTGTTCGTGTTCAACGTACATTATACACAAGCATAGACTGTTCAATATGATATCTACACCGTGGTTCATTAAGACGCGCCGTCCTAGTCTCTCTTCCTATCAAATCCCCGGCCCCTGATGATGATGACGATGGCCGACGAAGTGCCGCCGCCGTGCCCGAGCCCCTCCAAAAGCATGGGGGAAAAAATGAGCCGTCGTGGTATAAGATAATCCATGCCGAACGCCACTGTGCATGCAATGTTATCAATGCGAGCCGACCTATTAATGAAAGACGAAGTGAAGAGAAAACAAACATGACCGGAAACCAAACATGGTGTCATGTTGGACAGTCTACTGGTATCATTGGTTCCACGACCGTGGAACATGTGCAGCTTTTTGTGATAATGCGCCGTGCTCTGAAGATGGTGGCACCAGCAAGTGGGGATCGAGAAGAGCATTTGAAAGCAGGGCAGAGGCGGTATCAAAGTGTTGAGCGACATGGCGAGGAGTCCTTGGGCTGGCCTGGTCTACAAGGAGTCATCCGTGTATTCGTCGTCACGTAGGTGTTTAGATCGGTATCTGGGAACTCGGTCCAGTTGACTGAGGAGGTCGTCCAGCTCAGCCCAGTTATCAGTGTTTTCAGCAAATTTGCGATGCTTGCGTGTGAGAATGTGCTTCGGGTTGTCAGTGTGGCACAGCATTATTCGCGTTCCATTCTCCACATACCTCGTCAAAGTCTTTAAACTTGTCCTGGCAGTTCTCACAGTAGCCCGGCTTAAGGTCGCGCTTGCTCTTAGCGGGCATGGCCTGTGTCTTGGAGCTGGTTCTGGAGAGCTTGGAGCCATGCTTCTCGACGTCCTCTTCAATGAGCTCCATACGCCTACTAGTCGTTCGAGAGACACTAGTAGATCTGGTAGAGGTTGCCTCCAGAGACATCTCAGTGAGCCGTCGCGAGCTGGCGTCTTGCGGAGTGGGAGCACCTCGTTGCAACACTTTGCGTTGCAAACCATGTACCTCTTTGCTCGTACCAGCCTTGGCCCCGTTGATGCCAGAGGTAGACGAGATCATGTTCGAGCGGATAGCCGAAGTCACGTTGGATGGTTGCAGTCCAGAGGCCACGGGCTCGCCAGCAAGAAAACGCCCATTGCCGGTCCGTCCTGTGAAAGCATGCTGGGTCCGTCCGAAATCTATAGGGTTCGATACCACGGCCTTGGGAGGGTTGAACACGTCCATTGGTTTCATGGCAGCCCGTAGCTTGTTCTGTCCGTCTTGCATCTCTGAAAGCGAGCGCTTGCCAGCGGCTGCCTTGGGCGCAGGGACTTCAGGAGGCTGGAGAGATGGACGCTCCTTCACTGCAGGCTTGGCGGCACGCTCCTTGTGTTCCTTTGAATCCTTCTGCTGCGTTGATGGCTTCCGGCTGGGCCGTTCAACCGGTTCTGGCTCTTCGACAAATGGACATCGGCCGTCGGTTACAGTCCTGAACTGCGGCCACTCGCCATGATACTTGTTATTGACCTTGGGATACTCCCGCACCATGATGGGCTTCTGCTTCTCGTCGATGTCGTAGACGTAAACGTACGGCCCTTTGAAGTTGATCATTTCCCGGCTGGTCACAGCATCGGAGGGGCCGTTCAGCCTCTCATGCTGCAACAACTGCAGTAGACCAGGCTCCTCTATACCCTTCTTCGGTCCGACGTTCCTCGCTGAATCACGATTGGCGCCATATGCCGCGACGACGTGCGGGTCAGGCTCCAACAGAAACTGCAGTATCCTTTGAAACTTTTCCACAGACCAAATCTTCTTTCCCATGTCGCGAGCCTTGTGAAGAACATCGTTGCTCTGGGTTGATCTTGTCCGTCTGGTTCTGTCGTCATGAGCTTGGGTTTGAGCTCGCCTCGATGTAGTCTCTAGCAGAAGACGTCTTCGTGCGTCGGTAGACCGGTCGAGAAGGGAGGGATTGATAGTCTGAGGCTGCTCCTCGAGTTCGGCATCGTGTGCAGAGGCTTGGACGTCCTCCTGCGCAGGTATCGGTCGGGCGGTCACAATGTGGGTGATACTGCTCGAGAAGAATCGTTCGTCTCTCTGGAAGATCGTTCGTCAGTGGACAAGGGCCAACAAAATCAAAACCGGTTAGCTTTGAACATACGGCTCCAAGAGACTGTGCTTGCCGGGCAAGCTTGGCCCTCTGGTCTTCTGGGACACTGTCATAGTAGAAGAGCATTTTGGGAAACCTCCCCCGGTACTCGGCTTGCCATTGCCGGATCCTCTCGACATTACTAGAGTCATCGTGATGTGTTGATCGTTCCTTTGCGATGGGGCGGCCGACTCGCTGGGGGAGCTGGGAGGCCTTTGTGACCTTTGAGGGCGATCGAAGCTGGCGCGAGCCGACATTCTCGATAACCTGCTTCTTGAACGGCGGTGGCTGGGCGTAGAGCTCTTCCCGTTGGATGTTTGCATGAGAGCGCTTCTGCTTAGCGTGGGCTAGAGCAGAGGCAGCTCTCAAGGGTGAATTGGCCACATTGGGGTTGCTAGACAAAGGCGTTCGTCTGGCAGACATGGCCGGAGGAGGAATAGGATTCGGTGATAGGGATATGGCTGCCATAAAAAATGCCCAATCAATATGCTCGACGTGGAAAAAGGAGCGGGTGTCTGTTGGGAATATCGGTAGGGTCTGAGCCGTTCGGGGGCGCTGCAACCAAGAGAGAGGAAAGAGAGCGTGAGTATGAGTGGTGGTGGTGATGGTGTTGGTGGTGGTTGCGAGAGGCGGGGGGTTTCTGCTCTGTGGACGAGCACGCGACGTGGGAGGCTACTACACGTCGCTCACGCGTACCAACAGAGACCGTGTCGACAGGTTCACCAAGACATTGAGGACGACGTTGAAGCCTGAAGAAATTGCAAAACCACACGAACGGGAGAGAGACGAGGAGGGGGAGGGTATCGTCGTTGGGGTCGTCGTAGAGGCAGCACCTGCGAGGTGTGTGGTGAATGTGCAGAGGAAAGAGGTTTCTTAATCAAGAGCGTGGTTGGTGTTGTGTGTGTGGGAGGATGTCCCCCCGTCGTCCACTCTTACCAGACTGTGGCCCCCCGGGCTTACCCAAGGACCCATGGCAGGACCCAAGTCGCGCTTGACGAGTTTGGGAGGGGAACAACAGCGCTAATCCCAGTTGGACACGGCCGAAAACACGCACGGGCCAGGCCTCTCTCCAGCAACCGGCCAAACTTACTTGGCCCAGCGCGTCTTCACAGTGGGCGGTCACAGTGGGTGTTGCCGCTGTGGTAAAGCTATGGATCACTGTAATTCCGGGCATGACCCCTAAGGTACCTAGGCCGGAGGTAGGATGGTAGGTAACCTAAGGTAAGTAGGTTAAGTACCCAACCTCACTGGACCCGCCCATGGTACCTTACCTTACCTCACCTTAGGTTGGGTAATGAACCCACCTCCCGTCAACAATAACAACCCCTCGGGCAAGGCACCCGGGTGCTGGGCGACAGGCTGCCCAGGGTGGATGAGGTGACAGGCGTGCAGATGCTGGAAATTGGATGGAGCTGCCAGTGTGGAAAAACAAAAAGAAAATCTTGCAGCTTCTGGGGCCCCGTTGGGTCCATTCCCTGGTGCATCTGCATCTGCCTAGGTGCGCAATGGCTTGCAAGTTGCCCATGTTCGCTGATGACCGTGAGGACCATGTGTGAATGGCGGGCTTTCAGATTCTGTCAGGTATTCTGTCACGCTTCAGAGAATTGGGAAGACAAACGGATTGGATGCCTACCGATGTTGTATTCGTACCGTATATTTACCGAGTTGCAGGAAGTTTGGACGGAATAGGGTATGGGATGTTTAATAATACGCATGCAGGTGCAGTACAAGAGCTGCATGCCTTCATTAAGTACATTAAGACAACGTATACATTCACTCTCACCCTTCATTCACAAATTCTCATCCACTCGTCACTGTGGCACAATACCCAAAAGGGGGAGCATCTAGGTCTACCCCGTCTCAGTCTTAGGCAAAGTCCGCATGCGCTCGCCATTGACGAGTCAGCAGCTTGAAATTCTCCTACACAGGACAGATACAGCTAGCACCTCCGGGATGACCTCATCCGACTTGTAGAGGCCGTCCTGTCCATCCTTCCCGTCCACCTACCTCCCTTGTCTCTGACCTCACACACACACCCACATCACAAGTGACCAGACCCGGTCATGAACGTCTCACGGCCGGTGAGTCGCGCCCTACGTACCGCCCTGAGTTTACGCCCGGCATCGCCATGGCGGCGGCCTCTGCTCTCCGCCGCCGGCCGTCAGCTCCGGCCTTACTCCGACGTCTCTGCCGCCGACTTACAATTCGGCCAGCCGGTGCATGAGACTCACCCTCATATTCTTAAGGCCGGGGAGAGTAAGTAAACACTCACCATCCTCATATAGACACACCTTTGTCTCATGACTGGCTACCTATTCCTCATGTTTGGTTTATGAGAACAAAGACGTCTGAAAAAAAAAAAACCCTAACCTAACGCCCCTTTTCAGTCACGCCCGGCATCACAGCCCAAGAATACTATGACCGCCGTGCCCGACTCGCCGAGAAGCTACCGGACAACGCCGTCGCGGTCCTCGCCGCCGCAGACCTTAAGTACCGCTCAGGAGCCGTCTTCTTCCCCTACCGACAGGACTCTAACTTTCTCTACCTCACCGGCTGGAACGAGGGCGACTCGGTCGCCGTGATCCGGAAGACGGGCAAGGAATACGGCAACTTTGAGTTTCACCTCTTCGCGAAGCCTAAGGAGCCTGTCGCTGAGCAATGGATGGGCCCGCGCAACGGCGTACAGGCCGCACTCGACATCTTCAACGCCGACAAGGCCGAGGACATTGCAAAGATTGACCGCTGCCTCCCGGAGATCCTCAAGGGCGCCAGCAGGGTCTATACCGACATCCAACTGCCGACGCGCCAGGGTGGTGAGAACCAGGGAAAGCTGGCGAACCTGATGAACTCGGACAAGTCGTGGTTGCCCTCCGTCAGGATCCCGCTGTCCCCCGTCATCAACCAGCTCCGCGCCATAAAGTCCCCCGCCGAGATCGCCAACATGCGCCTCGCGGGCAAGATTTCCGGGCGCGTCATCACCGACGCCATGCGGCGGTCGTGGACCAAGGAAAAAGACCTCCACGCCTTCCTAGACTACCGCTTCACCGCAGACGGCTGCGACGGCCCGGCTTACGTCCCCGTCGTCGCGGGTGGGCAAAACGGCCTCTGTATTCACTACGTCGTCAACAACAACGTCATGCACGAGGGCGAGATGGTCCTCGTCGACGCCGGCGGGGAGTATGGCACCTACATCACCGACATCTCCCGCACCTGGCCTGTCAACGGCAAATTCACACCGGCGCAGAAAGACCTCTACGAGGCCGTTCTGACGGTTCAGCGGTCCAGCGTCGCGCTCTGCCGCGAAAACGCTTACCTCTCTTTGGACGAGATCCATGAACACACCTCGGCGGGCCTGCTCGAGCAGCTGAAGAGCCTCGGCTTCGATATCACATCCCGCGACGTCGACGTGCTCTTCCCCCATCACGTCGGCCACTACGTAGGACTGGATGTGCACGACGTGCCGGGCTATGGTAGGAGGACGCCACTGAAGAAGGGCCACTGCGTGACCATCGAGCCGGGCATCTACGTTCCGGACACAGACCGGTGGCCGGACCATTTCCGGGGTATGGGCGTGCGGATCGAGGACAGCATCTGCGTTGACGAAGAGTCGCCCTACATTCTCACGACGGAAGCCGTCAAGGAAGTTGCTGATATTGAGGCTCTGAGAGACTAGGAGAGACTGTAGCAGGGGCGTGGGCGGTGTACCAACATGTGAAACTTGTAAACCCATGTATCCATCGCTGTATGTAATAACAAAGTACGATAACAAAGTGGCACGATAGCAGATGTCGTTACACAAGAGAAGCCATCCCGCTTTTACCATCTGCGCAACGCACCACTTCCTCCACCTGAAAAGCCGCAAAAGATGAGACGTGTGTGATTTCGCGGCGTGTTCTTTACTGGGCCGATATCTTGTGCCAGCATTCTTTCGACTAGGTGGGATCAGGACCCTTGTTTCTCTCGGAGCTTTGAAGGCCAAAGGAGGGGGTTCCTCAAGCACGTTGCCGGCATAGAACTGGCGGGGCCTGCTGCGTGTCACAGCACTGGCCTTGTTTGCTTCCTCGGGACTGAGTCTTCAGGTAGCATTTGGCCAAATGCCTTGTTGGTCAGCTGATACAGAAGAATATGAGATCACCGCAATTGTGGTGCAAATGGCTAGCGCCACAGGTGTGGTTGCCGACTCATCCAGTGGCGGTTGAATATCGACAACACGCCCGGATCGTTAGAACTAATTCACCGAGACGAGGGTGACTATTGAGGTGTTCTTTAATTACCCGGTCTAACAGAAGTCACTGATGGGAATTCCGTTTTCTGAAACTTCACGCAGCCCGGTTCAAGCGCGGCCAGTCACTAGCGATGGGAAGAAATAATTAAACCTTTCTCATGATCATTCTCAACATCGCAGCAGCAACGTGCCAAAAACCATAGCCGTGGGGTCGCCTTGGGTAACAGTGGTTGTTCTTGAATCGATGCGTCTTTTTTCAAACAGACTACTATTACCTTCAAGCCTACCTTATTCTCATGCAGGTTGAATTTCAACTAGCCTTGAAAAGCTTTCTTATCCGACACATCACCAGGAACGACGCCATATGAATCACTTTGGTTGTCGACGACTCCTTTTATCTCATTCCCCAAATGGCTCCAGATAATTCCGAACGCAGTACAATACTTCATTGAAGGTCTGGCAACCTATGGTTATTCTTAACATGCCTGTTCATTCCTCGTAGATTGACCACAATCGTATATTTTGGGGCAAATCGCAGCCCATGAAAACGTAATATGTACAATTCGCAATCGTAATGCGTCATATGATGAGAGGAGGGAGATTCTTAACAGAAACCTCTTGGATCGAACAGCGTCCTGCTGTAGTTCGGCATGGGGAATGGCTGCCGAGCCTGTGCGCTCAAGAGCTGCTCAAAGGCCTGCAGGCGCCTCGCAAGTTCCTGATGCTCGCGCATGATGGCCTTGTTCCTTCGTTCTAGGTAGTGTATATATTCAGTCGCCTTCGTGAGGACGGTGCCCTGTGCTCGTGTGTAAGCAGAGATTTCACCTTTGACGGACGGGGAACACCACTCGATCTTACCTTGCTGACTTTAGGGCCGCGCTGCGATTGGCTGTCAACCTCAGCATCTTCACCAGCTTCCTCAGGTATTGACCTCAGTGACGGCACCGCATCGCGCAGCTCCGAAATTCTGTCTTTGAGATTGGTACGATACTTTCTCTCAATGTCGTTGTGCGCCGTTCGATCGCCCGCCTTCACCTTGTCTTTAGACTTCTCAGATATGCCAGTGGCATTGGTATTGGTCCGTGACACTTGCGGCCGTTGGGTGCCGGGCTCCTCTTTGACCGGGGCCTTGTCCTTTTGCTTGCCCTTGTGATGAGCCAATTGCTCAGGGTCATTGGCCATATCGTTCATACTGCCTGACGCCATGCTAGCATCGAAGTTTTCCAAGCTCGCAAACTCTGGACCCAAATCTGCTCCGACACCAAATCCCATGCCAGACCCCAGACTGGTTGAAGATCGCCCCGTGTTGAGAGCTATTGCTAGCAAGCGTCGCTGTTCGGGGTCGAGCATGGGCGCGCCCATGCCGCCCATTGCGCCCATTCCAAAAAGGGGATTCATCCTTAGCCCAGGTGCTGGCTTTTCCCAACTCAGTGGTGTTGAGTAAAGGCCCTCCCTAGGCGGAACCTCTTGAGGCGGCTGAGAATCAATCTTCCCAAGCTGGTCGCCGAGGTTCATGGATTCCAGAAAGTCCTCATCTTCAGAGAGAGCATTGTCAAGGGCGGTGTCATCCATAAAGTCTTCCGGTTTGAACACAGGATTGGTGTATAAGCCGGCACCCAAGCCAGGTGTTGTGGACATGGGATTTAAACGGTTTGCAGCGGGTCTAGCAAGCATCAGTACGTTAGGTTTTCTTCGATGAATAATATTCGTGGGGGGAAGGTATGTTACCTGGGTCGGTAATTCGGAGTAGAGTTGCTACGCCTTGAAAAGTCGATCTCGAAGCTTCCACCTAGCTTCTGTTCCTCGTCGTCATCAAATTGAATCCAGTAGTCCACCGACTCCAATGCAGCAGCCTCTGAATCGACCTTGGTTCGTTTCCGTGCATGACCATCTCTCCGCCGGGGATCTTGGTTCGGCGCAGTGCGGCTCGGCAAGCCGGAATTCCTTTGTTGACCATGGTTGAACTGCATTTGAGCTGGCATGGAGCCGAGGCCAAAGTTCGTGCTGCTAGGCGATGCCTGGGCAAAAGAAGGCAGGGAACCAGAGGGGCCATTGGACGTCGACTCAGAATTTGCAGGATCGCCGCCTAAGGACTCCCACAAGGAGTTATCGGGCGCATTTCTGGCAGCACCTGTAGCGGACGACTCGGCGGTCTGCTCGGCCGAGTTTGTTGTTTGGTTGTTGGGGACAGCGAAGTAATCGAGGTTTTTGAGAAAGTTGGGGTCCATCACAACGCCAGCATTTCGGCCCCCGACACGTCGGCGGTCGTCGATCTAGAAATCGATATATGCAATGTAGAGTGGATGTACAGCGGCTCGATCGCTTGCCGAGTATTCCTGAGCACTCGAGGCCCAGACCTCGTACGCTTCTTGGTCGGGGAAAGAGTTTGGCGACTTAAGATGGCCAGTCGTACCACCTCGTGTAGCCAATCAAGGTGATCTTGTCATCCAATGGCAGCGAAGGCGATGGGGACAAGCAGCGAGCAACAGTCGTCGGGGTCGGCGATGGCAAGGGAGGCTGCACGCAGTGGATGAGCAGAGACGTCGTTCGCGTTCGTGTACCGTCAAGATTGCGTCGCTCGCGAACAGCAGGAAGGCGGGGATTTCGCTTATTAAGATCAGCCAAGGTTCGAATCGTTCAAAAATCTGTTTGGCTTTGCGAGCAGGCTTGAGGACGCAGGAAGCAAACGAGAAGCACGGGGACAGACAACAAGATCCATCAAACACGGGGAAGGACAAGAAAAGAGTTAAGGGTTGGGGAGGAATAAGTGGAGGCAAGGACGAAAATGACTGGTCACACCTTACGTATCCAGCCAGGGACCTGTGGGAGGCTGCAGGAGGTTTACGGAGGTGGGAGAAAAAAGTTGAGCGGTTCAGGTGACTTGATAGTGGTGGTGCTGCTGTGTTGGAAGCGGCGGCAGTTGAAAGGAGAGCAGACCGGGGATCGCAACTCGCAAGAGGCAGCGGGAGCTATACCGGAAGGACAGAGACAGAGTCGGCTGATATTCAAAGACAGGAAAAGTGACCCGCGCCGGGTTCCGTGAGGGAGGGGGGGATTGACTCGAATTGACTCGGGCCAGGGCGGCCGAGTAGGAAAAAAACTACACTGGCAGAAAAGTGTGCAAAGGTTTGCCAATTGGGCGGGAAAGAATGATGCAGGATCGGGCGGAATGGCCTGACATCGAATTTGCCAGTGGCCGGGGCACACTGGCTGAGCGTATCAAAAATCGACCACTTCATCTTCACAATCGTATGATGAACGAGGCTGCTAGAGGGGAGTCGTGCGATGGGCGCCGAGCTCCAGGACAGGGGTTATTCATTGGACATGTGTCGATCCGGCCCCACTACACCGCGCCCTCATTGTCAGCCTTGCAAGCTGGCCCGAGCGTCGGCCCCAGAATAGACTTCCCGCTCCGTTAGGGTCCGGCTTCTTCTGGCTTGGTGCCCCCCCTCAAATCCCAAGACCCCCTTTCCTTAATCGGTGTCGGTCCAGTTCAGCTCGCGTCCACCTTCCACCCCCCTTCCTTTTTTGATGTATTTGTGCCGTCTCTGGGTTGAAGCTGCACCGTGGCTGCAACGTGAATAACCTCCCCTAAGGCCATGCTTGCCGTCTGTCGCCGGGGCGGCACCGGCGCAGAAGTCATCAAACGTCAGGGAAGATGACATATTGCCCTCGGCTCCCCTCCTTCGCCGTCGCATCCATCGCCCTGTTCCACCCCCAGCCGAGATAACTCATCTTGCCTCGAACAGACAGGCACATACGCTTTGCCGCAATCCCGAGGACTTTGTTGGTGGTAAAACCGTTTGTGGCGACGCCACCCACGTGGAACGGCCAAGACAGAGACAAGTGCCCGAAACACCGTTGGCGCCGTTCGGTCAGCAATGTGCAGAGACGTCTAGAACTTCACTGAATACATCCTTTGATTGCTAGTCACAGTTCTTCACGTTAAGTACTTGACAACTTTAGCCATCTAGGTATCATATCTGTCCAAGTTTTCTCATCTATGGATGAAGCTATTCAGGTTAGCTGTGAACCTGGATGAGGAGGAGGTTTATCTTAAAAGTTTACCAGCAGTTAGTAGATGATGTCAGTGTGTTACGTATGGATATGCAATATGGAGTATTTGGCCCTTATCAGGGATATGAGTAGGCGCAGAGATACATCCTTTGAATGCATTTCCTCCCTTGCATTCCCCGCGTCTTCGACTTGGGTCCCGTCAGGAGGTTCCTACGTATTTCAATTCGGTTCGATTTCAAGCTGGGTATGCCTCTCACGTTTGCTGCAAGTGCAGCAGGTTAATGCATCATTTGCACTTGCCAATAGACCAGGGCTGAACAATACGAACTTTGGTCAAAGAACATCAGGAATGGGAAAGTCACTGGTTTCACCACGGTGACCGAGGGCATCGGTGTTCTTTCTCAACAATGCCAGACTTTAGCCAGCTAGTATGTATAAATACTCGCTGCGGCTGTTCTCTACAACACTTCATGCATCACACACTTCATCCTCTCATTCGCTCTGCCTTCTTGATCGACCCTCGTTTCCCAACCACCATGAAGTTTATTACGGCTATCGCCACCATTGTCCTGGTTTCGACCTCGGTCGTAGCCCTCCCAGCAGAGCCCATCGCCACTCCAAACCCTCACATCGAGCCAATGTGGTCGAAATGCACCAAGTTCTACCAAGCAACCCGTGGAGAGACTTGTGCGTCCCTTGCCTCCAAAAACAACCTTACAGTCGCCGACATCATGGGCCTGAACCGGGGCATCGGCGGCCAGCGTGGATGCCAGATGGGCAATATCATTGAGGCGTACTGGTACTGTGTAAAGCCAGAGGGCTGGTAAAGATTTTTTCATAAGATCATCAGTTTCGCCGGTTGCGTAAACTTCACACTGGCGAAGGACGGGAGTAGTGAGACTACCTAGGATGCAGATCAAGCCAGGCTTCACATCCCAATCAGTTTGGTAAGACGTTATCAACATTGCCGGCGAGTGCTCCTTCCGGTTCACGCTAGCCACAAAGTACTAGTATCAACTACATCAACTCTTCCTATGCAGCCGCGTTCCTACTTCTTCAAATCTGGGTCTGATGGCGAATTGACAACAACCAAGTGAGGAGAACTTCTCAGCGGTGTTGCGGGTTGGGGTCGGCGGCTCGATTGGCGCAGTCGTTACAAATGCCGGCCCAAGCAATCGTGCCATGCTTGGGTTTCGGTCCTTTGCAGCCCTTGCCTACATCAGAGCACCACTTGATATTATGGAAGCCAGTATGACCGCAGTCGAACTTCTTGTCAATCTGCTTGCACATCTTTCTTTATCCCTGCTTTTATATCTAGCGGCTTGCTATCTTTCCCCTCGTTCTTGCCAGTGATGATTCCTGCTATGTTTGCTTGTTAGCATGTCTTTATACTCTTCTATGCCAGCATTCTTGGCTTCGGAGAGCCTTATATACAAATTGCAAGGTGGTTATCCACGACAATTCAGCTCTTCCAGATATCTTCCGTTGCTTCGTGATTCTAGGATCGGTTATATGAATGGGTTGCTCTGTTGCCTTTTCGTGTACTCTGCTTCGGACTCCAAGGTCGCTGGCTGTCTAATAACAGCAGGAAGCCGAGACGGAAAAGGCACTTCGAGGAAGAATTTCAAGGAATCGGATTCGCGGAAGAGGGTTACAGAGGACAGTCTCTGACTGAGGAAGCAAGCAACAAAAGTGCTCAAAGTGCGAGTATGAATTCGGTAGGTTTTATGGAACACCAGTCAGGCTGGTTGTATGACCCAGGATAGTCGATTTCAGCAACACATAACTGAACAAGATCATGAGAAGGACTGAACAATGTCAAAAGGACTGAACAAGGCCAAAAGAAGGTCAATATATGCCCCTCTCGGCGAAGGGGAATACTTGACGTTTTCCGATGTGCAACTAATGCCATGTGGACCAGACCCCTCGGACACCCTGCCGCGTTCCGCGGTGCTGGGAATGACGAATCAAGATGCAGGTAGCAAGGGAAGAGCAGAATCCCGTCGGTACATCACATCTCAGAATTCTGCAGGGTGACTTGACAGCTTGGATGGGCGGGCATGGGGGATGGGGGACCGGGAGTCGGGACTTGGTCTTTCATTTCAGCTTTGGGACATCCCACCGATGTCCGTTGTCCAGTGGACAACAACCGACGTCACTCTTCGAGGAACTAAGAGATTGGTGGGCCTCGACATTTAACCTATCAACGCCGGACGGTGGTCGGTGTTGGGGTCTTCACCCGGCTATTTGCAGAAGCATATTGTATGCTAACGAAAAGGCGGTGGGTAAGGGTACGGGCGTTCTCGCCTTCTCTCCCTGTGAGACATCGAGATTCACCTCGGACACTCTTCTAGGGAACAAGAATGCTACGCGCTCTCTACGTCGACACAAAGAAGGGTCCTCCGAGAAGATGGATATTCGAACCAAGGCAGTGAGCAATAAAGATTGTTGTCAAAAGGTGGGGGCCTGGACTTCTGGTGATATTCGAAAGACCCTAGATCCCTGTTGACTCCTCCGGGGTACCATAAGCCCCCCGTCCTGGCCCTATCACGCACTGTCACTCTCTGATATGTGATCTACTCAGGGTGTCAAACGTCAAAAGTCACGACGCTCTCTGCCCACGCTGCTCATACTGTTCATACCAAGGAGATGTTGTAAGTCCCTCAGCAACCTCGCAGGCTTCATGCGAGACAGAGCGCGGGATACAACGTTGGACACTTCCGAGGAGACCTATTGCAGTGACATTGCGCGCTTCCTAGCCGATATCCCCCTCAAGTTTTCTCGAGAAAAGCCCCAAGGACCCCGCTACTGCGAGCTGCTGCGCGAATGGGCTGATGTGGATGGCCGTTTGCTTGCACCATTTGTCAGACGCACATTGTACACAGTAGGCATGCATACATCGCACGACAGGCCTTCTTATGCAGCGAATAGTCTCTGGCTGAATCTCCATCCTAGTGGAGGAGCTGACGCCCTAATAGCTGCAGGGTCGTAAGGACGATCCGGTTGCCATGTAAAGATGCTTCTTTGGACTCGAGTCTCTTGGAACTGGCGCCTAGGCTGGGTCTCTCGGGTTAGGTTATTCGGAGCAGTCATCGAGATGCCGGACCTAACAGTTGATTGAGGATGTTTCCGGCTACATCCACACTGGCGTCGGTTTTCAAAAGCTAATACCCTCTGCTTTCAGTTGGCACTGGGATACGTGTGGCTAGAAATCCCAATGATTTCTTGCTTTGGCACCAGGAACGTTCCTGACGCCCGAAGGGTATTGTATACGAAGTGGACGAGATGTGCCTCTTACCAACCACTGAGTGACATCAATAGGCAACACGACATGCCTGGGACAGCAGACTTTAGAGTGGGAGGCGATATGCTCCCCTTGCACTAATAATTCAATTATGCGGTACTGTGCAGGACCACTCCTTTGCTCCTTTACGCCGTTCCGGAAGTACGCCACGGTGTCCTTGACGACCGTGGACTGAGTTGATGAGGTCCTTTATTGTAACTCGAATACTATACAGGTAATTATTTTCCATTGAGGGGTCATGTAGCTACGGGTGAGTTGTCGAATTTGCGAAAATGAAAGATGGTAGTTGGCTTTGCCACTAGAAACCTCCTGATGCAATTAACAAGCCACGATACCGTGGACATCCGGTCAAAGGGACGGCAAGCTAGCGTTTCGAGGAAAACTGATCAGATATGTCGTAGGCTTTCACAAAGTAACGGAATAAGCAAGTTCGTAGCCCGCGCACTTAAACCTTTCCCTTCAAATCAATATGATTTGCAAGATCGGTTAAACCGCTAGGTAGCAACTCCATCTTTCTTTGTCGAAAAAGGTACCCTGAATTAGCTTTCGGCTGAAAATCGAGAACCATCATAATTGGGTAGTAAATTCGATGCTAACGACAGTTCCAAATCTAGTGGCCGTATGATTATCAGAATCGACCCGGGGGCTAACCCTCATGGCTTAGTCAACGAGAGCCGAAGATGCCAACCTGTTATCGTTGCTCCTCTCCTGTGACGAAGACATCATCTAACCTTCTGTAGGCCTTGTTTTCTACTTCGAGTTATTTTTGTAGATTTATGTTTAACAAGCATTCAATGACACCTGGTCATGTGGCATGAAGTACCCTATTGGCATCTACAAAAGCGCACGTAGAAAACTCATTGGCCAACATTTTCTATTCCAGATGAAGATTTCGATCATCTCCATAGCAGTGCATTTTCTTGCCTTGAAACGATACGTCTTCTGATACTCATGCACTTCAATTCTAGGCCATCAATAGATCTAATTGAGCTTGAGAACATAATTCTCGCAATACCTAGGTATTATCCCTACATCCATCGCCAATGGGATGCAGATGCGTAATGATGCTTTCGACCCTGGAAAAGCTTGCTGTTCCATCCCAAGATAGCGCAGATAATACTCGAACACATAGTCCTGCCTAAGAGGTACCGTGCTCTTGCCCAAGAGACATAGAGGGGATCATGGTCGACGGGAAAGCGCGGGCTGATGGTTGGCTCTTTCCCCCTTCCATCAAGCCTTAGGTAAGGCACCTTCCTGATGATCACAACCCAGACCCCACGCTCCATAGGTAGGTACCTTCCTCTTCCTGTCTTCTGTCTCATCCCAAGTACAAAGCCTTGGAGGTAGGTGCGTTTCGTTTTCTTTTCCACCTACCCACGGCCGAGACTGGTGAAGTTCTTCTACGCCTGCTCCTCTCCTCTTCACTCAACCTTCCAGTTGGCCCAGGATCACATCACCATATCCCACTGGCTACAACTTTACTTCCACGATCCCCGTCTCTGAGTCTCCTGTTTCCAATCCTACCTGGAACAAACAACGCCTAGACGGCGCAGATGACAAAATGTGGTGCAGCATCCCGAAAATCCTCGTGGGATTGTTGTTGATGCGCACATGGGTCGCCAATGTTGACGCCTTCTCTTGGGGCGACGTCGAGATGAAAGCAGATACCCTCACGTCTCTGGAAGAACATCTGGTAAACCCCTCGGTTACAGTTCACGACGCATCACGCTTGCCGAATATCTACGCCGTCGCCATGCAGGAGCTTCAACAACTTGAATCCGAGCCTCTTTGTCATCGAATTGCTGCTCGACACTTAGTCAACAACTGTCAGCTACTCGAAGGCAAAGACGACGCTACGGTCCTTACTGACAGCGGTAGACAAATCCGTGACTTTGTGGACTCCTACGCCGCAAGTCTTGCAATCTGTGATTTGGAAAGAGGCAGTTTTGTCATCCCATCGGGCTGTGCACCATTCAGAGAATATTCCTTGGCTAATTTGCCGGCCTCAAAGGTCGCTCGCCTTCACGTCTCATCTCAGCAGATCGATTCGTGTCTTTCGGGGTTGGCCAAATCTGACTCCGCATGGAATACCTGGGTTAGCTACCGACATAAAGCTTTGAGGTTCTGCGAAGCTGCCCGCGCAGACAACGATAAAGGTAAATACCATTCACATGTCGAGAATTTCTTCTGAACCTGCTACAGCACAGAGCATTCGTCTTTATCAACGCCTTACAGAAGTCCTGTCTAAACTCTCAGAGGGAGTCGAACAAGAGCTTGAAGCCCACCTCCACGCGATCAACCTAAGAGCAGCCGAGACGACCGAGCAGCTCCGCCACATGACCCCAGAAATCTATCAGTTGCGAAATAGCTTACAAGATTTAGACAGATACATATCTCAGGACGTGATGCAGGTGGCTCAGGTGGGCTTATAGTTGCTCTTTTTGAGGAATGCCACGACACTAACTGAAAAGGCATCAAACTCTGCGATGCGAGGCGGCCTCGAAGATGCCCGGAACCTGCAACAGCTACTGACTGTACTCATCAAAACGGTCCTCAGCAGAAATGCCGAGGTTGCAGCATCGCATGAGCTTGCACTGGCAGACTTCAAAGACCAAACGGGAAATGAGATAGCGGTTGTCATGGCTGCGCTTGCAACAGCTGTAGCATCGTCTATGACTCTTCATGATCAGTTGGTAAGTATGTTTAAACCGTGCGATTGTTTACTGGGCTGACATCAAGCCAAGGAACTATCACATCTCCGAGTGGTTGAAATGGCTGGTCGGCAGGATTACCTCGAGAAGGTGAGTCAAGCCTTTCTGAAGCCCTGAGTATGTAATTGAGGATTTTAGGGGTTGCAAAAACTTTTAGACACCACCGACGATATCTCCTCAAAATACGAGTCACACTCTGAAAGGCTGTCACACGCGGTTCGGATTTCAGGAGACCTCCTGGAGACACTGGATAATATGGCTACATCGACATCGGAAGTTCGCGGTTCTTTTGACCATCGACCAGGTTGGACGAGTTGGATCCCATACGTGGCGTGCCCGGCCGCGTCTTTGCTTATGGGCTCGTACGGTCTTCCACCATCAGCAGCACGAAATCTGGGACTCATTGCTCTTGGTATGAAAATGATGATGTATTTCTCGGAGGACAGGACACTGACTGAAGTGTGCTTCATAGGCGAATTTGCTGGCTTCATCATGTCTTACGCCAAATATCTCACTCCGAGCCTTCTCGAGGCTAACCGATACACACCTCCACTGCCCGACGTTGTGAACACGACGTTCATCCCCACGGCGGCACAAAAAGACATTTTCAGAGACCTGCCGCTAAATATACGCAAGATCCGGATATCAAAGACGACTTGAGCGGTGCCAGTGGAGATAGACTTTCGGCATACATAACACCTGCAAAGCTCATGACATCTGGGCAGGGCGAAAATGTTTGCGGCGTTTGTGGCGTTTGCGGCGTTTGTGATATTATCTTTTACTTTCCTATAAACTTTTCGTTGATTTTTTCGGGACGGTTTACTGGATCATGGTCGTTGCAAAGCGGTGGATATTAGCACAGGGAAATGGGTTGGCTCTGACATCATTTCTCGCATATGGACTTAGCAAATCGCCTATTCGGGGGCTATGCACAATTAACCGGAGTTTGATCATTCTCATCCATTCATCTCCCCTTTTACTATGCTGTGTGCCTGTATCGCAGTGTAAGGCAGACTGACTGCGGGGAAGTGCATGAAGGCATACTACTGTCTTCCCTCATAGCCTGACCCCGACCGCTGGCCAAACTTTGCCGTAGTCTCCAAACACCCGACTGTCTTGAAGCTGCGGGATTAACTCAAGACGAGACGAAGACAGCGGCGATGGCGGAAAAGGTCAAGATCGCGCTCATTCAAATGCACCCTAAGGTCAGTAAGTCTGGGACTACCCCTCATCGAATATGTTTAGCCCAGTTTAGCTCCCGCGCTCCTTTTCATGCGCCATTGCTCACGAGGTTCTCGGCGGGGGAAATGCCTCTACTGGAAACAGAGTTCTGACAAGCATCGCAGGCCGTCGCGCAAGAGGAGAACTTCACCAAGGCAGAGGCATTTATCCGCACTGCCGTTTCCCAGGGCTGTTCGCTCGCCGTTCTGCCGGAGTACCATCTCACATCATGGGTCCCCGACCATCCCCAGTTCGTGTCCGCCTGCGCGCAGTCCTGGACCTACCTTGAACGGTATCAGACCCTGGCCAAGGAACTAGGTGTCTCCATCGTGCCGGGAACCATTGTTGAGCCGGATGGTGAGGAGGGCGCCGACGACTTGGACCTCCTCAACGTCGCGTATTTCATCGGCCCCGACGGCGCCGTGCTGGGGCGGTACCAAAAGAAGAACCTATGGCACAACGAGAGGCCGCACCTGACCAAGGGACCGGAACCTCACGGCGCCTTCGACACGCCGCTGGGGAGGGCGGGGATGCTGGTATGTTGGGACCTTGCTTTCCCCGAGGCCTTTAGGGAGCTCATCCGCGACGGGGCAAGGATCATCATCTGTCCTGCCTTCTGGCTCGCGGACGAGTATAAGCGCAACAACAGGGCGACGGGTACCACGGAGGTCGTGAACCGGGACTCGGAGAGGGTTTTCCTCGAGAACGTCACGGTGACGCGAGCGTTTGAGAACACGGCGGCTGTCATTCTCGTCAACGCGGGCGGGCCCGTAGGGGGAGGCGGGGTGGAGGTTAGGGAGGGCGGGGCGAGAGTCCGTTATTGTGGCGTCAGTCAGGTTGCGCTGCCGCTCGTGGGCGCGCTCGGCAAGCTGGGCGCCGAAGAGGCGATGGAGATTGTCGAGGTCGATTTGGGGTTGTTGGATGTTGCTGAGGGGGCGTACAAGGTGAGGGAGGACATGAGGAAGGAAGGGTGGCACTATGGGTACTCGATCGTTAAGGAATAACGGCGATCAGAAGACAGCGACGGTTTACAGAACATGAGTATAGACGGCAGAGGACCTTGACCGAGGTATGACCATGATCAACAATTTTGACTGCGAAAGTCGGGTATCAATAGCATCCCTCTCCTCCAGTGTGCCTGACAACCGCAGGTAAGTGAAGAGGCGTTGTCCTCGGTTTATTGAGAGCTCTGCCCGGTATCATCCAGATAAGCCAGAAATGTTCTCCTCTGATCGATCCGGAGCCTTGTGTGCTTCAACTCCAGGTAATCCCAATATTTCTGTACCTTCGCCTCATCTGGACCGCCCTCTGAGCCAGCAGCATCAACGCGCCTTAATCTTGCGTCGTCATTTGTCGTCCAGACTCCTTGCCAATTGTTGGGGAGCTGTTTGTGCTCTATCAAGTGCTTCAAGAGACTAGTAGCTAACGGCGTGCAAAGCGAAGTAGCCATCAACGCCAAGACGATATCCTCGCGCGGGTAGCCAAATGAGATGAAGCGGTCCATGAGGTCCTCGAGCTCGACAGTCTTATCCGCTGAATCTTGAGAATCGGGTATGGCTCGACCTCCCGGTTCGTCCCGTGTTTCGACTGCCTCTCTATCTTCCTCCCCCTCCACCTCTCTCCCTTCGGTGGGTGACCCTCGGGCTAGTTGGTCCCGGTCGATTCCCTTCCCCTTATCTCTCTTGTAAGAAAAAGGCAAAGGCGTCACAGACTCTATCTCACCCAAAAGCTGTTGTGACGGTGAAATGTCGAACTCATCACTGCCTTGCGATTTGTCAGGGGCGTTGAATGCATCATCGAAGCCAAAGTCTTGTGTTTCGGGCTCCAAACGACGGGGTTTGCCAGCTGGAATCTGCTCAGGCTCCTCCTCTTCTGCGGCCACCTCTTCGACCTCCCCAACTTGCCCTTCACCATTCGCCCACCGTCTGACGCTTAGCGAGGGGCTAGGACCTAAGTTATTAAAGCTTGCAAGACCTAGCCTATCGTCGGGAGTAGATGGGATCTCGTCGTCTGGGCCTAGACGCTGTCGCTTCTTCCTGCTGTTTGGTGTCGACGGAAGACCAGCAGTGTCGACAATGATTGCCTGCCTCTTTCTAGAAGCGCTGGGAGTGACCTCTAGGTGTGTTTGGAAGGGTTCTATCTGCACGTCCGGTCCAGCGTCATCTTCCCCAGACTGTGAACCCTCATCATCATCGGATTCCACGTCAGGTTCATCCAAAACACCACTGGCGGCGAAGTCGGCGATGTAGTCTGCGTAGCATTGTTGTATCAACTGAGCAGTGCCAACATCGAGACCCAATACATCTGCCACTGTTGCCCAGTTGGTTTCGATTGCTCCTTGCTGGTATTGATCTCCCACAGCTTGCCACAATCGCCATAAGTCGATAGGCAAATCATTGATTTCGGGCTTGATTTGGGTATCGAGCCTTCTGAATTCACGGTAGCCCTCCAAATGGTCGAAGAAATATTGTCTTGAAATAGCTTGGGACTCTTCGATTCTGGTCTCTGGCAACCGTTTTCCGTCGTCTTTCTTTCCTACTGTGCTTGCCCCTGATGGAGCGACCACTGGTGCGGTAGTCTCCTTGTTGAGGGTCGTGGGCCGGCCGTCTGAATCGTTTGGCCTTTTCTTCTGGTCGCTTTTATTCTGTCGGCTCGGTTCGCCGCTAGGAGCTGTGCCTGGTCCAGCCTTTGTGTCGACTGTGGGGGATTCTTCTGGCAACGGTCCGCTCTCCGCAAGGCTTTCCTTAGAGCTCTCCCGAAGTCGCGGCTCCAATATCTGTGTCCAATGCCGTCTCCATGCACCCTCTGAGTGATTAGAATGCTGCCCAGGTTTAGTCTCATGCCATGATCATTGCTAGGGAGATTCGACGCACTTTTTCCGAGAACCTCTTGAAGAATTTGGTGTCGGGCGTGCCGTCAAATCTGCCGACCTCGCGTATCAACAAATCATCCTCTGCTCCGGTGAACTTGGTTCTTTTCGCCGGAGTTAATGGTGCTTTGACATCTGGCTGGTGAGCAGAGGAGCTGGGCTTCGCCGTTGCCTTCACTGTAGGTAATCGTGGGGTATGTTGGGCAACCGGAAGAGGTGCCTTCTTCTCTATAGGTCGCATAGTTTCACGCCTGCTGGAAGAGGTTGTTGCTGTTGGTGGCGCCGGCAGTGCGATCTGTGAAGCGGAAGCAGCCAACTTCTCGATCTCGGCTGGAGGTAACTTGGACAACTTCTTTACCCATCGGTCCCTCCAAGAATGCAAGGTATGACGATTGTTCTGCGCTTCGTTAGTGACAGTGACGACGACGTATATCTTCAGACCTGAACTCACCATCTCCTCAAATACCTGATAGATCTCATTGCCGCTTCTTTTATTTGCCGCATGCGAGAGCACCCATTTGGTGAGAATCGCATCGTCGGTGGCGGTGAAGGGGGTGCGGGTTCCTTTAGCAGGGGCAGACTTGGCTAAAGGACGAGGGCCGCCAACAGGCCTCGAGGCTCTGGGTGTCCGATGCATTTCATACTTATCCATTTCCTGTATAGCGCCGTTGTCGACAGAGTCTTTGACAAACTTCCAATCGAGTGACCCAGCGGGAGTAGGCCCTCTGTCATGAGTAATGTAGTGGTCTGCATGGGTTTCCAACTTGGCAATTGTACCGCCATTTTGCTACCTCGTTAAGCTTACAGGAAGTCTGGAAGTTCGGAGCAATTGCCTACCTTGATGAGATCCAGGATGGTCAGCCTGTCGGGAACGCGCATTGAAACAAAGAATTTCAAATCCTTAAAGAGAGTGCCGCGGGCGCCAGGCACTCCATGGTAGGTGATTCCGCCTCCCGACATATTCAGTAGAAGCTAGAGGTGTTGCTACAAAATTTGAAGTTGGCCTTGGTGCACCGGTGGATGTCATAAGCTTGTTATAGATGATGCACCGCTCTTCGAAAGCCGCTGATGTCGTTGAGTGCGAAACTCGGGATGAACACCATGGAGTCACGACTTTTCTTGAAGAAGTATGACCAATTTGAGAATGGTGTTGACGCGCTAGGAAAGCGTGATAAACTGACGGAAATGAAGGGCTCGCGGAGACGTCGCGCTTGCTCAAGTCGAGGGCTCGACTCAGAAGACGTGTGACGGGCACGCTCAAATGCCCACCCTCCGCATGAGCGTCAGGAACAAACCAGGAGCCTTCGTCTGGTGGAATGGTCTGGTTGCCTATGATGATGACAGACCGGGTTGCAGCTTCGTCTTTGTGAACCGCGCAAAGGAACCTGAGGTAACATAATAGACGGCACGCAGGTGCTCGAGTGAGACGCGCTTTCTTGGAAGGGATGCCGCGTAGTCACGTGTGGGCAGCTTAAGTGAGTTTAGGTAAGGTGTGCAACCTAAACGATGCATGCTTATACATATTACGAGGCAGACAAACGGCTGGGTTTTAGGTGTGCTATGACCTTCACTGTTCGATACAACGATACTTTGGTATGCTTTAGTGCCCTGCCAACGCTCTCACTTCAAACTCTCGTTCATATGCGAGTGTACACTGTGTTTGAGTAACAACTGCAACTACCTTACGTTCCGAAGTGTTCGAATTTTTGAACCCCCTTCTTTGCTGCTGGCTAAGGCAGTTTACTGAGGCGAGGTCGGTGGGCCTACTTTAGGCTGACGCCCCAAGGCTCAGGCCCTATCCACTCGCTACCGGCCACCGCAACGGAGAGTGGCTTCTCATCCATTTGCTGTACCCGCCCCAGCCGGCACATCCAGCCCGGAAAAGGTGGAAAGTTGCCATTTCTGCTGGCGTTCTCACGCTTCAGTTCTCCTCAAGATCATGAATTCGGAGAAGCCATAATACTTATATTTTATATCATGAGCACCCTGAGGAATGCAGCACTCTTCGTGCTGGCTGTCTCCTTCACAGTCTTCGTCGCCTTCTTTGGCCGACTACCGGCTCTGAGGTTCGTCATCGTGCTTGATCGCTGGCTGGGGAGCAGAAGCATCTCACCATCAGATACATGGGCTTACCATTTGGCAGACATACGCCAATCGCAACGATGCATAGAATAATGTGGATCCATATTCCAAATGGCTTCCTCGCTATAGACCGACTTGTAACGGGAGGGAGCTTCTCAACTTCCATGAAACGCTTCGGCAACTTCATGATGCATGACCGGCATCCCACTGTCGTCGTAAGTGTCCGAATTCGAAACTGTATCAGAGAAACGTTTGAACAGGCTAACACATTTCAGGTCTTCTTCCTGCTCATCCTCTCGGTATCGGAATGCTTGTATCTCCCTGGAGCGTGGCCCCAGATTTCCCTCTTCCACAAGATCGCGGGCTGTGTCGCCATCTTCTTCCCCTATTGGTTTCTGTACCTGTCTGTCATGGCCGACCCTGGCTATATCACCGCCGAAAACCATGCCTACTACATGTCACTCTACCCCTATGACTACTCAATCTTCTACCCCGGACAGAAGTGTAGCACGTGCAACCTCATCAAGCCGCCCCGGTCCAAACATTGCAGCATCTGTAAGCGCTGCGTCGCGAAACTTGACCATCACTGCATCTTCATCAATGGCTGCGTCGGCTACAAGAACCAGCATTATTTTGTCCTCCTCCTCCTGTCGACGGCTGTGCTCACCTCCTACGGCGGATTACTGGGCTTCTCCCTCCTATCTAGCAAGATCGCTTCCAACTACGCCAAATGGTCGCTGTGGCCGCCGCAGGGTATGGAGATTAAGGAATATCTGCTCATCTGGAGCTGGGCCCTGCAGGACAACGTCGGCATGGGCGCCGTCACCCTCCTCGCCGCCATGACCTCTCCTCTGGTCTGGGGTCTGCTGTGCTACACATTCTGGCTGATCTACTGCGGCACCACGACCAACGAATCCCTGAAATGGTCCGACTGGAAGGCTGAGATGGACGACGGCTGTGCTTTCAAGCGCAGCATGCCCGCAAACCGCGTTAAGGACAAGCGCTTTGAGCCGGAGAGGACTCGTTGGCCTCTTCAGACGCAACAGGTGTTGACGAGGACCGATGATGGGATGCCCCCTCCGGAACATGGGCCAGGAGATGGTGAGTGGGAGCGCGTGTGGAACCTGAAAGATGTCGAAAACCTTTATGATTTGGGGTTGTGGGACAACTTGGCAGACATTTTTGTGTCGAATTACGACTTCAACATGAAACAAGACCAACCATCTGTAGAGGCCCTGGGACGACAGAGGCATCCACCCAAAGCTTGATTCTTCATCCATTCGTAAAATAAGTTTGGTATTCGTAGTGTGTAGTAATAATGTAACTCGCAATCACTAATAAGGAACGCCTTTGGCACTATGGACATACGTTAGTGAGGTAGCCAGTATACAGTATCATGTCGAAATCACGTGGCCTGGGCTTGGGAATAACATAATCAAATAGATGGCATGCGTAGAGGGTCTTTCGAAATTTGTCTTTGTTGTTTCATTTTAACGTGTCTCATCTAATTCGTACCTGGGGCTGCTGGACCCAAGGAATCTCAGACGCCCCAGCTACTCAGGGCTTGTATAGCCAATCTGAGGATCTAGTGATGCATGTCGCAGAACTCTTCGTACCGCCCGTTCATGCCAGCCTCCAGTGGGAAGCTTCCCACTTCTTAAGTAGGTATACGTCTTGACATGGCTGCCGACTTTCTGGAGTCTAATGTCATCCTGAGCGCACAACTACAGAATGGTGCCGAACCTAGAAAGAATTGATGTCAGAGCGAATGGTTTCTTAAAAAGGGCTGCGGCGACAATCTGAGACATACCCAAAGGTGCGCTTGATGCTATTGACGTAATACTCTTGCCAATTACGCTTCGTGGCCTCTTCCTCGCCGACAGGGACGCCATCCCAGTTAACACGCATCAGGGTGACGTGGTCGACATCGTTCTGGTCAAACTCGATGCTGAGCTTGGAGTAATGGCCTGAGGGCCATTGCTTCAGGCGCCAGCTCTGGACAATCTTCTTGGGGGCGGCAAGTTCGAGGTACTCGCCGGTAACGTTTCCGTCAAATAGCTCAAACTTTGCGCCCTTGATGGCGCCCTGGAAGACCTTGGGCGGCGCGCGGGTGAAGGCGGCAATGCGTGCGGGGTCGACAAAGGTCTGGTAGGCTTCCTCGGCCGTGGTACGGAACTCAGCAGTATCGGTCAAAGTCATGGTGTTGACGACCTTGCCTGAGCTGCCCTTGACGCTCGTCGAGGCAGTGGCAGACTTGGCCGCCGTGGTTTGTGTCTGGTACTTGGGCGTGGAGAAGCCGCTGGAAGGGTTGGATCCGGGAGCATGCTGGATGTCCTTGCCGTGCTCGGCGATCAAGGCCCCGGGGAGCTTGAGGAACTCCCTGCGGAGCTCGGGCACGAGCTTGGAACGGACGAGGTCCTTGACAGGCTGCTTCTCCTTGGAGTCGGAGTAAATGTCGATGTCAAACTGTTACGAGGGCAGAATCTCAGTAAACCGGTGTCCTTTTAATGATGCAGAGATTTCACCAGAGACCCACCACAAATTCGTCTTCCTCAGTGTCGTGGGCGACCTCGGGTATAGTGATGGTGCCCGAGACCTCAGCCTCATCGGAGGTGGTGCCTGCGCTACGTTAGCGAGGCTCCAGAAGACACGAGTTCACAAGATGGTACAATGTCAGGCAGAAATTGTCGGTTGAACGAGATTTTACGGGATGAAGTACATGTGCTTGCATTGACGACCTACCGGTGTATTCTAGAACGAGCTTAACATCGTAAATGGTGATGACCTTGCCCTTCCTCTGGCTAACGTCGACGTCGCCATCCATGCTCACAACCTTACTAATCTTTGCCGTGACACCGCTTTCGGCAGTCTCGACTTTCGCCAAGCTCTCCTCAAGGTACTGCTTCGCCCAGGCCGAGGCATCCTTGTTGACCCAATGCCAGTTGTTGGGATTGTGGAGGACCATCTTGTCGGCGGTGACTCGGTTTCTGATTCAGGCTGCGAGGTAGGAAAAGAGTGGCTGTCAAATTCCAATTGCACGGTTAGCAGAGGAACTAGAAGGTGTCGCGTGGTTGCGTAGGTTGAAGGAATAGGTTGTCGGTGTCCCGGATCAGTGGTTGGTCAATAGACCGCAGCGTTTTTCATCAAAAAGGGAGTACAAATCACTCTATGACTGGTGCCAGCTGGTGTATCATCATGTTGGGAATAGATAGAAAGGAAAGGCGCGGGGTAGATAAAGAAGGGGATTGGGTGCTTGCCCTTACCTCAGTGCGGATTGGCGCGTTGGAGTGTCATGTCCAAGAAAGTGCTGCACATGGAAAGGAAAGGAAGACGAGATTAAATCTGAGCGCGGGACCTCTTTTGAAAGAAAGCTCTAGAATTCTGACGGTCTCTCCGTTGGCGGGCGGTAAATCATCGGCCGATTGGTTTACCCGTAGTTGCGGCTCAACCCCACCTTTGGTCCCTCTCCCTCGTTTCCGACTTACAATGTAATACCTGAGATACGTTGCTTACGTATTCAAGGTCACCTAAGCAAATAGACCGAGTGTGGCCTGTGCTCATAGCAGCATCTGCCTCACGAGCAGCTGTCCTTTGAGCAGTCGTGATTCGTGAAAGCTGGACATGTTCATCATTCGCTCAAATCAATGTCAAGTACCACAAAATCCACGAAATAGCGGGTCTACAAGCCCGAGTCGGACTACTCAACTCTTCTTGCTTGTCTTACAATGTAGGCTCCTAGCTGGTCAGAGTTTCAGGGAAGAGTGCAAGCTGCATCGCTGCTGCAGCTTTCTTTTTTCTCCTCGCGTTGTACCAGATCCTTGGACGAGATGAATAACCTAGGTAGATGCTTTGGAGCCGGTACGAATACTTTACATGGAACTGCAGACGCCGACTCACCAGGCAAACGATTTGCCACAAACTCTCTCGGTCTGTCCGAACACTATTGTCAGCTGGATTACCCGGATCTCTTCTTCCATTCTCTTGCGGAATCTCGAGCAGCCAAAGAAAGATACGGTTCGACAAGACCAAGACCGCGATGCCTCCACGCAAATCGCCGGTCATTGCTGAGCAAGTGCATCTCGCACAGATGCAAACACTGCTTGCTATCCGTCGACTTCAAACCACGACAAATGAAACGGCCGGCTTGCAGGCTGACATGCAAACTGAGTGTCTTCCAAGCCGTCTTCTGGAAGCCGGATGTGGTCGCTTCCGTGCGGCCAACATCCGCGCTTGACCTACTATTTCCGTGCTATCTGGGGCAGGGTTATCTATAGTCTGCGATGCCACTGAGTGATTACGTTCTGACCATTGCGTTCACACGATGTCACCGTGAAGAGGCCTAAGCACGGGATCTCAACGGATGAAGCCTGCTCGAGTGACGGGCTGCCGCAGTGCCGAAGCCTGCCAAGTTGCCTCGTGGAGTCGTGGCAAGCTAATGAGGTACGAAATGGCTGATGCGCTTTGCAATATCGTGGCATGCATCTAGTCGAAGATATGTTCGACGAGCTCGACGAGCTCCTCAGGGATACTCGGCAGAGCTGAAGCCGTAATCAACAAATGATGGCCTCAAGCGATTTTCAGAACTTCCATACTTGTTCTTTGCATTCACCCCCGCAGCTCTTTCTGCCCACAGGAGCTTTGTTCATCATTCACGTGGAAGCTCTCCAGCGCCTTTCACAGGACACGGCCCAGGCCCAGGCCCCACCCCCGATATAAACCCCAGAAACCGCCAAACATGCAACGAGTCGGTGAGCAAGATCTCCGAGGTCTGGTTTCTGACTAGGACCAAAGCTTGCTAAACGCTAATGCCTGCCTTTCCTCAAGGCTGCCAGTCCAACAAACGAATCACCCGTCCGGCTTCATCGGGGAGACGGCGAGCGCGGAGAGGAAGTAGGGCCGGGAGGGCAACTGAGGCTTTCAGACTGTCGAACAAATCGAGGGGCTTTTTAAGCGCCGACAATCACCTCCACGTTCTTTTCACAGCGCCATCAACCAATCACGACCCCGGGGTCTCTTTGACTAGCCAGGGTCTAAGGATGCTTCCAAGAATAGATTTACCTCCCACCAGAAAGCCAACCAATTGATGCGGCCGCCCACCAACGTCTCCACGAGTCTCTTCGCTTGGCTCCATCAAAATGACAGGCCATTTTGGACCGGACCCTGGCACGATGCTCACTCATCTTTCCTGTTGTTGGGCCGTGGCAGGTCGCTACGAGCTGTTCCGTACGCTACGTTCCATGCTCGCCTCTTCTCGTTGGTTGTCTAATGCTAAGGTATACTGTGATAAGGTCCGCTAGCTACGTCGAGTCGAGACTGCGACCCTGACTCTGAGCTCGCCTCCCTACTTTCTATAATGCCGTTCCGGTCGATGGTCGTCGTAGCAGTACCACGCCATTTCATTAATCTCAAGAGGCAGAAGAAAGCCAGAGATTGCAACGACGGACCCAAGATGAGACAACAGCAGCGCGGATAGCAGCACCCTAGCTTTGTCGGCATCTGCACGCCTGTCATGCAGTCGCGATAACCATATGGGATGTTGCCGGTCTACTTTGGTGTACGGCTCGCTTTCACAACCCCATGCCACCAACAAGCAAGTGCTGCCCCTCGCGAATGGACGACCGTACCTTGACACCCCCTCCGAATTAGCTCAATCCCCTGTCATGTACTGGTTCCCGCTATGAGGTACATTTGTGCTCTGCAGCGATTTCGGGAAACGAGCTAGTCACTCTGTTTGCTGCAACAACTCAGCGCCGAGCATCAACTGCCTTGTTACCGGCCTTCAGATCCACCGCCGCGCTTTTGCTCCGGGACCCGGCTGCTATTTCTGTCGTTCCCTCGTGCTCCCGAGAGCCCGCTGCCTCCGTGCCCCTCCTTCTCACCCCAATGTCTTGAATCTCGGCCACCCAAGAGTAGGGGCGCCACAGGGGTGCAGTTCTGTCGGTGGACGATCAAGCGTGAGCCAAGAGCGAGCCAGCGACCCCGGTACCCTCCTGTACGTGGGTGGGAGGTATGTACCTCTCATGCAGGAGGTTGACCACATTGCAGCAGACCCGGCCTAGACATGACCGTCTCTTTTATCTTCTGCTTCCTCCCACCCAAACTTTCGTTCCCTTTGCTTCAGCCGCGCCCTCCCCCCTCTAGGTGTGACACGACCTTACTGCCGGCTGCCTGTCCGTCCTCTCGGTTGTTCGGTGTGTTCCGCGACATGAGACTGTCTTCCCATCAGTCAAGTTGAATGGGCTGGTATAGAGAGGAAGAAGTGCGAAGAGGTCGGCAAGTTACTGGCTGAGGTATCCTTAACTTCAGCGAGGGTCTAAGTCATCCTATCTCTGCGACCGACTCCGTTGTCATTCCGAGTCCCACAGCTTCCTCAAATTCCTGACGTCGCCGGAGACGCTCAGCGCATAGTCATTTGGCTTACAATGAACAACCCTCGCGATCCAACCCGGCTGCGACAGGGTCTCAATCCGCTGTTAACTCAGTCTCTGGGTGCATACCACAGCCAGGTCAACACGCCGCTGTCCGCCGTGTCCTCATCGCATTTACACTCAGCTCACACGCCGGCAAGCGCAATACAGCCTTATAACCCGCAAGAATGGATAGCTTCACCGGCTGCTGGGTCCGAGAGATCCCATCAATCACATCACTTTCCTGAGCAAGGTATTCAGTGCCAAAAACTGGAATTGGGCCTGGGCGGCTTTGCTGATTAGTCTCAAAAGGATCACCACTACCTCCGCCTCCGTATAGTCCACCTCGAAGCCAGCGACCACAAAGCGGCTTCTTCGAGTCTTCCCCAGCAGCCAATACGTCGGCGGCACGCATTCCCCCTACCCATCTCCATAGGCCGTCTCCAGAGCCTTCAACGAACACCTCGTTTCCTCCCCCGCCGGGAGCCGGTGGTCGGACAAGCTCTCGCGAAAGGCGTTTTGGTTTTCATTCCTTGAGACGGAGTAGAGAGCCCCAAGAGTCAAGTCCTCCAGAGCCAATGCCGCCTATGCCGCTATCGAGACAAACTCCTCTTCAGATCCAGATCCCACATCCAATGCCACACCACAACGACCCGAACTCATCTCACGGACCGCCCGCTGCTCGGAGAGCTGCTTCTGCCAGTGCAGTCGAGACACCAACTTCAGCTCGCTCAAGGTCGACGTCCCAATCAAGATGGGAGCCGGGAATGCCCCTCCCGCCACCGCCTCCAGTCCCACCCCCAGCTTCTTCTCGGTCACAGAGCGTGCAGAGCGGGCCGAGAACGACTACACCTGTGGCTTCACCACCCACAAGGCGTCCTCCACCAACCGGTGTTGCGGCCCTTGGACCAGTACCTCCGACCCCTGCAGACTGGGTTGACCAACCCGAGGAACCCAGTAGCTCCTCACAACGGAGACACTCTCCGAAATTGACCATCGATACTGCCAGTGCTGCAAGCTCTGCGCAGACTGGAGATTCGAGCAATTCCGGCGCATTGAGCTCTGGTGGCAGTCTGAGTCGGGCGAGAGCAGTCCGCCACGACAAGACCATCGTTCAACGTCGTGCTGAGAGCCGAAGCAGACATGGCAGACCACATAACTCGATAGACGGGACCATCAACCCAGTCCAACTCAACGACATTGTTGTTCCGGGTGAAAATACACTTTCTCGCAGGTTGACGATCAATAGATCAGGACCAAGAAGCGGGGGACTGACGTCGAACGACACGCCCCGGACTGATGAGCAGTCGACTACGCCGCGGGCGCCTGGGTCATCATCATCACGCACTCGAATCGAAGCGGCAACGCCGCCGTTCTCACCTCATCCGTCAAAAGGAACACCCGTCATGGACGGATCACCTCGCGTCTTGCCCAAGGCACTGCCAACGCCGCCGCCTCAAACTCGATCGGCATCGAGCTCTCAAACAAGATTCAGCTCCATGACGCCTGCCGACGGGCCTCCGTCGGCATCCATCTCATCCGCAAAACATTTTGTCGTTACGCAAACCGCGGATCAATTTTGCTGTGAGACAATTGAGCGATTTCAGGCATTCGCTACCCAAGAATCCGCTGCGGCCACCGACGCCGAGCGCGTTCGCATGTTTGCCGACTTCATCGTCAACGAATCCAGGATCAGGCGAGAAAGATACTCATCTGCGATCGGCGCCATGGGCTCGGAAATCTTTGATCTGACCAGGGATCTGTTTCGCCCCATGGTCACGCGACGTGAGTCGGGAACTTCACAGGCTGAGTGGACGCCCCAGTCATCTGAGCCAGCGCGGTCTCATCGCGGATCGATGAACTCAGTCTATCGCGAGATGCCCGGGGAGTCCAGCTCCGCCTCTACGTCAGCGAACGTTCCGGGCTCGCCCATTGTACCTTCGGCAAACAACCCCAACTACTCTTCAAACTATATGCCGTCACTCTCCCCTATATTGAGTCTCAGTGTGAGCGACAATCATGACGATGGGGACTCCCGGGGTCGGCCTGCCAGTAGGTGGTGGGAGGCTGACTCATCAGGAGCAGGAGGGAAATTTGTTGAGAGGTCCAAGAGAGAGTCCAAGTACATGGGCGTACCGAAGGAGGCTCGCGAAGCCCTGCAATGGGTGGACAGTCCGCAGGCAGGTCCTAGCAATCCGAGATCTTCAAACGAGTATCCGGCCGAGAAAACAGGCTGGCACGAGCTAGAGCCTGTGGTCACACCGCAGCCACTTCGGTACTCATCGGAATCCCTTGGGTCCTCAGCTTCGCCCACGACACCGAACCCAGCCCACCTGGATGTTTCTCGAATGGTCACTCTTCCTCCGCCATATCCTCGTCATCACCCAGCTGTGAACAACAACCACCCAGAATTGACCGAGACTAGAGTGGCAGTTCGTCAGATAAGCGACCTGTCCGAGATTGAAGCTACAAAAGAGAGATTCCAAGTCACCAGCACAAAGAAGCGTGAAGAGGCCGCAAAAGCCTCTGCTGAGCGGCGACATGCTCTGCGTTCCAATTTACAGCAGGAAATAGACGTCGGCAACATGTCATTCGCCGAGGCGTCGGCAATCGAACAGGATTCGGTAGCAGCCGAGAAGGAGAAACTGAAAGAGTTGGGCAAGACAGAGTTTGAGCAGTTCCAAAGTCAAGTAGTTATGCCTCTGAACGAACTGATCACCGGCCGTATTGCGCAAGCCACGACTCTATTCGAGAAGTTGGCGGGCAGCCTCTTTGACGATGTCGCCAGCGCGGCAGACATGCCCCAGGAAGAAGGCGACGACAAGCCTGAGCTGCTCGAGAAGGTGACGCTTCTCAAATGGATTTTCGAGGCGAGGGAAATGCTACACCGGGCGATCTTCGACGTCCTCACAGACCGCAACAACCGCTACCGGGACGTCGTCCTCACCCCGTACCGCCTGGCCGAAAACGAAGAGAAACTCCAGAATGCCGTGGCCTTCTTCGCCGAGGACGCCGCGAAGCGGCAGCTGGCCTTCACGCACGAGGTGTTTGCGCGCACGCAGGAGTTCCAGGACGTCATGGAGCGCAACGTCATGCGCGGCGTCGAGGTGCAGCTGTCCGCCTTCTGGGACATCGCACCGCCCCTGTGCCGACTGCTTGAGAAGATCCCTGCGAATCCGCAGGACTTCAACATCCAGATCCCGTCGGCCGAGTACGAGGAGAACCCGTCGTACAGGAGACATCCGCTGCAGTACCTCTTCAGTCTTCTCCTGCACATGGAAAAGAGCACGTACCAGTTCATCGAGTCGCAGACGAACCTCCTCTGCCTGTTGCACGAGGTCAAAGAGGCTGTTACTCATGCCAAAGCCAAGGTCGTCCAGAACGAGATGGGCGACGGCCAGGGGAGAGAGTTTAGCGCCGAGGAGCGCGACGCTAGAGCGCAGCATCTTCGCGACGAAGAGGGCCGCATGCTGACGGATGATTTGAAGGAGAAAGTCCGCGTCGTGCAAGACCAGTGGACGAGTGCGCTGGGTGAGAATATTAAGAATGTTAAGCAGATGTTGGGAGAGTATCTGCTGGAGACGGGAGGTTGGGACGAAACCTTGGAGGAAGGCGGTGTCGGCAGCGTCTAAGAATTTACGTTAGCGGGAAAGACTTTGGAGGAAGAGGATGGTTATGATTAATCTTCACGGCTACGAAGACGTTGATACCCCTTTGCGTATGACGACTAATTTTTATACTTTTTATACATACTTCTAGAACCCTGAGGGAATTGCGACCCGGGTTGTAGCTAGACACGACATTCAACGGCATGAGGTTTTTGAGATAGTCCAAGTGAATCGTAGTGGTTTGGCATCGAAAGCCCTCCACGTTGGTGAGAGATATTCTCTGTGTCCCTTTAACAAAGCGATACGCGTCGTACAATACATTCCCACCCAAACGCCCGGTATGTTACATTTACAGACTAGATGCACAATTATCGCCCTGATGGTGAAAGACCTGGTGTGCCGCCCCCATGATCTTCATCAAGAAGGTTTTCTCCGTTTCTCGTCGGTAATCAATCGGAGGCCTGCTCATGCCAACGAGCTTCGTAATTAACCATTGACCGCCCCCATCTTTCAAACACCCGTCTCCCACTTAGAGTCTCTCGAGAAAGCGCGAGATAATGGAACCGTGGCAAGTCTCTCCGCCCATCGAGACTCAGTTCTTCAATCTGTCGTTAAACTCCTTGGGCAAATCCATGCCGACTCTCCGCGCCGTCAAGCGCACGCGCTCCTCCTCATCCATGTTCATACCCGGGTTGTAGCGCTCGAGTAGCGTGACGTAAGTGCGCTGGGCGCGGAGGTAGACGGCGAACTGCTCGGCCTCTGCGGCGTCGGCCTCGGCGCGCGGTTTCGCGGTCGCATCCGCGACAGCGGCGACGTTTCCATGGGCGGCGAAGCTGGCGCGCAGACGGTTGTGTATGGCTGAGCGCTCACGAGCGAGGACGGGACGGGGAGGGAGCTCGCGCAGGAGGGAGCGGTAGAGGGAGCGGAGGCGGGGGACGGTCGTCATTTTGGCGGCTCTTTAGTTGTTCGATCGATTGTGGTCATTCGAGTCGATGCGGGCGCCAGAGAAATGGAACAATGGCGGAGGAAAAGGTGGTGTTGATCGTGCTGACGATGCAACGGGAATTTTTGGAGCGAGGCTTGTAATGTGAGCATTGAAATGCGAGGCTTTCTCTCCTCAGAGCTCTCCCGATGCGCTGGGCGGGTGGATCCCGTCCTTGGCGGGCCCTTCCGCACCTCACGCTTCCAGATTCCTGCCGTGGATGGTGCCACCTCAGGCACTAAAACTGCATTTGCAGCGCCTTGAATTACATAACTCCAAGTACTTCCTGCAGCAGCAGTCATGCATCGGGCGGCTATCGGTCCCATCTCCCGGCGCCGGCACCGGGGCAGGCACGGATGGAGGGGTCTTGACCCCTCCTTGACAAACCACTCTCAGCTCCCGAGCCGCAGCAAGTGCTTCCCAAGCTCCCACCACACTCAAGCGTCTGTTCTGCCCGTCTGACTTTTTTAATGCTATTCACTAATTCTCGCATGGTAAGTACCTAATCTGCAGGAAGAGGAAGTGGAAGGGAATAAAAGACGGTAGCTCTACCCTAGCCCCAAGGTACCATTAGTCGTCCAAGTTAGTCCCCCAAGGCGAATTGACTCGTTCGTGCGTCCACAATTGCCCATCCCATGACGCAACAGCCGCCGTCTTAAACACATGCTGGAGCCAGAGAACGAACAAGGAGCAAAAGAGCTTTGCCTCTTTCACAGCAAACTGCCCCTCCACATCCACATCGCGCATCCACACAAACCACCTTTGACCTCCTCTGTACGTGTAGAGTTCCATGCCCTCCAAGGTCCGACCAGCAAGCGGCAACAACAAAACGAGACAAGAACCCACCCGCCTTCTCTCCTCCGTAAAATTCCTCCTCATCTTTTCCGTCTTCGTCGCGACGCTGGCTATCCTATCTCTACGAGCTATTCCCCGGCTCACCCTCCTTTCGAACCACTTCTCCCCTCTCACCACCACCGTGACCACAACCCCACTGCGCGCCCTCTTCTCTGCCTCCTCCTCTAAGAAGAACTCGCCCGCCATGTCAGCCTACGCAAAGGAGCTCGAAGTGGCCCAACTGGCTGTCCAGCGCGCCTCCATCCTCACCAAGCGCGTCTTCCATGAAAAGGCAAAGGGTACCGTCGACAAGAACGATAAGTCTCCTGTCACCATTGGCGACTTTGGCGCCCAGGCCCTCATCATCGCCGCCCTCCGCCACCACTTCCCAGACGACGAGATTGTCGCCGAGGAGGAGGCCGCTCAACTGCGCTCCGAGCCCAACCTCCGTGACCAGATCTGGGACCTCGTCAAGACCACCAAGCTCGACGACGCCGCTGCAGAGTCCTCGCTTGGCGGCGGCATCAGCTCCGCCGAGAGCATGATGGACATAATCGACCAGGGGAACAGCGAGGGCGGTGCCAGCGGCCGCATCTGGGCCATCGACCCCATCGACGGCACAAAGGGCTTCCTGCGCGGCGGACAATACGCCGTCTGCCTGGGCCTCATGGTCGACGGCGACGTCAAGGTCGGCGTCCTCGGCTGCCCCAACCTCCCCGTCGACGACAAGGCGCCGCTGACGGCCGACATCGGCTCCAACGCAAATGACGACACGGGATACGGCGTCATCTTCTCCGCTGTGCTCGGCCAGGGCGCCACCTCGCGCCCTCTACGGACCGGCGCCATCGCCGACGGCGCCCCCATCTCCATGAAGCCCGTCACCGACCTGTCCGCCGCTACCTTTTGCGAGAGCGTCGAGGCCGGCCACAGCGCCCACGACGACCAGGCGCAGATTGCCGCAAAGCTCGGCATCACCAAGCCCAGCGTGCGCATGGATAGTCAGAGCAAGTACGGCTCCATCGCCCGCGGCGCGGGCGATATTTACCTGCGTCTGCCCGTCAAGGCCACGTACCAGGAGAAGATTTGGGACCACGCCGCGGGCGATCTCATCGTGCGCGAGGCCGGTGGCCAGGTTACGGATATCCGGGGCAAGAGGTTAGACTTCGCTGTTGGACGGACGCTCGCGAACAACAAGGGCGTCATTGCTGCGCCAGCCGCAGTACATGGCGAAGTGTTGAAGGTCGTCCAAGATGTGTTGAGCTCAAAATCTGGCTAAACTCAGAAGAAATAATAAAATTTAAAAGAAATTAGGGTTTTGCGATTTTTCTCTCTTCTTGGCTGTCTCGAAGAACCAGCAAATGGATAGTATACAATGTTGTCTTTTTTTCCCTCCTCCCGTACAGTGAGTGATATACAGCTATACACAGCCCTCCACCGGCTCCGCCGTCGACACGCACCATGGTCGACTCTGCGACAGGCCACACAGTAGTGGCGCCACCTTCAGCACGCATCCACCAAACCACCTCCAACCTTTGTCTATTTGATCTTCTTCTGCTTCAGCTTGATTGTCTGGTCGTCGATGAAGACGCCCTTGCCCTTATACGGTTCCGGCGGCCGCCACTTGCGCACGCGTCCCGCGAAGCTCATCATCTCCTCCCGGTCAATGCTCTCCAGCAGGATGCGCGTCGGGCTCGCCGCCGTGACCTTGACGCCGCGCGGGATGCCCATCTCGATCGGGTGCGTAAAGCCGAGCTTTAGGCAAAGGAACATTTGGCCGGGGAACTCCTCAAGGCGGCCGCGCTGCTCGACGCTCGCGCGGTATCCGATGCCCACCAGGCGGAGGATCGCCGTGTGGCCCTCGGAGACGCCCATGATGTAGCGCTGGAGGTATGCCCATGTCGTTCCTGTGGGAAAATGACAAGTATCAGTAAACCAGCCCGACCATCAATTGGAAGACTTATCATATCAGGAAAACGAGTTCACAACTCGAGCTTCCCTCGAAAGGCAGTAAGGGGAAACAGCAAAAAAAAAACGCACCCCACATCTCGCTCTGCTCCTTAATGTTCGAATCCTCTACGCTGAGAACTGCCGTGCTGCCCTCTGCATCGTAGTCAATCTTCAAAAACGGCGGAATCTCGAGATCCAATTCGCCTAGCACAACCCAGAATTAGCTTTCTCCTTTCTTTCCCCATTTCGACAGCCATTGGCTTGGCTCCCAGACAAGGCCAAAACGAACCCAGAGGTCCCGTGACGGTGACAGTCCTCTTGTAAATCTTCATGTAGCTAGTCGGGTCCTTCTTCAGCTTCGGCTCGCTGATAGCTAGCTTGACGCCTGGGGGAATCGAAACCGGCGTCCGCCCGAGCTTCGAGTACCGTGTCGGTGTCGAGGAGAACTGGCATCTCGACAGAGGCTGTTGCAGAGCTGGCACAAGAAAAGCTGGTATCGTCGTGGCTGGCGAAGCGGCAAATGCCCGCCTCAACGCCGTTCCACGTGTGGAAGCTAGCATTGTGTTCGTTAATTGGCAAACTACACCTCCCAATGCGCGCTCGCTCATGTTCTGCTCGACAGATGGAATTGGGACTCTCAGCAACTTTTCTACGTCTTAGTCAGCCATACACGATCCACAAAATGGATACTTCCGATTGGCCCCTGCTTATATAGCTTGAGGGGGACACTAGGTTATCTGGCTGGAACGTTAAAGCAAGCTGGCTCAAGCTCACTGCTTCCGATGGTTTTCGAACTCGGGCAGCTTTAGTGAACGATATATGAACAATGGGCTATTTTCATCACATAGACGGGGTTTGATTATTCGTGTTGTGGTTTGTGCCAATAATTTGTACAGAGTAATCTCTGATTCTTCGTACTCATTTGATACGTCAGGCGAACTACTAAGAGAGGTATATCTAGAAGCCCATGTTCCGGCAAGGAGCCAGAATCGCGAAGCGAAACGCCACCACAGGTGGGTTGGCGTAAGTCAAGGTCATAGTGAAAGTGCAATCGAACTGCGCTTAAACCTCCTCCTCAAGAGGAACCTCCTCCTCGTACTCCTCCTCCTCCTCGTCAACACCAGCGTCCTGGTATTGCTGGTACTCGGAGACGAGATCGTTCATGTTGGACTCAGCCTCAGTGAACTCCATCTCGTCCATACCCTCACCAGTGTACCAATGCAAGAAAGCCTTGCGACGGAACATAGCGGTGAACTGCTCGCCGACACGCTTGAAGAGTTCCTGGATGGCGGTAGAGTTACCGACGAAGGTGGAGGACATCTTGAGACCGCGGGGAGGAATGGAGCAAAGAGCGGTCTGGACGTTGTTGGGAATCCACTCGACGAAGTAGGACGAGTTCTTGTTCTGGACGTTGCGCATCTGGTCCTCGACATCCTTCATGGCAACCTTACCACGGCTAGAGTAGGGAAAATTAGCCTGTAGTCGCATTTCAAAGTCATCGAGAGGAACTTACAAGATGGCAGAGCAGGTCAGGTAACGACCGTTGCGGAAGTCAGAGGCAGCCATCATGTTCTTGGGGTCGAACATCTGCTGAGTGAGCTCGGGAACACTGACAGCGCGGAAGGAGTGGGCGCCACGGCTGGTCAGAGGAGCGAAGCCGACCATGAAGAAGTGCAGACGGGGGAAGGGAACCATGTTGACAGCCAGCTTGCGCAGGTCAGAGTTCAGCTGACCGGGGAAACGCAGGCAGGTGGTGACTCCGGACATGACGGCGGAGACGAGGTGGTTCAGGTCGCCGTAGGAGGGGTTGGAGAGCTTGAGGGTACGCATGCAGATGTCGTAGAGAGCCTCGTTGTCAATGCAGAAGGTCTCGTCGGAGTTCTCGACCAGCTGGTGGACCGAGAGGGTGGCGTTGTAGGGCTCGACAACGGTGTCGGAAACCTTGGGGGAGGGAACGACGGAGAAGGTGGCCATCATGCGGTCGGGAAACTCCTCGCGGATCTTGGAGATGAGGAGGGTACCCATACCGGCACCGGTACCACCACCGAGAGAGTGGGTGATCTGGAAGCCCTGGAGGCAGTCGCAGCCCTCAGCCTCGCGACGGACGACATCGAGGACCTGGTCGACGAGCTCAGCTCCCTCGGTATAGTGACCCTTGGCCCAGTTGTTGCCGGCACCGGACTGGCCGAAAACGAAGTTGTCGGGACGGAAAAGCTGGCCGAAGGGACCGGCACGGACGGCGTCCATGGTACCGGGCTCCAAATCGACGAGGACGGCGCGGGGAACGTACTTGTTGCCGGAGGCCTGGTTGGGTGATAAGGTCAGCATTCGTCAATAGGATTGACTGCAAACTGGGGTAATAGGACAACAAACCTCGTTGAAGTAGACGCTCATGCGCTCGAGCTGGAGCTCGGAAGTGCCGTTGTACCTGTTGTATGATTAGCGGTTGATTCTACGGGTGGCCGCAATGTAAGACGTGGTGACATACACGCCATTGCTGTCAAGGCCGTGCTCGCCAGAGATGTTCTGCCTGTACCAAGGTCAATACTAAATCGTCTCAAGGGTCGATATCGCCGCGTTGTTGGCGCTGGGCTACGCACCAGAAGGCAGCACCAATCTGGTTACCCTGTTCAAAGAAGTCAGCCCCGCACTCTGGCTTGTTGGGTCGAGATCAGGGGATACTCACGCACTGGCCGGTCTGAAGGTGAACCTGTTGTGGAAAAAAAATCAATAGTCAGCAAAATGTTTACGAGAGTAGAGGCGTTGGAGATCTCCAAGTCTGGTTGTGTTTGGCGGGTATCGTTTGGATGGGAATATCGGCGGGGTCTGCTCAGGGGCAACCCCGAATAATGGTGGTCCGACGCGTCGCAGAATTGTTGTGATGGGAGAGAGCGACTTACAATCTCACGCATTTTGAATGATGGGAAGCTCTGAAGCTGACTGGGCCGACGATGAGCGATGAAGAGGATGAAGAGAGTGCTCGAGAGCTATGCGAAGCTTCAAGGCGAAAGGTGTTGTGGAGGATGGGCGAAGTAAGGTGTGGTTAGGTAGGGGAGAAGGTTGTTGATTTTTGTTTGCGGGTAGATGTGATTTTGTTCACCGCCACGGCTCGGTGGACGCCCAGAAGACAGGCCAGCGACAGGCCAGCGACAGGCCAGCGACAGGTCAGAGGGAAGGGGTGCAGCTCGCTTGTTTACTGCAAAGTGCTAGCTAGGCCCGTGCACGACCCCGATTGGGGAAAGACCAGTGCAAGGCACCCGCCCACGCCGCCCAAGTCTTTCCGAGTGGCCCCCCCAAGACCAATTGGAGGTGGGGTTGAATGAGTTGAGGTGGCAGCAGATTGGCAAGCAGGGCGATTAGGTGAAGGTACGTACCTCAAGATCCCTGTCTTTGGTCTCCTCTGTTCTCTCCGATCCGAGACCCGGGGTGACCGACTAATTATCTGCTGAGCCATCCAAACATCCAACGACACGTCTTGAGAAGGTGCCAACCACTCCATGCGAAGGGCATCATCAGGGCCTGATCCACCAGCAATTGCGACGGGCTAGGGAGGCCACGGACTCGCTGACAATCGGAGCAGGCGCGGCACCCACACCGGGCAGCCGTACGGATACCGAATGCCAATGTCAAATACAGAGCCTCTGCGAAGGGCATTGCTCGGCACTGACCCCAGGCGCTGACCGGAAATGCTAAATTGCCAGTGGAGCTCAACATTTGCCAGGGGGCTCCATCGCTGCCAAATGAGCTAACGGTGTGCCTGAGAGCTATCAAAGGCAGATCGACTTCATTCACTCAGGCTTCAGCACTGGAGGAATGAAGGACTGATGATCGAGGCATGGTTTTTCGGATTCATGGTAGCTACGTAAACTATGACGGCCACGATATATCCCCTTAATGAGCCTTGACAACACCAGCTGCATCGGCCTGAGCCGCGATTCTCTTCTTGTAGGCCTGGACGTCACCGGGGAACTTCTCAACCGTGCCTCCGTCGCACACCCAGAGAGAGGTGCACACTGTCTGCAACATGGTGACGTCGTGAGAAACCATCAGAACGCCACCCTGGAACTCCTGCAAGGCCGTAGAGAGCGCGTCCATCGCCTCGATATCGAGATGGTTGGAAGGCTCGTCAAGAACCAAGATGTGCGGGTTGGTCAGCGCAAGGCAAGCAAACGCCACACGAGACTTTTGACCACCGGAAAGCACCGCCATCTTCTGCAGACCTGTTGTGCCCGTGATACCAAAGGCACCCAGCTGCCTGCGATACTCTTCGTCCGTCCGTCCGGGGTATTCCTTGGCCATGAAGCCAACAGCACTCATGGTCAGATCTAGGGCATCAACATGATGCTGAGCAAAGAAGCCGACGCGCAGACGGGGGTTCTGCGAAATAATACCCGACGTGGCCGACAGCTTTCCGATCAGCAACTTGAGAATAGTTGTCTTACCCGCACCGTTGGGTCCGACGATACCGATGCGAGAATCCAGCTGCACATCAAGATCTACGTTACGCAGCAAGATGTTCTCCTTTGTGTAGCCAAAAGTTACGCCGGTCATCTGGATAATAGGGGGTGACATCTTCTCCACATCAGGAAATTTGAAATGTACGCTGTACTCGGTCTCGGGTGGTTCAAGGACCGGCATCTTCTCGAGTTTCTTGATACGTGACTGGGCTTCGGAAGACTTAGCCGCGTTGTAGCGGAACTTGTCGATGAAGGCCTGAAGATGGGCTCTTTGGGCCATTTGGTTCTCGTACTCTCTCTTCGCCGTCTTCTTGCGTTCCTCGCGAGTGGCGTAGAAAGACTCAAAGTTGGCTCCACGGTAGTAATCGAGTCGCTGGGAATGTTGGTGAATGATATCCGTCGCAATCTCGTTGAGGAAGGCTCTGTCGTGAGAAACCACGAGAACGGTGCTGGGGTATCCTTGAAGGTAGTTGGAAAGGAAAGCAATAGACGGGACGTCCAACATATTGGACGGTTCGTCGAGAAGCAGCAGGTCGGGCTCACAGAACAAGGCTCTGGCCAACGCCAGACGCATACGCCAACCACCGGAGAAGGTCTTGGTTGCATTCTGCTGTTTTTCGGCCGAGAAACCGAGACCAGCCAAAATACTGGCAGCTCTTGATTCAGCCTTATCAGATTCCATCTCTGCAAGCTTGCCCTGGATGTCACCGAGTCTGCCGTCTTGTGCTTCTCTGTCCTTGTCAAGTCTGGCGGCATCAGCTGAAGTATCAGCCATACCCGCACGTTGACTCTCGATCTCTGCCAGCTTTTGAGTGATTTCCTACCGAGTCATGAGCATGATGTAACGATACATATGGTGTCACAATTGCCAACAACTTACAGCTTGCTCCTTGAGAAGGACTTTGCGCCACACATCGGCGTCAAGCACGGCTTGGATTGCAGGAGTATCGTCACCAGTGAGCTAAATACGCCTTAGTACACATCAGAATTGGCATTGTGACAGTCATCCTTACCTCCTGTTCGACGTGAAGAATGGTAATGTGAGGCGGGATTGGCAATTCTCTGCGAGAAAGAGCGCGGAGGAGCGTAGATTTACCAACACCGTTGTGTCCAACAAGACCATACCTGTGTCCATAGGAAAGGGTCAAGTCGGTATCGGTCACGATGCGCAGGCCACCAATGGAGACATCGATGTTGTCCAGCTTGATATCTTTGGTCTTGTTGGCGCCAGAACCACCGATCTGGAGAGGGTTGACCGCCATGTAGAATTCCTCGTATGACTGCGTGGACTCAGGCTCGTCGAGCAATCTGGAAGCCTCATATTCGACCGTCTTGAAGGTCTTCTTCTGTTGCTTGGCTGCAATCTTTCGCTCGGCTTTCTCCAGCTTCTTTCGATCAACCTTGGATTCAACTTTGCGAGCGTTTGCAGACTCAAGATCGACAGCTCCCGTGGACACCGCCAGGGTGGAAGACATATTCCGTTGAGAAGAGACTTGGAAAGTCTCGTCGAGGCGCCTGACGGCCAACGGGCCGCTGCGAAGTCCTCCGTTTGACTCGGTGTACTTCTCGACCCATTTTCTGACGAGTTTCTCAATCTTCTCCTGGAGCTTAGCGTCAGGCTTTCCCGAAGCAGAGAGCAGCAACTCGGTGACCGTGGCGGCTGCCTCAGCGAGAGGTGACGAGCCAGACTGCTCTTCCTCATCCGAATAGATTGTCGATGCGTGCGTCAAGTAACCGACCGAGTACTCGGAGAGTACCGGATCGATATTCGGCAAAACAGTTCTGATCTCAGCGTCCATCGTGGCAACGCAAAAGCTGTAAGCTTGTAGTAGTGGTCGGAAGAAATTTGCGACAACAAACTTTCAGCAGTGCAGAGCTACAGCACTGCGAGAGATGACTTGTCGTGAGGCCAAGTGGGTAAAAACAAGCAAAGCAGTTGTCACTTTGTCAGGCTAGTGCACTTGCCTGATGACGATTTCACTTGTGACCCAAATGCGATACTCACGGCGAGCCTCAAACTGTGGACCTGGAGCCGAGTGCCCTGACCTTCGAGGTCCAAATCGGGATAAAGCTCGGCCCGCGAACACTCACATTACTCTGCTTATGTCACCTCAACAGAGCGACTTTGGACTCATGTCTCAGTGCCTATCTTAACCAATTAGATGTATTACAACAACATCGCGGCACTGCCAATAAAGGTAGGTACAGGTAGGACGGATAGAGATGTTCAAACTCCCGCGCCAAATGCTCTCCGCTCCTCACTGGAATCGCATCATATTTTTCTGTCAAGCCTGTACATATGTTATGCAGGCTCGATATCCCCACGTCTTCCAACGACCGATTCAGACTTGTTGTCTCTTGAAGTCCCGACAGCATGGATACCATCGGCGATTGACCTGACACCGTGGAGTGGGCTGAGACAAACGGGCAGAACGGCAATCCTCGACGCTCTAGACGGAATGCTCTATCGAAATGGGGTTTTATTGCCACCGCCGTCACCGACATTACTTCGCCGAAATTGGGTGAAACCGCAAGTCTCAATTTGACATTGGCCAGCTGAAAAGCATTCACAGAGCCTAGCTCAGCCAACACCAGCGAATGGGGAGCCGCAGATCTTTGAGTATCGGGCTGGGTACCCTGGGCCATCGACGCGACTTGCAGAGATGGGCGAACAGCGTGTAATGTTTCGCGCAGCTGCATGTAATCGCGTCAGCTGTAGGACGCACGCGACGACCTGCAGATGATCGTCTGTTCACGTATTGCATGGCAACCAATCACTCTCTGACACTTGGAGAGGAAAAAAAAGAGCTATCAACATGTGAGAGTTTTGGGCGTCGTTGAGAGACTTGGCCCTGCTCGCGCCATACTACGTCCGCCATGCGCTGGAGATCCGTCCGGGGATCCCAGCAGCAGGTTAAAGTTATTCCGACGTTTGATGCTTATTGCACAATCTGTGCAAACTCTCACCAGGGTGGACGCGCGAGGACGAAATGGGACATCATCGCCGCATTCAGTGTCTTGGATGGGAATAAGCAATGGAGATTCTCAGGGAAAAAACAAACACCGAAATGAGTGAAAACGAGACGGCGGCAAGCGGCGCAGCAGCACAGCAACCAAAACTTCGACCTCAAGACAATTGGCCTCGACTCGGGGACAATTCCGCGTCATCCTATCAAGTCACGGCTCAGTCATCGTCTCTTCAGAGCTCAGTGCGGACCCGACGCCAACCCAATTTCAATGTGGGATTCAATTCCATAGTTCAGTATCACGTTGGACGCTGCAGTCAAGTAGGTACATCTGCTCACATTCAAGGCTGGGACTGCTCAAGATTGGGCACCCACAGGGCTTTCGCATTAGGGGAGCAAATTCTTGATTCCGAGGAAGCTGGCGCGCATGTTGTTTATACCTCCACCACCCTTTCGGTGCTATGCTGATTGTCTGCCTGGACTGGGGCA